CAATATCAAAGTCCGCCCACCAATCGCACCGAGCTTGTCAACCTGGCTTCTCGAATCTATTTGAATAATCAACACCATGAGAAGAAGGGGGACAAGACTCCCTCAAAGCAACCGACAACAGGATCAAAACGGCGCCATGACGGCTCCGGTGCGGATGATGCAAAGAAGAACTCAAAGCGTTCCAGTTCTTCACTTACTGCAAAGGAACGCCAAAATAGACTGGATAACAACCTTTGTTTTAACTGCGGAATCTCAGGCCATTTTGCCAGTGATTGCCGTAAGTCGAAGAAGGGAAGGAACCGAGGAGATACCTCCTCGAAGACGACTCCCCTTCTGGCAAATGTATCCACTGAAGATAAAAAGGAAAGACCCAAGGAGGATTGACAATCCTCACGACTCCGAGTCCATGTAACCTTGAAGATGAATACCCCATGAGGGGAGGTGCCAGTGAGGTGCCTAGTCGACTCCGAGGCGGACGCTAACTTCATATCCTATTCCTTTTCACTCATGAAGGGTTGGAAAAAGATAGGTCCGCCGGGCCACGCAAAGTTTACAGATGGAACAAAATGCCACCGATTCGGCATCATTCAAACAAAGTGTGAGGCCACGGACTCTGAAGGAACCTCCAAGGGGAGCAGTCTGCTCCTCCACGCTGTCAACATCATAGATGAGGACGTCATCCTAGGTCTCCCGTGGTTGAGAGAAAACAATCCTCTCATCGACTGGGTCACTCAGGCGTGGCGGTACCGCCTCACCGACGAAGAGGCAGCTATAGAGGAACCCGAAGAGTTCCATCGGAAGAATCTCGAGGATAAGATTGAGTCGATATACTGTGTAGCAGGTGACTTGGACTTGGAGGCAGGCGGAGAAGCCGCCACCCTCACTGCCAGATTAGCAGTGATGTCTGCCACTGAAGGCGGACGAACGCAACGTCTCTTCACAGATTACAAGGACGTTTTTTCAGAAAAGGAAGCAGCGAAGTTTCCTGATACCAAAGTGCGACATAAGATCCATCTTGAAGAGGGCGCGACAGCGCCGTACGGACCCCTTTACAATTTGTCAGTAAAGGAATTGGACGTTCTGCGCAAATATCTTGAAGAAGCGCAGTCAAAGAACTGGATACGCCCATCGAAGAGTCCAGCGGGGGCACCTATACTATTCGTGCCCAAGAAGGACGGTAGGCTGCGCCTCTGCGTAGACTACAGGGGCCTCAATAAGGTGACGGTTAAGGATCGCTATCCACTACCATTAATTGATGAGATGATCGATCGATTATCCGGAGCAAGGGTGTTCTCGAAGATTGGCATACGGGACGCCTATCATAGAATAAGGGTTAACGAAAACGACATTTGGAAGACAGCTTTTCGTACCAAGTACGGCAATTTTGAATATCTCGTTTTGCCTTTTGGTCTTTGCAACGCTCCGGCCACCTTCCAGGCCTACATAAATGAGGCGCTGCGGGGCCTTGTCGATGTCTCCTGCATAGTATACTTGGACGACATCCTAATCTTCTCGAAAACGGAAAAAGAACATGATACCCACGTTCGGGAGGTGTTGGATCGCTTGAAGCTAAACACCAGGGCTTTATGGCGAACACTGAGAAATGCTCGTTCTACACACAGGAGATTGATTTCTTAGGTTATATTGTTGGGGTTGATGGCATTTCAATGGACAGGAGCCGGGTCTCCGCCATCGAGGACTGGCCGGCGCCGCGCACGTACCGCGAGGTGCAGGTATTCCTAGGGTTCGCGAATTTCTATAGACGGTTCATCTATGCGTATTCGCGGATTGCTGCCCCCCTTACAGATTTGTTAAAGGGAAGTGTTAAAGGCAGGAAAACGGGACCGTTTATCCTTACCCAAGACGCTGTGAGGGCGTTTGAAGAATTGAAGCAAGCTTTTGCAGATGCCACGATGTTAAATCACTTCGACCCCGGCCCTACCCAGTCAGTGTGAAACTGATGCATCTGGGAATGGTGTCTGCGGAATCTTTTCGCAGTTGACACCGGAGACTTTCCAACGTTGGAAGGATCGGGGGTTAATAACCTCTGGAGATACAGGCAATGGAATGCCTGTAGGAGAAGGCTTTTTCACAGAACCTACAAGGCGCCGTGAATGGAGACCAGTGGCCTTCTTCTCCAAGAAGCTATCGCTCACGCAAAGAAGGTATGATACTCATGATCAAGAGATGTTGGCAATAGTTGAATCCTTTAAGATTTGGCGACACTACCTTCAAGGTTGCAAGTATCCGGTGCAAGTTCTCACCGACCATGCAAATTTGCGTTACTTCTTGACAACAAAGAGCTTGACAGGACGTCAAGCCAGGTGGGCGGAGCTGCTTTCGGAGTATGATTTCTTTATCCGATACCGTCCAGGTCGGCTTAACCCCGCCGATGCGCCATCAAGGCGACCCGATTATGATATCGTTGATGGGGATGAGGATCCTACAAAGGGACCTCTACCATCACTGCAGAAGAAACTGGCTGCAGGGGGTTGGGGTTCTCTAAAGCTTGGGAACGGCGCCGGTAAGGCAGCTGCGCGACCCTATACAGGTGGAGGAGAACTCGGGTCCCCGCAGGGGACTGGCACTGAAGGTCATGAACTTCTCGTGCCACGTTTTGCTGCCATTGAATTGGCGGAAGACGAAACGGTCTACAACCTTCCAACCCAACGGCTTCTAGAATTCATTGGTGAGTTGCAGCAGGGGGACGCCCTTACTGCGGCTCGAATCCAGAAGTTGAAGGAGGAAGGATCCGGGTCGAACTTGGAAGGGGCAAGCCCTGAGCGGGGCGGTGCCGCCGAGGAACCAAGTCGCTGGCAACTAGGGGAATGTGGACTCCTACTGCTAAATGGTTCAGTCTTTGTCCCTCGTAGCAGGGCGGTGCGCCAGGAGTTATTGAGGATTCATCACGATGATCCCCATGCTGGGCACTTCGGATTAGAGAAGACTGAAGAGCTCCTGAGACGTAAGTACGTTTGGGACAAGCTTCCGGACAGATGTCAAGGAGTATGTTGAAACTTGTGATGTCTGCCAGAGGATAAAGGTTCCGCGGCACAAGCAATATGGCGAGTTGGCGCCACTGCCTGTTCCAAAGGGCCCATGGCAGGATCTATCGATGGATTTCATAGTTGACCTGCCGAAGTCGACAAGAGTCAAAGGATATGACTCAATTCTAGTTATTGTCGACCGCTTTACGAAGATGGCCAAATATATCCCTACCCACAAGAAGGTTAAAGCCCCTGAATTGGCTGACCTGTTTCTAGATGCCATCATTCGTGATCACGGTTCTCCGAAATCGTTAGTGTCAGACCGAGGATCCCTTTTCACCAGTAAATACTGGTCGGCCTTTTGCTATCACCTTACGATAAGGCGCCTCCTCAGCACCGCGTTCCATCCTCAGACAGATGGCCAGACTGAACGTCAGAATCAGACATTAGAACACCATCTTCGGGCGTTCTGTTCATATCATCAGAATGACTGGCCTAGACACCTTCCGACCGCCGAATTCGCATATAACAATGCAAAGAATGCAACCTTAAAAGTGTCCCCCTTTTATGCTTGTTATGGGTATAATCCTTCATTACCTAGTGACGTCGCGGACGACGTCCTAAAGGGGGGGATAGACAGTCGGAATGTCGAACGGGATCGTGGGACAGAGTACCCCTCGGTGCCAGAAGTAAAAGCTAGATTGGAGCTTCTGGATAGAATCCACGGGGAGGCGGCGAAAAGCATCCGCCGCGCCCAGGAGCGACAGGCGGAATACTATAATCGAAAACACCTTCCAATGAAGTTCTCAATAGGGGATCAAGTGTTACTTTCAGCAAAGAACATCAAGACGACGAGACCGTGCAAGAAGCTCAGTGAGCGATGGTTGGGACCTTTCCCGATAATAAGGGTAGTGGGTAAGCAGGCATATGAGTTGAAACTAACCTCAGGATTCAAATCTATCCATCCTGTCTTCCACATTTCCTATTTGGAACCCTATAAGCAACGACCCGGGGCGGAGCCGCCTCGGCCGGATGGCGTCGAGATTGAGGGTAATACCGAATATCTTGTAGAAGGAATATTGGACAAACGAATGCACTACAACAAAGTTCAATACCTTGTCAAATGGGAAGGTTATCCATCATCCGAGAACTCATGGGAACCGCTTGAGCATTTAGAGAATGCCGAGGAAGAGATCGCAAAATATGAGGTGGCTAGTAGAGACCGCCCCGCTGCACGTCGGAGGTGTGGTTAGGCAAGAGCTGCTGCTTGAGACTTCTTCTTTTTCCCAAAGGGTTTTTTAGAGATGATCTCGCGGTGGTGAGCCGGTGCCTCGAAGACGCTGTAACACTCTTCTCCTATTTTTCCCTAGGGGTTTTTAGGAGTTTAATGAGGTTACGCAGCTCAAAGATCTCAGAGCGGTAGGAAGGAAAAAAGGGATATGAAGAACCAACAATTAATGCAATTTTATTTGGCCTGAGGGTCGCTATTATTCTATAAGGGCCGAAGCCCACGAAGATCGAAGAAAACACCTGAAGGCCTCATTCTTCCACCACCTCACCCCCACCGAACTCCTCCTCCACCGACGGAGTCCCTGGCACCGGCACCTTTGCCTGCCGTGGAGTTAGCGCTGCGGCGCCGCAGGGGGGTGTAGGAAAGTACAACAAAGTGTCAACTTACCAATTTGCAAAGCACCTCAGTCACCTGCTCCAATTGGAGCGAGATCCTCTCCAACAAACGATTTGTCTCCGTGGCGCTTCCAACGGCGGCGCCGGCCGACCCCTTCTTCTTAGGGCCGGCCATTCTGAAGTGTTTTTCCACCTCGGAGACCCACGCTTTCGCCTCCTTCTCCAGACGGGCCTTGGGAACCTCCCCAGAACGGACGGAATCCGCCAACGCCTGGAGATCCACAACTTTGGCCCTGTACTGCTTTGGCACCTATACGCCTTGTCAGACCCGGCACGGCCGTCGTTACAGAAGGAGCAGTACGTACAGGAAGGCAGGTGTCGTTTGTTTTTCACGCAACGGAAACAGCGTGAATTGGCGGAGGGGCGGGTGCAAAGGAACCATGGAACCCTGCGGACCCGACCCACAGGCACCCTGAGCAGGGCTCGGGCGCTCTGCAGGAGGGGAACTACGGACTGGACTCATTTGAGCCGCTGTCCCCGGAACCAAGCTCTCCCTGAGGTCCTCTCCGAACGACCATGCGGGGTCATACATCGCCCTGTTGATTGGCGGGGGGGGGCGGTGTGACAGCGGCAGGGGGGGAGGAGCAGAACCCCCACAGCTGCTAGGTGTCTCCGCCTCCGCCTCCAACCTGGCCCTTTTGGCCGCGACAGAGGCCGCAGCTGCACCACGTAGACGTTTTTTACCCACTAGAAAACATCAGAATAAGCCCCCTTACTGTCTTCCAAGGACGACGTTCCCATGCACTCACTATTGCAGACCAGGGGGGGGGAGAAAAAGAAGGACTGCGCATTCAGCAGAAGAATCACGTCGAATAAGACTCACCCATTCCTTTATGCCGCGCAGCGCGCGCGCTGCCAAAGCGGTTGGCAACCGTTGCTACACAACAAAGATAATTCCCAATCCGGTAATCTTGAGGCATCGGGACTATGCCTTTAAAGGGGAGGGCATTGTCACACCCTTGGTTGTGCCAAGGCCCCGTGACGGCTCCACACGGCCCATCGCTTCCCCTCAGATAATCCCATCTATCCCATAACGTCACGCAGGTGTCCGAACCGGTTTCCAACCACCCTATGACATCATTCGGATGCAATAGAAGAGGATCCGATTGATGAGATATGAGAATCCTGTTTCTATACGGGGTCTGGATTCCTTCTGGCAGATCAATGCAGCGCCACTGCGGAGTTGCTTCGGCTACCCTCGCTTATAGAGTGAGGGGAGGATGGCTGCCCGTTGTCTATATAGAATAGCTAGATGCTGGCTCTCTATTCCAGGAGCCAGCGATTCGTCTTTTATCTTTTGACAATAAGATACCAGAGTTACCACTGTCCTCATACAATATTCATAGTGTGCCGAGTACCTCTGGTAGTTCAGTATTTGTATAGTATTCTACGAGTTCGCGGTTCAAGCGAGATAATCAAGCCCACCCATAAGGCTTCCCATTATATACCATCCTCCTCTGTGCCGCTGCCGAGTAGCAATCGCCTCGGCGCCGTCACATTACATTTATCTACTTTTATTATCTCTTTTCTTTTAAGATTCTGTTTGTTTTTATTTTCTTTCTTTTAAAAGGAAGAATTTTTTTTGTTTTTTTTTTTTTTTTTGATCTTCTTTTGTTTGGGTTTTTTTTTTTTTTTTTTTTTTTTTTTTTTTTTTTTTTCAAAAAAAAAAAGAGAGAATGAATAAGAAACGTTGATGAAAAATTGTAACTAGCTCTAGCATAGCAATCAGATTGTCAATCCTTGTTCTTAATCCTTAATCATCATACCCTAACCAATCCTTAGGGACTGCGGAGCTCTGTGGGCTTACTTAAGGTTCCCTACGTGCTTGAGATCTGTACTGAGATCTGTCGATGAAAAAAGCCGTGTTCTATAGAGATCTTTTGTCGACCAAGTGACCAAGTGGTGCTATTCCAATTCGTATTTTATGATATCACTTGCTCGACTCCTTCGTTGTGGCCCTAGTGCTATTGCTCCTTGTAGTTGGCCAGGGATAATAATGCCATGAGGAAGAATCTCAGCGATGACGTCGTGCGGCCTTGTCAGGCCGTGTCAGCCACGAGAATCCTCCTGCAGAAGAAGTCCCGTCGTGGCTTAACCACGTGCTGGTGCACCCGTAGCCACGCCCCAGCTGCGACAGGAGAGCGAGCGATCTCCAACTGTTTGCACGTCAACGCACCCATTGCGTCGCACTCCCTCCCGCAAACCGCTGGTGAGATCGGGCTTGGACAAACCGAAAATTTTGGGCTTCTCACTGCTCTGGTCACCAACCAGCCGGTTTCCCGCCCGCGATGGCGGCACTTCTCCAGTGTATCCGACCCATCTATGATGCCCTGTGCTGTCCAGGCCTCCCATTCAAGTATCGCTGGCGTCTACTTGCTCTTGCCCCCATAAACGCTCTCGCCTACTCCTTCAAATGGCTGCCATGGGTATTCTCGCGATCATATTCCGTCGTCAGACTCCCGCTCGCTCGAAGTCCCGGCCGCTCAAGTCGTGCTCTGATCTTCACCCCTGAATCCTCATCTCAATCCTTGCGGCCTCTCCATATCCACGTTCATGGCGGTGGGTTTATAGGCGGCGTCCCAGAGCTGGACAATGCATTCTGCAAGCGCACGGTTGAGGAGACCGGCGCTGTTGTTGCTTCCATTTCATACCGTCTAGCCCCCCGGTATCCATTTCCATTGGCTCACCAGGATGCGCAGGACGCCGCGGCTTATATTTTGGAGCATGCGGAGCGACTCTGGGGAGCCAATCCAAAACTGCTGACGCTTAGCGGGTGTTCAGTGGGCTCGAACCTCGCTCTCGCCATTTCCCAGGGCCTTGCAGATTCAAATACTTCTGCGAAGGGCGCACTTATGATTGACAATCCTGTTCGTCCCCAGAGCTTTTCTCCTTTAATTCATCGAGGACCCTGAATCAACCGGAGTCCCACCATCTCCGCCGTGTATGTCATGCAGCCAGATATCACATTGGCATATTGAAGACCTGGTGCTGATTTACTCTTGGTTTGGTTTGGTCCCTTGCTCTATCATTAGGTCGATCTCCGTATCCCTCCGTGGGAAAAGCAGCGACCACCTGGATTTCCAAAATCAGACCCCCTTGCTTTCATTGTCCCTCTCTTCGATGTCTACGCCGAGTCTGCACGGTCTCGGAGATCCGATGACCCCCTTTTGAACCCTATCCTAGCTGACATCCGCACCCTTCCGCGGAAAATGTTGTTTATCATCGCTGGCGCGGATATTCTTCTACATGAGGTGACGACCTTTGTAGATCGGCTAAAGAAGGATGCGGCGATTCTAAATTCCCAACGTGATAGTAGCGCGGATTCTGACTCGACGAGCTATGAGATTGAAGGCATGGTGTTTGATAATATGCTTCATGGTTGGTTGGATCGTAAGTGACTTGCGTATCTCCTCCCCCCGGCTCCCTCCTTTTCCTTGCCTATGCGTGCATCCATTGCTTGCTATATCTATATATATATATAATATACCTTGTTGGTTTTCCGGAACCAAACCTACCCATTAACATTTTATGTCTTATTTTTTTCAGTCCCATCATTCATAATTGATGAAAATTTGAGAACGCAGGCTCTCGATGCCTCCTACGATTTCATCCGACGTATCCATGCAGAAAACGGATGGCACGACGATAAAAAAAAAAAAAAAAATAAAAAAAAATAAAACATGATTAAATAATATTTTCAACCGTATTGGGTGTGTGAGTTGCGCTATGCACATGTATTATTTATTATATATTAGATGATAAAATTGAAGGCCACTCTCCCCTCCTTGACGAGCTTTTTTTCTTCTTCGACAGTTACTATGATACGGAATAGTTGGTTGCCACTAGGCTGGTTTCTTCAAAAAGCCCCGATCGAATCATCGACTCGGCGACCCCTCCCAATACGCCTCGCATAGCCCTCCTGAATGTTATTGGACGTGTGGAAAAGCTTGTGGAGGGTAAAAAAAAAAAAATACAAAAAAAAAAAAAAGAAAAAAAAAAAAGAAAAATACCCTGCTACGAGTCTATATATCAATTCATGCATAATACTGCCTTTTGTAACTAAACTATCCACTAGTATGCTGGCTCCCTTGTCCCTCCGGAGGAGGGGAGGGCGAGTAGTAGAACAGAGCCAGGATTGAGGTCTCTCTAAGGGAATGCGGAGCGTTCTATCTTGGTAGATGATTCAGAGCCAATCATTCCACTCATCGAACTGTCGTTTCAACTGCTGGTTGGGGGTGTTATTCACTAAATGACAAAGAATTTTAATAGTCCTTTTCTCCACAAAGTGGATATAAAAGCATTGACGTGGAATGACAACGTTCACGAAATGACCAACAGAACAGGGGATCATGAATTGGATCAACGAGTTATCACGGAGAAGGAGGGTAGAAACGCAATTCTGCTCGTTTGCTTTATCGCTCAGGAGGTATCAGAACAAAAGAACCCTACCCAAGCTCCAAAACTGGCTCTACAGTCTCTTAGGTCTGTAATGTGAGCTGGATTATACCTGCACCTGTATACACAGCGCAGTGGCAGCTTGAATGAAATTGATCCTTCTTCAGTTGCCAGGTTCTTATGCGGACATCATCCATGGATCCTCCAATTGGAACGTGATCAGAGTCGCTGAATTTGCCAGTGATGTGTCCATAACTATCACCGCTTCGTTCCTGATTGGAACTTGAAGCCATTAAAAGAGCTAATACCACGACGACTTTCCCCTCTATAACACAATGGGTATCCCTTATCTACAAACATGCGTGAGTCTCTCATAGACCTCTATTCTCTGGGTTAGCAACTCCCAACCCCTATCCACGTAAACGAAAATCTACCACAACCCCCTCAATTGGCTAACGTTAGTTCTCACGCTGGATCTTGATTCCAAACTTTTCGTAAGGGAAGTTCTCCAGACTCTGTAATAAATGGGCCCAGCCGTCACCAACTTCGCCAGTCTTCCCAGATCCACGGCCTCGCCATGTATCAAGCCCCTCAAGCCCTTCCAGTACCGCATGCTCCACATCAACATCTTTATGCTCACCGGTCAAACCAGCTAGGACCAGTTCTTCCTTGCCGCGGTATTCTTCAAGAAGCCCGGAATACGGAACCCAGACAACCTGCATCCCCGCCCGTCGCCCGGCCTCGACGCCAGAGACGGAATCCTCAAACACGAGGCATTCTTCCGGTTTTATTTCAGGTTCACCGTTATTTGCTGCGCGTATTTCCTCATTGACAGCCTCCAGTGCCAGTAGATAGATGTCTGGTAACGGCTTGCCTCTTCCCGCGCCGATGCGGGGATTGTCACCTCGGATCAGTCTCGATTCAGGGAATACGGAGAAAAGATCTGCCAAGTGGGCGGCTTTCAAGGCGTAGTTTTCGGACGTCGATGACGTGGCTAGTGCCATATGAATTGGGCATGGAGTCTGCGCGGTCTTAGCAAGAGTCGATAGTAGAGAAACTACGCCTGGTAACGGCTTTGTGGTCGGGAAATGTATTTTCTGGAGCGCTGCTTGCTTCTCGCGGAAGTCTTCCATGCTGATGGGCAGTTGGGCCCAATCGTGGAATATCTTTCTGGCCTGGATTTTTGTGGATTTTTGTTTCCCCCCTTCGTATCAGTTATATGCTGCCATGAGGAGGAATGAAGCTATATACATTGATATGTGTGTCTGTAGTACCTGTGGAGCGGGACGGCCCTGCAACTGTGCCTTGATAGACCATGGCATAGATGGCCTACCATACTCATGCAGAATAGTATTTATCACTAGCGAATAAATGTCCTCTGAATCGATAAGAAGGCCATCCATGTCGAATAGACAGGCCCTAACGGGTGGCGGTCTTGATAGAGTTAAGTCAGTCGCTGCGGCGCTCATGCTTTGGGCAAAACACACATACTGCTTGCGCCCGGAAGTCATGACTGTAGTCTTAAATGCAGGTTATTCTCTTAACAGCAAAAAAAACACGTGAATTCAATAACGATATAGTTAATATTAACATGTTGTGATTTGAGTGCTTTGAGCCAGAACCTGCTGGGAGTTGCAACGGGGAACAATCAATTGCCCGCTTCCAGTTGATCTCTGACTAGCTTCACCATAAATAAATAACTAATTAATAACCTTGGCCGCTAGTTAGAGCACCTTTATCCCGAAACAAGTGCCGGAAAAGCAACCAACCACCGTAAATCCGCTCTAAAGAAATGACCCGTCCAGCTTCATCCGACAGCGACGAGGAAGAAGTATTCCACGATGCGCGCTACCCCTCGGACGAAGAAGCCGTTTGTCTCCCTCCGCAAAAAGAATCCCCTCCCCTGTTGGCGTTAACCACGGGTCAGCGGTCCTTTGTTCTCTAGATAGATATGCTAAGCTAGTGTTTTGATTTAGGACCTCTTAAACCAATCCAATACCCATAAGTCCGAGGCGAACAAATTGTTCTCGTCTGCCCGCTACTCGGAAGCCGTCACAACCTACGACCGCGCCCTCTCCTTCTGCCCCAACTATCTAGACTACGAAATCGCCGTCCTCCGCAGCAACATTGCCGCATGCCATCTGAAACTGGAAGATTGGAAAGCTGCTGTCGAAGCAGCCACGGCCAGTATTGACCGGCTGGATAAAGCGCTGTCATCGCACCTACAAGGGGAAACGGCATCTGGGGAAAGAGCTAGCGATGCGGCCGTGGACAATAATAAAGTGGTGGAACTGCTCGATGGGGACGGGGAAGGAGAGTCCGAAGAGGCACAGCTCAGGAAACTCCAGGAGGACGATAAAAGGAAGGAAGATATCCAGCGCATACGTACCAAGGCGCTCATGAGGCGGGCTCGGGCTAAGATGCAGCTGGGAGGGTGGGCCAATCTGCAGGGGGCTGAAGAGGATTACAAGGTCTTGCTTGGAATGGGGGATCTGCCGGCGCAGGATGAGCGGATTGTGCGAAAGGCGCTGAGGGAGCTGCCTGGCTTGATTAATGCTGCGCGAGAGAAGGAGGTTGCGGATATGATGGGCAAGCTTAAGGATGTAAGTTGTGTGACCCGTTTTTGAATCTTGTTGTCGTGCTTTAGCATTTTATGGTTTCTTACGAATGTCGTGTTTTAGCTTGGGAATGGGATCTTGAAACCATTCGGACTGTCGACGGATAATTTCAAGTTCGTGAAGGACGAGAAGTCTGGCGGTTATAACATGTCATTTGAGAAATAAAGGTAGATCTATCCCGGCGTTCGTAAGGAGATCATTAAAAAGACTGAGTTTTGCAATAGAATCAATCATTTTGCCCATACAGAAATCATGCCTAGCTGCTTGTGTTATCCATGATGCAGACAAACCCGGACGGGCTACATCGACGCACGCTTTATCACTCTGAACATATAATATCTCTTGCTTGCTCTTTCCGTACCTTATTTAGATAATCAGGGCATCCGTCATATAGAATAAAATCTTCGTTTTATTTCAGATCTGCGAGAATTGTATTCGTTCCGGAGAAGAATTTCCAAAACATCAGTAGTCATATTGTAGGTCACCCCCAGGTTAGATATTTACTGAAGATGCCCCTCAAGCCCTTGAGGACAAGCCAGGACATACTACGGCTTTTATGTCCGATTAACCCTATCTTATACATATACTACTTATACATCGATATTATAGTGAAAGCCAATAACACCAACGCGGTTGCTGATTATTAATTCTTTTCTGCAGTGCGTAAGTACAATCTGCTATTACAAGTGCGGATAAAATTGAACAATTTTGTATCCCACCATACCATACCGTATAACTATCCCTTGAAAGAACAAAAATTTCAAAGTAAAAGCCCAAATTTATGACTAACGTTGCCAAAGGGAGAAGACAAAAACAAAAACCCTGTGGAAGCAAGTCCTTTTTAAAAGTGCGGCCAAAGGCCCCTCCTAATACTGTAAACCAGGGCCAAGTGGAGTTAGCGAAAAAAAGGAAAAAAAAAAAAAAAAAAGGTCCACGGCGTTAACGATGGGCTGGTATTAGCGCAAACATGTCAGGCAGTCAAAATACAGGCAAAATTGGCATTCATGGACATGGCAAACCACCTAGAACTTGATCAGCCGCTGGTGGGAGAGTTGGCTACGAATCGAGTGATTCCAAATATCATTGTATGGCCTGTGAAGTCCAACGGGATGAATGTTTTTGAATCCTTCGAACAGCGGCAATTCCCGATCCTAGAAGAGAACAAAAAGAGAAAACGGAAGGAGAAGAGGGTATTAATGTGGTTAATCGAGAGCGGGAAAGGACATAAACAAAATCAATCGGAAGGGGTTGTCCCGTAGCTAGCTCCCTGAAAACAGTGGTTCGGAAATCCACGATGTTGGATTAGGTGTTGAAATTCCAACATGGAATGGGATCTAAGTAAATAGAACCTAATGACAGAAAGCTAGCGAAGAAAGAGAAAAACTGAAAACAATTGCATAAAACAGGACGTATGCAAGTTCAAAACGAATTGACCGCGAGGGGAATATGTTTGAAAAGGAGCTGCTGGAAAGGTACGCTGCATCAAGATGCAACGACGCAGCTTCATCCTGGGTTTCCTTGGGCCATAGGTTTGGGGTAGAAAGATATTCTACGAAGGTGCATGACACAAAGAGACATTTTCGGCGTGGGTTTCCACGTTTCAAATCATCGAGCCTTCTTCTGAGGGGAAGGGACAAAATCAGAAGCATCACTTTCATCCTGGGAGCGCTTACGGCCGTGTCCGTAAGATACCTCAGTAGAACGGGCATTGCGTGACCCGTAGCGTGCGGGCGCGGGGCCTGTCGCGTGCTGGTAGGTTATCCAAGGATGTGGAGCAGGCCCCATCGCCCGACGATTGGAGTTTGGCCCAGGAGAATTGTAGATGGCAGGCTTGAGTTGAGTGGACGCTTGCTGCCTGAACTGCTCTGTTATCTCCTCACGATTGTAAGGGCCATTGTTGTACAGAGGGGTATTCTGTCCAAGTCCATGGATGGTGTTAGTTGACTGGCTGCGCGCAAATCCAAAAGCTGGTTGCCCATATCCAGTTAACCCACTAGAAATCATGGGGTTGAGATCGAAAGTTCGGCCAGTAGCCAAGGTATTAATTAATTGGGGATGTGCAGCCATAGAAAATGTATTATGATGCATGGGGTAGGCCATATTATCCTGAGTGGAGGGCTCTGTAGGGCTAGAAAATCCCATTTGATGGGTCCCTTGTGAGTGGGTAAGCGGACTGCTGTTTAGCGTCATGTTTCGCACATTGGTATTGATGTTCACAGGGGTGCTAGTATCCCTGGTTGGAGAGTCTCTCCGTGGAGTACTGAAGGGAGTACAGAGGCCTTCACGGTCCTCAGACGTGCGCTTCGCTGGAGTGGATTTAGAGTCAGTTCTGCAGTGGCCCAGGGCCTTCTTTCCGGCGTTCATAACCTCCCCTTTGCGCTTATTGAGATTCTTATTGGCCACGACGCGCTAATTGATCGTCAGGGCGTTTCTATTTGTTCTGGAAAAATGCTAGTCACTCACATTTTTGGCAGAGACAGGGTCGTCAACAAAGGTAAATAAGTAGTATGCATCTAGCAAATGCTTGCAGATGGTTTTCTGGGTCTGAGGACATGATTAATAGGACATATATCGACTTTCCTAGAGGGACGCCTACCCAGAGACACTCAATAATCTTGTCCATTCTGTCTTTGAACGTCGGCATTTGGCCAGTAGTCTTTGCCTTGCCGTCATAAATAGCAAGAAGTGGACCATTCTCATGGCGACTGATACAAGAATCCTGTAAAATACGTATATTAGCAACATTTGCCCAAATAATAGATATCATCCACAAACCAGGATATTCCAACAAACTATTTCCATCCTGATTGGACTATGTTTCTGTTCACGGAATGGGCGGATCATGCCCTCATTATCTTCCGCATACTCGATGCTCTTCATTGCTTTGAGCATCTCGGTAACAATCTTATGCTTCGCCTCCAGGGTTTTTGGAATGGTGGGGTCGTAGTCCACTTGGACTTCAAAGGCGCGCCATGCGTTGGCTTCTTCGACGCATGAGAATTGGAGCTCAGGATCAGGTCTTCCTTGGTTCGCGGATGACATTGGAGACGTGGGGATAGGATCTTCACACTTCATCTCAGGTTGGTGACCAGTGGCAGTATCCACACTCTCACCACTAGCCATGTGAGCCGAAAAGTGTGCGTTCTGAGAAGGAGAGGGATAAGAGGACTGATGATGGGAGTAATTCCCACCGATTCCGAAATCCGAGATCTCTCCAGTATCGACGGGGCGACCGCAGAAATCGGTTCCCTGAGATTTCTCGCACTCAGAACTTTCAGCCGCAACTTTCGGTTGAAAAAAATCTAAGTTCACAGCATCACTTGGATCATATTGAGCTTTCTTTGTGTCACATGCGGTGTTAGTGTTGTCCTTTGGTAACGGGTTAACTGCGCTCCCACTAGCGGAGTGAGGAGGGGCTGGCAATGGTTGTGCATGGCGCCCAGTAGATTCTTTGGGTGTAGAGCTGAGCTCAGCGGGAGCCATTCCTGTAGCACTGTGCTGCAGACTGGGAGTCGTAGACGGGGAGGTGGTCGATAAACTTTCGATCGCTAGCGGATACGGCGTAAAGTCTGGAACAGCTGATCGATTATATATTAAACCCGTTAGAACGTTTATTGTCGAATTGGCAGTAAATAAAAACTCTTAGATAAAATTTTAAGATAAGGCCATGCATTGTTTTGTTTATGCAATAGTGCTCTGGGTGGTTGGGTGGGAAACGAGAAGTGGTAGATAGAGTCGCTGGGGTCAAGAAGCGGTATGGATACTGTACCTTCACTTCCCAACGCATCAACCGGCTTGGGACCCAGATTTTCAAGAAAACCTGGGTCGATGGTTTCAGGTTCGCTGTTCGTCAGTCCAGAGGATGAGAAGTCCTCGCGGAAATTGTCCATGTGGTACCTATTCATATCAGATTAGTATCACAAGAAATCAGCGCCAATATGAAGAACGCATCTTACGTTGCCTCGTCCACAAAAGAGAAATGCTGCTCCATTATATTGTTGAAGAAGCCCTCCATAGGCACCGGCTCAACCATTGGGTGGTAATAACCGGAAGAGTCAGCTGGATCCATTCTTGTTGGATTGATCTCCAACGAGACTTCTTGCAGAGAGTTTCGAAACTGAAGCTGGAAAAAACGAGACTTATTCGCAGTATCGCATTAAATCCCTTGATTTTCAGATACAAACCAGAAGCTCTAGGGGCATCAGATAGAGAGTGCTAGGTCAGGTGTCAGCCATGATTCTGCACCTGACCAAACGAGGAAAATCTCGACAGGAAATGGGGTGGAGAAATGTCACACCTACTGTTAGAAAGGAGCCAGAGGCTGGGTGAATGGGTAGTCGTCTTTGGTACGCTGGATTGCTCGTTTTGACTTGGACGATGCTTGATGGATCCCACAGAACAAGGAGATATCAACAAGGTACAGAAGGACAAGCAGGCTTCCGCAGGTGCGAAGTTTCGAAGTGCGAACCGTAGTAAAGTTGCTCGATAAGAGCTGGAAATTAAAAAGTGTTTAGGACGAACTGAAAACAGCGACAGACATACTAGGAGACAGTCGGAAGTCCGGATCGTCCCTAGCGGAAGTTCGATTTTCAGGTGACCGATGAGGAACTCTGTTAGGCTATCCTGTGATGTCAAGCAGATTCAACGTGGATAGAGTAAAGGATGTGAAAGCGGTGGATTGGGATATATCAAGAAGGTGTAGAAGAGAAGGAAATGAACAGCAGAGAGGGGGAGGGGAGAAGACACGAAATAGGGGGGCTGGGTATGTCGGGCTTTATATTCACATATACTCGACTTCGTTGGGGGTGGAATTCACTGCGGATAGAACGCCAGCCACCACATTGTTCGAAATAAGGGGTTGCAGAGATATATGGCTGTGGAAGCAGGAAACTGCAGAGAAAACGGAGTTCTTTTTTCATATCGAATCCCGATACGTCTTTCGAGTCATATGGAATAACGCACCATGTGACAACGCCTGTAGGATAGAAATCCATTGTGCCCGGAAGCTTGAATTGAATATGAATAGCACGATTATCCCATTTACCAATCCCAAAATAGCGAAATACTATTATTTCAATCGGGTAAACGAACCAACGATAAGTATATCTAGAGACCTGCCGGGAAATCCCAGTGGTCAGAAAGGATCGCATTTAGTTATCGCTGTAGAAGAGGGCATACATACCAGCCATTATATCTGTCCATGCTAAGCCCAAGTCCTCCCGCAAAATTTCGACAAACACTATGTCTTTTTAGTAAAGACACCAAACCTCCCAAAACCCAGGGAAATCAAACCGGACAAGTTTGTCGAGCGCGCAATAAACCAAACACACAACGAATAATTTTTGCATGGAATATCAGTAAACGTCTGGATGGAGCACGAAAAATTAACTTGCCTATATTCGTTATTGATGAAATGAACAAATAATATCTTCCATCCGCGAATTCAAATTCATCTCTCGAAATCCCTTCGCTGAGGGAAACGACGCGCAAAATGGGTATCTGACGCTTTTGGTAAGGCCATAAATGGAGTACAACCGCCATAATCCATGGCGTCAGTCATATCGCACTCATATTACATGATGTTGGCAAGTTGAACTGACAGGCCGACACCGTAGGACACTTGAGCATCTACTACATCCCTGAGAGATTGCGCATAGCGACAGAATGCCCCCCCCATAACCTCTGCTGCAACGAGGAGCAAGATAAGTGAAGAGAAATAGAAGAAACCATAAATATGACTTCAGCAGGTTCGAAAATAAGTGCTCCCCGCAGCGAACTGCGATGAGGCTCGCTTCACTTCCGCACAAGAGGGAAAGGCTGTAGACGAAAAGGGCTGAGGGAATCAAAGACGCGAAAGCAGCGATCGAGAGTTTAAACCTGCCAGATAGATGCCTCATGCGATCCTAAAGAAGAACTGGACGCATGGCTAGTGATCGAGATGCACTGTACAGCTATTTGTTCTAGCCTTGGATGAGGGTAAAGAAAATGAGATGTTTGCTTGTGGGCTTGATCTTCTTACCCTGCAGGTCAGAAGCACAACGAATGTCCATGGAGCATAGATACACAAAGTCAGGAACTCACATTGCGAGTTCTAGGCTAGAAGGAGACAGGCTATAGATGATCTTACTTGGGATTAACTACTTGAAGACAGCATTGTGCGGGTATCCAAAATGAGCCATCCTGGTGGGATAAAGCAAGCAAAGCATTTCCACATTTTGTATGGGGAAAATCCATCACACCGCGAAATACAAAGAAATTGAATAAGCAAACCAACTGAACATGGTCTATCCTGGATAGTTAGCATCGATGAATAGAGTAAGCTGGTCTGGTGGGGATTCCGTCTATCCATTGATGATGTTTGATGATGTTGGTTTGATTAAGCTCAGCCTGCCAAGTAGTTAACTTATCTGATAACTAACTGTTGGCCAAGACCTTAGTCCTGCGGTTGAAATATTACGCTCCACACGCAGTATATTTGGAGTGCCATCAGGATATAAATAAAGAGGTTTCATGTGAAAACGGCATTGTCACCTGTTACTTTTAGCATTATATAGAATTATATACAACGGGCGTTTCTCTTGTGTTTCCAAGAAAAAGATCAAATTTCTAAAAACGCCACGCTTCCCTAACACGCTCAGCTATAAAGAATTGACATTCAGCAGCCATTAACATTCAATTGATGTTGAAGGTTTTTGAAGGGAAATCTGATGGTCACGGCACGGCTAGGGTATGTGCTGCGCTATCTTCAGTATCATGGGTGAGAGCCGGAAAATTGCTTGACCACCTACAGCCCCACAAGAGAATAACTTAATTCCCAGCAGTATAGTAGCCGGGGACGTGCGAAGGGTCATTTAGCGGAGATAACCGGAGATGGCCAGCTCCCGAAGATTTAGCAACTCGTCCTCTATGGCGTAATAAACATTCTTTTCCAGGCCTATTATACCTTGTATCAAAGCTGACTTGAGTTTCGAGCACGCAACCAGAAATGTGCGCGTATTTTTCATAGCTATCTCAGGTTTGCGTCCCTAAGACCTTCCCCTCGAGCCACTTTTCGGGAAGGAAAATAAAAGAAAACAAAAGAAAATCAAAGGCCACTTTCTTCGGCGTCTTCGGCCCACGATATGGTGTTATCCGATCCCCAGACATTTGCGAATATTGATTTCGCCTACAGGGATGGGGGAGCCATCAGCTGTATCTTGTGTGCCTGAAGTTCCGGCTGTTTGTCAGCACAAGCCATCACTTGGTCTAACAGCTCGCTGGGGTCCATTGGAACTCAGCAACGTACGGCGATCCCGTGGATGATCCTGAGTGCTGACTCTAGTGGAAGGAATGTATGATACATGTCCACGGAGTCCGCGAGCAATTCCGCTTGAGCGGGTTATTGATACGGCGTCGCTCGTGGGACAGCGCCCCCTGGAAGGGCTGTATGAGGATATGAAGAACTTCTTCTCATATATCATAGATTGTGGAAGCTCAACTGCCAGTTGGGGACTTAAAGAAAGTTCACGACAGATGATTAGCGCGCGTATCCTTTCACGACTCTTAAAGTGCCCATATTTTCAAGGAGTTGTCGATATTGTTTGCCATATTTCCATCGCTATGATTGCCGTCATTGGCGTTGCCTTCCATCATCTCATCTGCATCGACAGGTGGATACTTTTTTTGACCAGAACAGGTTGCTAAAACACCGCCCATCGGGTGGAACACAGCACTGGTTACAGGGTCTGTTAGATATATCGTCAGTCCTATCTAGCTCGTTCGACTGGTTAATGCGATGATGGATCACTTACCATCATGAACTCGCTTCTCCCATTGCGGCTGTCTCCCATTTTCAGTTACATGTGAAGGATCTGACCACACTCTTACCCTTCCATCAGTCCCACCAGCCCAAACTTCCGTGGCGTTACGTTCGTCTCCAGGAACAATATCTGCTTTGAGTCTTTGGTTGGTCATTCCGCCTCTCCCCTCCAACCATCCCACCAGTTGACCAGTCACTCGAATATCGTACACAAGAATCCCACTGCTTTTTCGCTCGATGACGAACAAATATCGGCCACACGGGCTCCAAAGCACCTGTGTAATACCCTTACCACCGATGCGCGAATCTGCTACCGTGCCTTCAACACTGAATGTGGCGATTGTATCACCGGACCCGTTGGATGCGTAAAGGCCTATGTACCTCGTGAAAGTACCTGCTGCCAAAACTCCGTCTCCAGATGGGCTGATGGACATGGTGGAAACGATTCCTTTCATTCCAACACCGCCACCAACGATTTTCTTCCGTTTGCTTGGAATGGTTTGGAGTGTGGACACGGGGCCGTCTTTTCCAGGACGGGACACGTCGAACAGACATATCAAACTATCCGAACCTGTCAGAAACTGCGTCCCGCTAAGGTTGGTTGGGTAGATGATGGAATGTGGCGTAATGAAAGCCTCAGTGGTAGGTGAGACAAGGCTGTACGAAGCTGAGAATCCGGGATATAAGGCAGAAGTTAGTCGAATGGGGTGGTCTCTAACAGAAGAGAGTAGCAGGGTCGAAGATGCGTCCTGTAGCCCGTAGAATGGGTAAATTGCCATTGCATAGATTGGTTCTGCTGATGGAATTGTATGATATGGTTCTAGTTCATGAGGCTGGTCTCTCTGTTCGAGGAGATCCGTGGGTCTGTGCATTGGGGATATATTCAGATGAGTTCGGTATAGGGTCAAGTGAGGGGAGCCACATACAACACAAAAGTTCTGATAGTGTTGTCCGCCGAATTTGTAATTACGCAAGTCCCATCTGCTGTCCTATTAACACGATTAGCTCAAGTTTTTTTTTTTTTTTTTTTTTTTTTTTTAAAAAAAAAAAAAAAAAACCGAAAACCATCAGTGCTATATATTTAAGACCGGACGTACCAAGTAGCCTCTTTAAAATAATTAGATATGGCTAGGTATTCTCCTGGAAGGGCCTTTTTCTTGACTGATGGCTTTTCGGGTGTCGAGAAAGCAAAATTCCGAGTTGAAGCTACGCAATTCAAATCGAAGGACTGGCCAAATTGATCCATGGTGGTGAGAATTGCTTCCAACCCTGGACTGGACAGAAACGGGAGACAAAGATTTCAAATTAAGCCACTGGCAATCATGGACTACCGTCAGAATCATCGGATGGCGCTAATCTTGCATGGAGGGTCATAATTGAGCCGGTCGTGGTGAATCCTTAGAGATCTGGATCGAATCCACTATGTATCTGCCGTCTGCAATGCCAAAAAAAGAGCTATTTCAATTTACAGATTAGTGTGGTTCCTGGCAAATCATCTTGATGGTGGGGAGGGCCCCGGTTCAAAAATCAAGGGAAAAGAAAAAAACGCTTACTTTGGGCCCTGTTCGACGAGTTATGTATGTAGTAGCGTGATTTAAAACTACAGTAGAACGCCGAATCTAACATCTGTTGGCCCTAGGCTGCCTATCACGGACTAACTTAGCGCACCGCACATACAGTATGCCTCAGCGGCCGACATGCTAATAGAACCACTTAGACGTCCCACAACATCCTACCTAACACTTTGAGATGGGATGAAATCACCTGATAACGGTTGAACTTTAGCTTCAAGGTTGAACCCTGGCATTTGAACCCTGAACCCTGACGTTCAAAGAGCCTTGAAGTTCGTATCTCGGAAATTGGGCAAAAGTCCTTGACAAAATCTCTGTTCACCTGCTACTAGGATTCAAATACCAGGAACTTGAATGATCCAAAAACAGATTACTTGTCGTTATTTGCTATTGTATTCCTGCTCTCATCCCCCCTAACACACTTGAACACACTGGTGGCAAACCCTAGTATCCAGGTCCATCATGGACGCCGCTTTATTCTTAAACTCGATACACAGTAACTCCGTATACTGGCTGTAACCGTATAGGCCATCCGCTCTTTCACTTTAGCCCTAGCCTTACCGGCAGCGATTTTCCGTCGGCCCGCTCCGGGGATGGTTGACGAAGCGGTGCGGGGAGTCAGCAACTCAAGATCTCAGCTTCTCTACTTCAATTATGAACGGGGGTCCCAGGTCGCGAAGGACAAGCTGGGTATCCCAAAACCTGATATGCGAATTATAGAACTGTCCAGTCTCGTCATGGGATGCTTAGGGCACATAATGGAGCTGCCAATGCCCTATGTAACTGCAACCCGTCAGCAAACTTTTTAGTTATGTCTTCTTTGCTTCCTATCCCCATTGGTCGGAAAAAGTCATCGAATCGTCCTGAGTACCTGCTGCCTCCGAGATACCCTGTGGTTGGTAGTTTCGATCATCCACTATGTTTTGAGAGAGGAACAGGCACCAGTAACTACCGATAGAATTGTTCTTTGAAGAGTATCCGCCCTGCTGAGTGGTTTCCCCGGCCTCCAAGGTGCTTCCATAGTCAAAATCCCGATTCCAACCCGTCAAGTCGTCGATGCCTTCATTTCTCGTCGTGTGCATAGGGCCATGATTTTGTTTTCTTTGGAGATCGGCTCGCCCGCGTCCAGCCAATGAACCAAGACAGAAATATTAAACCTTGGGAATCTGTAGTTCTATCTGACTGACTTGTTAGGTCCTCATCTACTCCCTGCAAGCTCGTCGACCATATCTCCAGCATCTAGATGTTTCAAGACGATATTAATATCCGAGTATCCCCACTCTGGGGGATCACTCCCACCAGGCTACTGTAACCTACAATTCCCATGACTATTCGGAAATTGTGCTCGAGAATTCACAATTTTCGAGCAATACCACTGTGATCAAAGTGGGGTTTCAATCAGTGGAAAATGGAGCAGTGTAGATAAAGATTGTTTTGCCTGTATTCCAGATGAGGAGGACAGGAAGTCTTTTTTCTGATTAAGGACAACTGTGTTACACCCACAGAATATGAGTTCTTTGGGGTTGTTTCTTGGATTTCTGTCCCTCGTGGCAGGACAGGCTAACTTGTTGTATGATCCCACAAAATATCCTAATCTTCCAAGCTATGGACCACAGGTAATAGGAAGACTTTCACCCTTCACTATTGAGTGTGCAGCCTGGCTGACAATCAATGTTAGTCCAATCCTCCATATATGGTGGATAATCAATACAATTACTTCAAAACTGCCCCAGATAAGGGTGAGTGAGTGTTTTTTCCCACTGGCTATCGATGGACGCGCATACTCTCCTGAATATGACATTAACCTTGTACTAGGAGAGCAAAATGGACCAGTATGGCTTGAGTCTGGTAGTTTCGAGGCCTATATGTCACAACACTTGAAACACTATAATCAAACCTCTGTTGATACTTCTGGGAACTTAAAAAAAGCTGCTGGAAGTGCTTCAAACAGCACTGCTACCACTGCTGCTAGTAGCTACTGATTGCCGAAGCTTGCCCCTTTAGAAGTGGCAAGTACTTCCTCTCCACTGAGATTCTCTAGAGCTAATCTAGTTTTACAGCAACCCCTTGCTGGAGCTGACTACAAGTTCTACCGAGATGTTGTGGAGTATGGTGCTGACAACACAGGCAAGACTGATGCCACAGAGGCAATAAATGCAGCAATTAAAGATGGCAATCAATGTGGATTGAAATGTGGGAACACATTTGTAAAAGAAGCTATCATCTATTTTCCTGTAAGTAGACTCCTCTTCTGTAAATGCAGACTAGCATTTTAATTAATATCTGCATTAATCTAGCCCTGGAACATATAAAATCTGCCGACCTGTCATTCAGTTTATACTATACCCAGTTCATTGATGATGCCCTGGATCCACCCACAATTAAAAGGATGTGATACCTTTCAAGGAATTCCTCTTTTTGATACAGATCCATATATACCTAAATGGAAATGGCCAAAATTGGTATATCAATCAAAATCAATTTTTCCGCCAGATTCATAATTTCATCTTTGACTTGACAGAGATGTCCTTGTCAACAGCTGATTATGACCAGCCACTTGTGCCAACAGGCATTCATTGGCAGGTGTCTCAAGCCTGTTCATTGCAGAATCTGGTCTTCAACATGCCAAAGGCAACTGATGACAACAAAGTCACCCATGTGGGTATCTTCATGGAAAATGGTAGTGGTGGATTTGTCTCAGACTTGGTGTTCAATGGTGGTAGTATTGGCTGGCGTGCTGGTAAGGAGACACACTCGTGTGCTTGCAAATTAATTATTTCAGCATGTCAATGTTAACAATTAATTTTAACAGGCTCCCAACAGTACACAGCAATGAATCTCAAATTCAATGACTGCCTTACTGCCATTCAGATGATTTGATCCTGGGGCTTTAATTGACAGTGTGTTGAGGTTACTGATGGAGCAGTTGCTTTCAACATCAGTGGCAGAGGGGGCAGCACAGGCCAAGGCATAGACTCTGTCTCCATCATCGGTATGTTTGCAACAGGTACTATGCTAAATCTGAGCTAACTTTTACAGACTCTCAGATCATGAACTGTCCTATTGGTATTTTAACCAACACTCAGAATGACAAGGTTAATGGGCCCCTCAACATTGTACTTGACAATTTGAAATTGTTTAATGTTGAAACGACAGTTAAAAATGATACTGGTGATGTCATTCTCAAAGGCACTGATTGGGTCAAGCTCTGGGCGATTGGATGTCGTTACAAGGAGTATAATGGAACTTATACTTCAGGTGAAGTTGATGCATCTAAAAAGGGGACAGACTTGCTGGACATAAACAGCAGACTCACCTATAAATCTCGCCCTCAATATGAAAACCTCAGAGTGGATGACTTCCTCATTGCAACAGAACATAGCTGTAAAAATGATGGCACTGGGGATAATACAGCAGATATTAACTCTTTCCTTGAGAAAGTCAATAAGAATGGCAAGATTGCTTATTTCCCAGCAGGCATTTACATAGTTGGTGGCACTGTAGTCATCCCAACTGGTTCTAGAGTGCAAGGTTCAAGTTGGTCACAAATACAAGGTGCTGGATTCTATTTCAATGATCTTCACAACCCACGTGTGGTTGTCCAGGTTGGGGAGAAAGGTGATGTAGGTGATATGAAGATAGTTGAGATGATATTCACTAGTCAGAGAGCTACAGCTGGTGCTATAGTTCTTGAATGGAATGTGCATGAGGATCGCCAGGGATCTGGTAAATCATCACAATTTTAATAACCACCATTTTCAATACAAGATGCAATCCTCCTAACATAGAACATTGGTGGGCAGCTGCCATGTGGGACTCTCATGTGCGTATTGAAGGAGCTTTGGATTCGGATCTGGATGTCAAAACCTGCCCAAAATTCAAGTTTAATGATGCATGTATTTGTGCTTCTCTCCTCTTTCATGTCACACCACAGGCCTCAGGCTATTTTGAGAATGTCTGGATATGATTGGCAGATCAGTAAGTTAAACCCCTCTCCCCTCCCTCCCCCCCTCCCTCCCCCCTTTTGACAAGGTGATGATGATTTGCTATGAGCATGGTGGATTATAGCTGACTTCAGAATCCGGTCAGCGACAATGATATGAGTGTTTATGATTCATCTGACAAGTTGGAAAATCAAATCAGCTTATACGCCGCCCGCGGAACACTGATAGAGTCTGAAGGGCCCTCTTGGTTCTATGGCACTGGTTCCGAAAACACTGTCATGTATCAGTATCAACTCTATGGTGCAAAAAATGTAAGTGGCCAATGGACTCAAATACTCAAGTCCTGTGCAATTCTCATCATTCTTCATAGATATACCTTGGCCATATTAATCAGAGACCCCGTATTATCAGCCAGTTCCAATAGCACCTTTGCCATTTGACCCTGTCAAGGAATTCCCTGGTGATCCATCTTTTGATAAATGTGAGGCTACTAGCTGTGAAGCAGCATGGGCTTTACGCATCATCAACTCAAAGAGTATAACATTGCATTCCTCAGGATTATACAGCTTTTTCCAGAAGTATTATCAGAACTGTGTTTCAACACATAATTGCCAAGAGCGTTCTCTTGAAGTCAGAGGCAGTAAGGATGTTACTCTTTTTAACATTTTCACAGTTGGCATGGTGGAAATTGGAACTGGTATCAAGAAAGAGTCATTTCCTGACACATTCTGGACGCGGCAAGTTGCTAATTTTCATCCTAGCCATGGCGCAGTTTTCCAAAATGACTCCAGTCAAAGGTTTGTAGGTTTTTTTTTTTGATGTCTTTCCTCTGCTGAACTTACTCATTAATGATTGAACACTTCAATCACAGTGGATTTACTACAGAAGTTAGTGTTTGAATTTCTTTGAAAGAGGATGATGACTATGACATTGTTTATGTTGGATCTGAAGTTTATGATAAGCCCTCAGTTACATGCTCAGCCGATTGCATTCTTGTGTTTCCTATCAGTTCACTCTCTTCACCAACAACAATTGATCCAGGTAAATACACAACATCTGTTGAGTATGGAAACCGCGGCACAACAACAATCGGTGGGCGAGAAGTTCCCACATTCTATACAACAGTTACTACCATCACATTGACTATAGACCCAATCACCACAGATGGAATGCCCTACTCAAACATCAACATAATTGAAGAAAAGACAAGTGCTTCTCTCACTGTACTGCCTAGTGTTGATATTGCACCCATCCCTGTGCCAATGCCAGATGGTGAAGGGAAGACAACAACCCACAATACCACTGTCCCATTCTGATCAGATATTACCAAAGGACCACCTGAAAGCTGGAGCAATCCCAATGCCTCTCCCACAGATGGCACTAGAGAAGGAGTTTATCATACTTCTTTTATGACCACTGTTGTTGCCACTCATTCAACTGTCTCAATCATTTCATTTCCATCAACTGTCAGTTCAATTGTTGTTAAGTGTCCTTCTCACTCAAAAGTTCCTTTCAATACTCCAAAGACAACACCTACAATTGACTGAAGAGTTCCCACAACAGTGTCTATTGGCTTCACTTGTCCAGCAACAAAAGTTGTCACATTTATTGATTCTTCTACTGAAGTTTTTACAGTTGACTGCACTGTCTCAACATCATTTACCAAGCCAGATCAAACAATTACTTCAGTACCAACAAATACACCAGTTAGTATTTCCAAATATATCTAACTATAGATGTTTGATAGAGATCATGTGGTGCTGACCATACACCTCAACAGACAACTACCCGGCCACTTCCAGTGTGGTCAACATGGCCAGCTCAAGAAGTCACACCAATTGAGGAGGAGGTGAAAAAACCAGAGCCAGGTAAAACACCTTGCAACCTCTGGTTTTTCTCTGTAAGTTTTAGTCAAATATTAAAATTATATAATCACCTTGGGGCCCGATTGACTGGATACAGTTCTGTCTGAATAGAGATGATGGTAAAAGGCTTACGCTGGAATCTCCCACCGGGCATATACCCACCGTAAGTAGTGTGTTCCAATATACCTTCAACTGTTAAGTAAGGGCGGTGCATTGACATGGTTTATTCCCACGTTTAGGGGCCCGCCACCCCCGCGCGCAATAGATCCTCCTCCATCATGGACGATAAAGCCACCTCTCCCACCTTGGCCCCCAATCACGTAAGAATAGATTTTTGTTCAGCCCATCCGTTGCAAATCATGGAGGTACAGCATAAACTGACTTGCACTTAGGGTTGGACAAGATCGTATCTTAACATATCCCAAAGAGGAGCCTACTAAATGTGAGAAAAAGTCAGCATCGGTTTGTGCAACAACTGTATTTAAGACAACAACAAGTAGAGGAACAATCACCTCTACAGTTACGTCCACCAGTTCCAGATGTGATAAATTTACGGCTGTTCAGCATCAGATTGGGATACAACAACTACTAGCACAAAACCAAGTAACTGTCCATCATCTCCAACAGCCCGCCCCACTGGACGGCCCCTACACCACCTCCAGACTGCCCTGCAAATGCTCTCGTGTACCCTTCTGACATGGACAACGTGGGAAATATTCGCCAAATTCTTGCTAAATACAAAGACAAATATTTGGAGGTCAGATCGGAGGAGCTACATTTCACAGTATTCTTTTGGATTCCTTGGACCAAGAGACTATGAACGCCTTGTTAAACTCTGTATGGTCCCTATAAGAAGTTGAAGTATACGAACGCAAAAACTGATTTAATTACTTAGCCCGATGTTGCAGACGCATTTTATTACGAACGCAGGCCTGATTATGGAGATATTAGCGACATTGAATCTGATCGACTCACCCGAGCCTATGGTATAAGTAACCCCATCGAAGTCCTCAATCCTCGCCGCCAGGTCGGTGTCAATCATTTGAACAGCAGTCGTGTGGTTAAGCACAATGACAATGCGGATCCATTCGTACCAGCTCCGACAACGCGAGTAAGCCCATATACTTGGGATCTCTCGCAAATCTCTATGCCGAGAAACATGATTTGGAAGCGGCGTAACAATGCTACTATAGACGATAATGGTCTGTTTATGTTCAATTATGACAAAATCGCAGGGGACGATCAATATATTTACATAATGGGTGAAGACAAAGTCGACGAAACCCACCCTGTAAGATCCCTCATTTTTTGCTAGTTAAATTTCGAGAACACAAACTGACTAGGGTTAAATCTGCATAGGAAATGATATATCACAATGACATTGAATATTTGCGGCCAGATAATCGGTACCTCTATCCAGGACCTGCTGAACCTAGGGTGATGCACGCAACTGGGGTAGCTTCGAAGGTTTTAGGGAAGAATTTAGGCTCATGCCAGCTTTGTACACTCATTGTTGCATCTTTATTTGAAGGAGTTGTGACTCAAGATGAGAGTGTATTCCTGGTACGATACTTGGACCAATTGAGATGTGTCATCGATGATATCATAGAGAAAGACCGGATAAATGGGCAAAGCAGTTGTTAACATGAGCCACGGTCTCAAACAATCGGCTCTTGGCAATGTCTTCCTACAAGAGTTTCGTAAGCATCCACACTCCCCTTGTGCCTCGACTCATGTTTTTCGCATCACCGTTCAATTCCTAGCCGATATTATTTTGGGCTTATTAAAATAAGGCTTCCGGCACCGCCTTTCATGCTAATTCTTATCCAAATTGGGTGCGCGCCTCATAGATCGACTTCTCACGGAGATAGACGGTCTGAATGTTGCTCTGGTTGTCTCAACTGGTAATGAGGGTGCGACAATACCCCAAGTCGATACTTATCCATCCCTATTCGCCAACCCTGGAAATCGATATTACATACCAAATATCATTGTTGCGGGATCGACAGATATACATGGCCACCACTCAAAGTTCAGCCAATATGCCGATTGGATGACCACTTTAGCTCCTGGAGAAAATATTTGAATTCCTTTGGGTGCTAATGGATACACTCTATTCGGTGGAAATTCGTTTTGTGAGTTTTCTATTTATTTTGATAGTACAAAGCTGCCACACAAATAAATCCTGCGAATAAACAGTATTAACAAATTTTTCAAAACCTTAGCCGCCCCCTTCGTGTCCGGTTTAGTAGGATATTACCGGTCGTTACCGTCCCGATGGTCAAGCCAACTACAGGATCCTGGCAGTGTTAAAAAGATGATAAAAATTTTTCACCGCCGCATTGTCGTAGAGGGTAAACCGATAATTGATCAAAAGATGAAGCCCATCATATGGAATGGTCAGTTTGGGGACCATTCCTGTTTATCTGACTATAACACAGTTGAACAATGGGATCCTAATCGGCATTGCCCAAGAATCAAGCCAAATCTTGCAGATGAGACGAATGAGGGAGAAACAGTAGCGCCTTGCCATTATAATCCTGATTTTCTTGACAACTCACAGAAGCAACTTGATGGCACTTATTGTCCCCGTCTTCCCAGGGCCGACCCAGGTAGCCACACTGTCAGCTTCACCAGTAAAGGTGGAGTGAAACCAGCTCCCACATGTGCATCTGGAACTGGTTGTGGCGGTCACTTGTGCAAAGGTTTCTTCTGTTCACCAATGCCAACAGGAGTGCCCCATGACCGCCATGACCCAAAGGACCCAAATGCGAGCAGTCAGGTACCAACGACCACCAGGACTACAGGTCCACAGCCCGCATGTGATGACAAATGCAAGCTGGACAAGGGCAACCGATGTTCATGTGGCGAGAATGGATGCGATGATAAATCACCTAGCTGTTGTGCCAATGCCAGCTGCCCCTATTGCGACTGTGGCGAGAATGGCTGTAGCCCCAGCTCACCCTGGTGCTGTGGAAATGATTCATGCGAATGGTCAAGGACAGGTGGCGGTGGAGGGAACAATCCTCGCCCAAAACCAAAAACTGGTTTTGTCATGATTTCAGTGTCCGATGTCGAGAATCCTGCTCCACCTTATATTCACCATTATTGGGAAGTCTGGTTAACAACAAACCCAAAGACAATTGATTATTGCAAAGATGAATCTCTTGTGAAATTGAAAACAGATGATGTATCACAGGCATTACCTCCTTCGCTTGGACCATTTACTGCTGAAGGGATTACGTGCAAATACACCACCGACAAGAAATCAGTTGGTAAGCTAGAATGTAATTCTAATGTTGCCAAATCCTCATGCACGCTTATGGATCCAATTAAAAAATGGGAATGCACCCTAGAAAACCCGGTAAAATGGCTCACTGTCAGGTGTGAGTGGGAAGGACGGCAATAGAATGCGCATCCGGGCCGCTTGAATGGAGAATGCTGGGTTTTCTCTAGGGACCGGTTGATTCGTGAAACGGGGGGTGGGAAGGCTGTATAATTGCTACCAGGAAATTGATATACTCATTGTACATAGTATTTATTTATGGGTCTTTGCCTTCGTGCAACCAAGCTGGTATCAAAAGCAGTTCAACCTTTCAATCAACCAAGCCTTGCAATTTTTAGTCAAAGTATATATATACATACCGACCTAACTCCTACTTCGTGGTGTTCAGAATGTTGTAGTTTCATCCCCTTAAGACCTAAAAGCACCAAGGCAGGTCTTGTTAAATAATAGATTTTTTTTTTTTTTTTTTTTTTTTTTTTTTTTTTTTTGCTGTTGTTGGGGGGGGGGGGGGAAGGGGGAAGTTTGCTTTTGAAGGCTTTCAATATATGAGCTCTGTCCCTATTGGGAAGACTTGTATAGCCCATCAAAGACCTCGGTAGCATTGGAATGTTGAAACAAACAAAAGCTGAGGTCCTCCAGAGATGGACACTTCACGCACTGACTACCATGCGCTCCCTTTGACTGTCTGGCAATTCAACCTCCCTCGCAATGGATAAAAAGGCCGAGCTACACTATTTCCCTCTCATCTCCTCGCAATTGCATCGCCATCGAATGATGCCCGGAATCGATATACCTGAGCTGCAAACTATCGAAGAGCTGTACATAACGATGACGAGTATGGAGTATGGGTCTACAGGCCTACAGTAATTGATGAATGGTTGATAAAGTTCAAGCAAGAGAAAGCTATTTAAATAGCTGCTGGAAATATACATAAGTTGCCCGTTTAAAAGAACTTGACCAGAGTATGTTCGGATAAACTTTCCTCCTCTTTTCCTCTGACTGGACTTCGATCTGGCTCCGGCGCATCAACCAACCACTGTGCTATTTGTGCAGCAATTCTTCGCGCTCTTCTGTTCTTCCTTCGTCATCTCATCCTTTAAGCAGAAGCGGTTCCATCTCTTTCCAGTGACCTATCCTTTGTTCGATTTCCTCGGTGGTCATGTTCTCAGCGCGGACTTCTGCACCCTCCCTGGGAGGGTTGACTGTCAATACATCTTCTGCAAACTCATTGTTGTAAGCCCATAGGTTCCCTCTTTTGTCCCCTTCCGTTCCTCCAGATATTATGGTTACGATGGTTCATACCCATTTGTGCTGGTTTGAAACTGCTCCCTGAGGACTGCTCGTGGAGGAGGACTTTGTCAATGTAGCGGGCGTTTATCGTCCCGCAGAAAGGAAACAAAAGGAGGTGGAAGAGAATGCAGAAGAAGCTGTTGAATTGGGAATGCCTGATACTTACTATCGAAATCTTTACGATAGTGGCGCAAATACTGCATCGACCGCACCTGCAATCACAAACGCCCAAGGCGGATCATCGTCTGGCGGTACTTTGTTTGGCGCTGCATCCACCACCCAACAGCAGCAACCACAGTCAGGAAGCCTCTTTTCTACCCTAGGTACGCAGAACCAACAGCAACAGAAACCTGCCGGAGGAAACATATTTGGAGGACCCGTTCAGCAGACACAGCCTGGTTCTGCAAGCCTCTTTGGAAGCACGCAACCGAAAAGTGGAGGCTCGCTTTTTGGGGCTGCCACCCAGCAGGAACAACCACGAGAACAACCTCAATCAGGCGGGCTTTTCGGCGCTTCACAGCAAAGGCCCGCTGGGATCTCCCTTTTTGGTGGGGCTACACCTATTTCCCAACCTACTACTTCCCAATCACAACCTAGCGGATCTCTGTTCACCACCTCGACGACGACAGGCGGTTTATTGTAAGTAGTGTCTGTCGCTATATTGGCCCCTTTTTTTTTTTCTTATAGTTTACTAAAATGTATCCTATGTAGTGGTGCGGCTCAGCCCCAACAGCAACAGCAACAGCAACAGCAGACACAACCAACGCCATCGCTCTCGCTATTCGGAAACCGAGTTAGGACAACGCAAGGAGAACAAACGCCAGCGGGTTCAACAGTGCGGGGCGTCAAAATTGACGTTTCGAGCCTCGTCCCGACAACTAAATTCGAAAACTGTACTGATGATCTTAAAAAGGAAATCGAAGCCATTGACACCTTCATCCTCAACCAAATCCGCATGTGCAACGAAGTTGCTGACGTCCTCCCCGCTATCTCGTCACAAGGTGCTCTCATACCTAATGATGTCGAGTTCGTCCAGGGAAAACTAGATACCCTCCAAGAAGCCCTTGAAAACGACGCCAATGGCATTGAAAGTGCTCGTGTCCTTGTAACACGGGATGCGGTGGAGGCTAAGCTCGTCTTCCGTGCTCTCGACAGCCTTCTCCTGCCCCTCCAATACCAACCTACAACAGCAGACATTTGGTTTCCACCAGATCAACAGCCCAAATCTCTACCAAGCCGCTCTCGACGCCCTGGCCTCCGCTCGCGTCGCCTACTCGCTCTCCCTGAGGATGCGGAGGATGACTCCCGTCTCGGCGCCACAGGCAGCCCGACAAATCTGGTCGATTACTTCTCCCAGCGCACAAACGATATGAACAGTGTCGTTCAGAAATATAGAGAGAGTCTGAAAGAGATTGAATCTCATCTTCGTGGCGTTGAGGCGTCACTTGTGCAGAGGATCCATGACTTATCATCGGGGAGCAAGGATGGTGGAGCTCCGTCCCTTGTGTCCACGTCCAGAGCGAATGAGCTTGCTGCAACGCTGGGGGATGTGGAGACAGCCATCCTTGGAGTTGCCGGGCGAGTTGGGGGTGTTCTAGAAGAGGTTCAGGAGCTTGTTTTGGGACCCTTGAGTATGCGTGGTAATGGGATAGCAAATTGAGGGCGAACTGATAAAAATGGAATAAATTAATTATGAATTAATCAAGGGAGACTAAGTCGAAAATATCCACTTTTACTTGCTCTGCTCGCAGTTTTCTTCCTACAACCCCCCAACCCAACTCCGCCTCCTCTCTCTCTCTCTCTCTCTCTCGTTTTTTTTTTTTTTTTTTTTTTTTTTGTGTATTATTACTCATTTATGGTGGTATTTGTCCGGAATTTTTGTTGAAGTCGGACGTGTGGAGCAAATACACAATTGCCGGATTCGAATGTTTGGCGTTAAATGGCATTAGTTACGCATAGAGGGCTCTGAAGGCCTGTAGTCTATGAAAATTATATGGATCTAATGAAGTATTCCCCAGATAACCATTTGCCATGAGCATACCCCTAGCCCCTAACGACGATATTTTTCATGTCTCCTACGGAATTAACTGTAAATACATAAAACTGAGAGAGTTGATCCTTCCCAATGAAGCTATATAAAACATGCTATCATACATATGCTGATGGGATAGGAAGTTACTCGTATTTGAAATATTAGTTATATTAATGGGAATTGTCATTCCCCATCATGCTTCCTATCCCGAAAATGTTGGATCGAGGATTAGAACCCTCGGTGGAGGCGTCAGAGGGGCGGCCGATTTTGATGCCAGAACTCAGGCCATAGTTGCCAGAGTTAATGCTAGAAAATCTGCTATCAACGCCTGCGGGCGCGAATCGTTGCGGAGCAGGGAAAATCTGAGTGTTTGGTGTATAGCCATGTTGTTGACGCTCCTGGCAATCAGGCCTCTGGGTCGAAGATGGAGGGCCAGGGAGCCTGGTGCGATGTTGCGGCGTCGCTGGTAATAATGTGGCTAGAATTTATTAGGTCAGATCAAGCTACGCCATATAACTGGATGAATTTTCACACGTACTGGTCCGGAAAGGCGGTGGCATACCGCTAGGAGGAGGCATTGCCGCGGAGTCTAGGCGATTTTTCGTGATACTTCCACTCCCACTCCTTTGATGGCGGTGCAGTTGTTCGATTCCTGAATTTGCCGTTGGATACCTGGCAGGGCTACGTCGAGGAGATGGAGCCAGAGAGGTTGAAGGACGGAACAAATCATCTGCGCCTGAGCCGGAGTTGGCCCTTCCACCAAGGGACTCAAGGACCTGGATTACGGAATCCGATGCTGCTGTTTGAATCTGAGACCTCATCGCCTGGTTTTTAAGGAGATTGTAGAGGTTCGTTACTTGGGCATGCTTCTTGCATTTATCTCGATATATCTCAACTAGCTCATAGTTCTTCTTTTGCAGCTGCTCCTGATTTATTTGCATTTCTACAGTGGCGCATAAGCCACAGTTCATCGAAGACTGGGGGAGGAAGATAATACCTGAAATGCGGTTTTGCAGAGTCGATATTTCTGAGTTTGCGTCATGAATCACCTTGTCCATTTGTTGGTTTAGGACACCATATTTCTCGGTCAAACTTTTGCTGAGATATTCCTGATAAAAACTGTTTCACGTCAGACGCAGCACGCAATCAATATTCAATACCTCAGATATACATTTCCTGGGCAGACTGATACGTCCAGAATGCCAAAGCACGCCCAGCACATTCCATAATAGTATGGGGATCTAGTCCACTGAGTACGCTGGTTTTGTAATCTTCGCTAGGGTTGAGGACGGTAGAAACCGCATCGTCAGGGTTAACAAGACTAGCGTTGCAAGCAGGGCATTTCCGCTCAGATGTTGTCGGTCGTGAAAGGCCAAGGTGGTCGGCACATTGATGGCAGAAAATATGTCTAACCCAATAAACGGTTAATTTTGTCCCTCTAAGTCTCCCCCGAGGCGGAGGGTACGAACGAGCACGTAGTTACCACTGCTCTCTCACTCAAGGTTACTCTGCACTTCATAGAATTGCATCGAAGACAAAAATCCAACGCTTGGGCCATGGCGGAGGGCAAAGTGGACGACGCAGGTTGACAGAACCGCAGACTAGCTCCAACACATATCACACTGCATTTGTATACCTGAAATCGATGAAGTGAAGTTGGAGTTGAAGGGGATTTGAAGTCAAACAGTTAGAAGTGGATTGCCGGATTAGGAAACCATCATGGTTGAGCCGCACCGAGCTTGAGTCCCAGGGGCGACGGGATTCGATTTGCATGGAAAAAGGAGTATGCTCGCATCTAGTATAGATACGATACTTGAGTAGATCGAATGACGAAATCAATGTATGATATTGGAATACGCCATTCCCTTCTTTAAAACCAATGGAACACCGGTGCTTAGCCACATATATCCAACCCTTATCAAAACGCCGCGCAGAGTAAATTTTTAAAAAAAGAAAGCGTTGCCTTTGTTATCCCTCCTAATGCTTCCCATCTTTTCCTCAAACTCCTTTCCAGGCTCGTATTCTCGCCAGAGGCTCGCGGGGAAGATATGCTTGTTTCTTTCGAACCATCTGCGGTCTACTACCTTGGTCAAAGTTGGGTCCATATCCGCACCTTCCAGAGTGGGTTCCGATTCAGGATCTTCGCTAGACTGCGGCGGTACCGTATTTGAGTAGTCGAAGAGTAGCCCTCCCGCAGTGGTGAAACTCGGGACTCGGTTCGCAATAAAATAATAAAATTCATAATGCTGTGAAGTGTGAGCTAGCAGAATGGTCAAGGGATTAAATGGAAGGCACAGAGGAAACGAATTGGAGATTGCGGGCATACATGTGGAATAATTATGTTTCCCCTAACGCACATCAAATCATCAACACCAACCCTTGCCCATTCCTTACGATAGTCCCTACGGCCTCTACCACTCCTACCGCCCCCGGCAGCACCGCCAATGCCCAATTCCGCTCCTACTTTCCGACACCGTTCAAGAAAAACCCATATCGGATCACCTTTCTTCACTTTCGCAGTCCCGGCAGGAATATTTGTCCCGTCGTAAAACACAAACGGAATCAATATCTCAGTCGCTTTGACCCTCTCTTGAAGCGCCAAAAATTCACGCCGGAGTGCATCTCGAGTTTGTGCTTCAGCTTCCAAGGCGGATTTTGTGATAACTTTCGGGGGAGGGACAGAAAGGTTTGGGTTGGGCGCGATGCGTCGTGCAGGGGGTTTTGGGCTGCTTTCCGCGGGAGTTTTCGCTGGGAAATTCCGATCACCGGCATCCACTGATATTATGCCAGAAGCCTCTGAAGCATCCTCCACGTCATTGTCGCCAAAGGACAATTTACTTTTCGAGAGATTACCTAGCTTCTTCTTCCTTTTCTTGGGGTGTTGTTCCGCAGACCCATTTTGTGGTGTCAGGGCACTATACTTTGATTATTAGCTATAATATATAGTTGGTTGTAAAGTGGTATTAGCCTACCCATCAGTTGTTTCTCCGCCAGAAGGGGTGGCGCTCCTGGATGTCCCTTGAGCGAATCTTCCAAGAGATTTATCATGCGCCTCTCTTTCCTTTTGTTCGAGAACCTCAGCTCGTCTTTTCCTGAAGTCGGAGAGGTGAACCAGACCAACAGTTTGCGACTTCAACAAGTCTTCGGCAGAGGCGGTCTGGTTCATAAATGAACGGGGAGTGGACTTTCGGCTTTGAGGATCTAAAGGCGGTGGCATTTTGTATAGGCAAAAGAAGGCAAACGCATCGCCCGTAGAAAGAGGAAGATGTTAAGTCGGGCTTGTTGTATCACATCACGTGACAGTTTACGATCTTTCCTGGCTTTGATCAAGCTGCTACGCAAGATATTTGTATATTTCCATTCCTTATACTACGAGAACTGTAGGCAATACTGATGGTCTTCTTGCCGCTGGCGACTTTCCTAGGTCAAGTTTAGTCCTTTACTAGCTCCAAACTCGATACAGCCAACATCACGGTGAGCAGTAGTTGCAGCTCCATTCTGCGCTGGTCCCATAGCGGCGATGACGGAGGAAAATGATGACGAGCTCTACGACCCAACATATTCTGCTCCCTCTGCTGAGACATCAAAAGGCCCTGACACCCGATCTGGCGAGACAAACATGACCACGACAGAGGATAAGGGACAAGCACAAGCCCAAGAGGAAGATGAGGAGGAAGAAGAGGAGGATGAGGATGAGGTTCGTCCCTCTGGCAAACTGGGGTTCTCGTTGTTACAAACCACTAACTGTGTGGCAGGATGATTTCAAAATCATAACGGATGGCCGCCCGGAAGCCACAATTGAGTCAGTGCTTAACCCCAAATTGGCTGTTGATGTGTTACGTGCACACTGACAGAACGAATCACAGGCAACCCTCCCGACATTCTGTGCTTAGAAAGGAGTCTCTGCGACCGTCATCGATGGAAGCAACAAGTACACCTAAAGTTTCTGCTCCATCTATCGCCCCAAAAGTTGAAACGGCCACTATTCCGAACGCCATAGCCGCGAAACCCACAGTCCCCCAGAAACCGGGTTCAGCGTATCCTGCCCAACATACATCAACTATCGATATCAATGCAAATCCCGTCCATCCTACGACTAGCAAACCTATACTCTCCACAGATTTAGACGCCGATTTCCCCACAGAAAATGATAAGCCATGGCGCAAGCCAGGATCAGATATGACCGACTATTTCAACTACGGTTTTGATGAATTTACTTGGGCAAGTTATTGCCTGAAACAAGATACGCTTCGAAAGGATATCGTTGACCAGAAGAAGCAAATGGACGAGATGCACGCATTCCTAGGTGCTGGACTACCTGGAATGCCAGGTCCAAGCCCAGGTCCAGGACCCGGAACTCCAAATCTCATGCCCAGCGGAGGCACTTCAGCCCCGGGTCCGGGTCCACCACAAGCCACCGGTCCCCCTCCTCCCGCAATGCCAGGAATGGCTCCCGGTATGCCTGACATGTCGCAGGAAATGATGCAGGGGATGTTTAACAGCATGATGGCACAGGGATTGGATCCTGCCTCAATGGATCCAATGACTTTCATGCAGCATGCACAGGCAATGATGGGAGGCGGCCAGCCCGGCCCGGTTCCGGGTTCGGGTCCGGGCCCTGGTGGTCCGCCGGGTGGCCAACCAGGTTTTGCTGGTCAACCTCCCGGACAGCCTTTCGGTGGCCAACCGCCGATGGGATATGGCGGGTACGAGCAACGGGGTGGAGGATTTGTTAGAGGAAAGGGCGGACGGCGATGGTGATAAGACTCCAACAATGGCTAAAAAGGCATGACATTTCTTACTTGAAGCTTGATATTTCCTGATTTGATATGGCATATGTCCTTTATCTAAATCGGTTTTTACTAGGGCATTGAACAATTGACCTAGCAGTAATACTATATACTATCCCCTCGTCTGGCCGCTAGGACACAATTAGCATATTTTTTAGTGTGTACATTAGTGTATTAAATACATGGAAACTACTGGATAATATGAGGCATCAACTGTATTGATATGTTTTAGTGTAATTTATGTAATCTATTTGATCTAGCTTTAATTAATATTATTAGAATGAAACCTCTTTCAACATTCTCTTTTCAAGCAGAGAGCAACATTCTTATACATTGTACAATCATATTTTACTCTTGAAATTCTTTCTTTATCCTCTTCTTCTCTCTTTCTTTTATATTGACATCAAACACAACTTTGAAAAGATAACAGAGAAATTCACTGATGATTTAGATTGAGATTTTATCAAATAATAGATAGAAAATTTGAGAATTTAAAAAATTGAAGATACAGCTGCTGATGGAATTCAATATGAGATACAATAATGTCAATAATGTTAATAATGTCAGTAATGTCAGTAGTGTCAGTAATAATAAGTCAATGAAGAATATAAATATTGACAATAGTATGATCAATAATTAAGTATAGAATTGATAATCAAATGTGATTGATGAGTATATGAGTTTTATAAAAAGCTCTATATTGATTGGCTAGATCAATCCCATTCATATTATAATTGTAATCATTAATAACAATAGAAATCTCCACTGCTTTTTGTCAATTATCTTCAAATACTTTTTAAATTAAAAATTCATTAATAAATATCAATTCTAAATGTTTTTTGACACATTTAACAAAGCTATCTAACAGATGAATTGTAGACAGTAATAATATTATGTTATTATCTTTTCATTCAAGATAAAGAACTTGATTTTGAGAGATAATACACAGAATATTATAGAGAATATAAATAAATAATTCAGAGTTTCTCAACTCTTATAATATTATTATTCTTCTTTTATTATAGATGTATGCAGTCAGTGACTATGACATCTATCTAAAATACTCCAGAATTTTTCAATTTAAAAATAAGTTAATATACAAAGTCAATTTAATACATGCAATAGCAGAATTCCAGCTCAGAAATAAACAACTCTTCAAACTATTCAATTTAATAAAAAATGTCAAAAGAATGACAGCAGATCAATACATTCAATTTAAAACAAATGAAATAAACAATATAAAAAACAACAGCTATTAAAGGAAAAGAAAGCATTCACAAATTAAAGTTTTCAAAATAAGTTAAAATCAAAAATAATGAAAATGAAACAAATTTCAAAGTAAAAGTAACAAAATAAAAATAAAAACAAAAACAAAAATTAAAGTAAATACATAGAAACAAAGAAAAAAAAAAAAATTGAAAAATTGAATTTATTATCAGATCAAGAATCATTTAAATCATTTCTGATCTTTATTAAATATGATTTAAAATAATCATGTTCAAGTTTTAGCTGCATTATTATTGCAAAAAATTTCTTTTTACATTTTATTGAGCAAGCTTTTCATTTTGACTTAGTTTCAAACCTGGAATAATGTATAGTCTTTTTTTGTAAAAATCAGATATCTTGCCATTTTTGCAAATATGATTCTCTTATTTTTCTTTTATTAACAGCTCATATTACAATTCATTGAAAGCAAACTTCTAATTCAGTTGCTTTTTTTACAGCTTTATCAGCCATTTCATTGCCATATATATTTATGTGAGCAGGCACTCAGTGAAGATGGATAAAACAATTGAATAAGATTATATTACTATTCCATACAGGATGCACCTTAAGCTAGTTTCATATTATAACTCTTATAACCAACCGACCACCGCGTCCGTTCTCTCAGACTACTTTAACTAGTTCTGGCTCTTCCAGCTGGGGATACTAGTTAATCATCACCATCTACTCTAGACATCACCATAGTCTAGAGCTTCCAGTTGCCGATCTCAGCTCATTGGCCCTTGGCCTACCAATCAGCTATTATGGTCTTGCCCCGTGTAAGGGACTAACTATAGACTTACCACACCCAATGTTTTACCTATTAATAGTATTAGATGACCACTAGTAGGCCTTAGAGATAGGGTGTCTATCAGAATGTCCTGTTTGGTTTACTACTACCTCTCTGATGAGGCAATCAATTGAATGGTTTTTAAAATCATTCTCTGTTATTGAGGTGGCCCTCTAAGTGCTGGAGGCCTTGGCAAATGTTAGCATGTATAAGCACTCTATCTCCTCATTTGAGAACGAGGCAAAATTAGCTCAATACCATTAATGTAATAACTAAGCTGTTAATTCAGAAGTACAAACTAATAATTTCTCATACTAAAATATATGCAATTCTATTTGCTGGTACAGATTCACTATCTTATGTTTTCTCTCAACATATTGCTGCACTTCATATTTCAATCTTTCAGCTGTGAGAATTCATCTTTTTACCCATCCACACTCTACAGAAACATCATTACAACTACTCATGAACATAGAAATACATTTGAATTTTCCACTTTTCCAACTGTTGTATAATTTTAACCCTCCAACTTGTTCAATATTATCACATGCCCTCTGCGATTTCTCTACATGCGTGTACTGCACAGATTGAGTGGTCATAGAGCCCTCAACGCCCTCTCATCTGCTCAAAGACATTAACATAGCCTACATCAAACCACTGAAGCCGGAGTCACCAGCCAATTTTGTCACTGAAAAGACTGGCAAGAGGCAGAGGAAGACTGTCACAATGCCTCCTTCAGTTCTTAAAGAAGTCAGTGACAGCATCTCTACAGCCACCTCTCAGCTGCAGAAGCAGTTTAAAAAGGCTCAACAGCATCAGAATTTACAGTAGAAAGCTCTCTGAATACTCATTTACAATCAAATGCAGCAAAAACAGCTGTGAGAGAGCTGACTATCTGAATGAGTGTTGTTCAGAGAGGGAAAAACTCTGTTCTTTCTGAGATTACCTCTGTCAAAACTGTGGCTTCCCCAGCAGAGAGAGCTAGTGGAGCTAATCTGCAGCTCAAAAATATCAATCAGTCAAGAGGCTCCACAGAGAACACAAAACAGCAGAAGGACTCATGAATCCTCATCACTCTTCAATCAAAGAAATTAATCACTCAATTACAGTCATATGCTGTATAGCAGGCAATCGTTGCAAATATTCAAAGGGTGGGGAATGTGGTCAATGTGCTGAAGATGGAGCCTATCAGAACAGATTGAGTGATCACATCAAGCAACAGAGGTATATGTGATACTCTGATCACTGAGAAGGCAGTGGCTACTCTCTGTGAAGTTCTTAACACCATGGAGATCCGGCTATCAGAGCAGTGGTATAATTATACTGTTTTACAGATTCTAGAATTTGTGCAGAACTGAGAAGAAGCAAGAATTTTCACAGACAAAATGATTGAGAGAGAAATTCTGACTCAAGCAAAGATAAAGTCAGTGAGCTGTCAACCCTCGCATCATGAGGTGAATCTCAAGGCAGAGAAGATTATATGAATTCTCTTCTTCCTTACCTCAGTGAAAGACTTCTCACTTTTCTATATCAGTGAGAGAGCCAGGCTGATTGAGAAAAGATCTTTGATAATGAAATATAACCCAGAATGTCAGAGGTTCTGCCACCTATCAAAGTGTGCACAACTAGCAAGATGCTCTAACTGCAGTGAGCTCATAAGCCAGCATGAAAGATCAATAAATGCAGAGTGCAAGAGAGTGTTATGATGTGTCAACTGCTGTCAACTCTACTCAGCTGAGCATCAGCACTGCTCTGCTACACTCAGGTGCATGAATGACACTCTTAGATATCTAATTCAAAAAAAGCTAGCAGCTATTCACCACCTTGATGACAGATGCCACAGAGATGCTTAGAAGCAGCAACTACTGCTAGCACAGTCAGCATCAATGATCACAGTGATGATATTTACATCAACTATTCAATCAACTCAGTCAATACAGCTCACTGAGCTAGCACTCTGCAAGCAGACTGTTATTCAGAGTTTCATCAGTGATGAGAATATCATCTGGCAGATGATCTGCATCAGATGATGCTCAGCTCACACAGCAATATAGCAGCACAGTCAAGCAATTAAAAAACAATCTAATTTCAGCATGTAAATAACAGATCTGAAGCTCTTCAATCTCATCTCATAAATAAACTTCAACAGCAGCTCATCAAATGACTTCTCATGTTAAAATATCAATATCAGCAACACAGTTAATGCTGCAGAAACAATCAGGAGAAAAATCATTCTCTACAGATTTTAATCAGAGCAGCTCTTTATTACACAGTAGCTCTACAGTGACGTACTTACGCCCCCTATCCACCTCTGACTTCCGCTCCACCCCTTGCTGCTTCCCGGAGCTTCCGCTTCTACCTTTCCTACAAAGAGCTTCCACTCCTACCTTTTCTATAGAGCCTCTGTCCTTCCCCTTGTATGCAATCGCTCCTTCTATGAGAGTTGATCTCTGTAAACAATCACTGTATGTATATAGGGGCGTACGCCCATCTCCCATCTTTTAGAGAATATGACGTGTTTATACTCATAATTTGACCCCTACGTAGCAGCGTACGCTATATCTACAACTTGTTTTTGAGCAGAGCTGTGAAGTGATCTGTATACAGAAGCCATACACATACCCTGACATCAAGACTTCTAACCACTCAATGTATGAATGCTTTGCATCTATAGACTGCTGGGATGACACTAATCTGGAGCAGTGAGAGGAGGAGAAGCCCCAGGTTATGATATATGTACATAAGAGTTCAAAGACAAGAGTATAGCAACACTAATCTGTGTAAAACAAAGATCTGCTATGAGTCAGTATAAATGAATGCCACATTCTCAATGTGTACAGACAGTTTGAGACAAATGCAGTTATGAATTATTTGATTAATCTGAGCCCACTAGCCCGCTGTCTGATAGATGGAGATATCAATGTATGATATGATGTCTTTGAATCAGAGGCAGTGAATCTGCACCGAGGTAGGGAGCTTGTTCAATGGATCAGTGAACATGGAATGGATCTTCAATATGATCTTTACTTCCACTACAGTGTATCAAGATTTACACTGCAGCTCAGATCATCAATTTATGATCATTATATTGTCAACAACATCTTAGACACAATTGAGTGATGTTCAGATCAAGATCATAAACTCTCAGCTGAAGCTCTTTACAGATCTTGTCAGAGATTTCATGATAAACATGTCTTACTTAAAGAGGGTTGAAAATATGACACAGTTTGATGATCTGATCCAGTACTTCACTCAAAGTCTTCTGGCTGCAGCTCAGGCAGTCAGTAAGCTAGCTCAATAAAGACAAATCACAGCTCTTTGATGATAGCAGACTGTTGAAGAGTGCACTGAGAGCTCACCACTCACCAGACAGAGGCCGCGAAGCATCAATTCAAGAACACAGTGTATAAAATCAAATGTGCATATTGAAAGCAGATAATCAATGAGGTCAGAAATGGTAGAGATCTGTACTGAGTGATGGCATGATATAAACTGAAACTCAACCTCAGAGCACCCCCTCTGATGATTGAGAATCAGATCAGAGAAGAAACAGCTGTCAAAGCTGAGACACTTCAATAAACAATTCTGAAGTGATATAACTCAGCTGATGATCTGAAGTATAATTCATTGAATGATGAGGTCGACTTGCCGTTCCGCTTTCGAACCGGTAAGATCTGCTTTGCTCGCCGTGGAGTAGTAGGTGCTGCGTGATTGTGAGAGAATATCTTCTTGAAGACGAAGCCACCAGTCAAGGACGTCGTTCTGCGTCGGAGGATCAGGGAACAGGGCCCAGTTACCTTCGCTGTCTGGGCCCAGCACGCGTCGACAGATGGCATCTGCTTTGCCGCTCCAGTCTTTTCCCTCAAAGTACTTGTCGAAGAAGCCCTCGACGTCTCGAAAGGTGCAGCCACGTATCTCCTCGAAGATTCTCGGATTCACCAAATCACGCGTCTGCTCGGAGCCTTTCTGTGACGACGATGTGGATTTGACTGGTGTGCCGTCATAGGAGGGGGGAACGCTCGCCGGTGGTGTTGTTCGAGGGATGGTGTCAATGAGGGTAAATACAGCTTTCCAGACATCGAAGTTCCAGGTTTTGGCATTCTGGGATTCAATGGGAGGCCTTTGAATAACCAGGTGCACCAGCGGCTGGTAGTCGTCGTACCTGAAGTTTCCTTTTGCCTTTTGGAGGCGCTCGAATAATTGTGCTAGATCAGACGCCATATTTCCATCATTTATCCGCGAGGGAAGGCTGTAGGCTGCACCCTCTCCCTGTAAAGTATAGACAAGTTTTGAAATCACATTTTGATAGAGTTGGCCAAGGTTATCAACAGCGCCATCGTAGGAAATTAGACGCGACTCATATATTCTTTCGGCTTCCTGAAGCGCTTCTCGTAAACGATCGACTAAGTTGGTTAGAGGATGGTTCTCGACAATGTTGCGATCTTCTTGTGAAAGTCCCGCCATTTTGACGGTATAAAAAACCGTTGAGTTTGGTGCGAGATTAATTAGGAGTTGTAAGGGGAGAAAAGTTAGGTTGGTGTGCTAATTTTATGTGATGAATGGGAAACAAACACGGGAACAAAAATGCAGAATTGTTAGGAAGTTGTGATGTATGATATCTGCGAGGGGGGATAGCTCGCTGGGAACAGATGCTGGTATATATATTCAAAGTGAGGATTATGGTCAAAGGGTTGATCCGGCTTGGCTTTGATGTAGTACGCGAAATGAGAAAACGGATAGAGGCGCCAAGCGAGCAACCAGGTCGAGATTAATCCTATTCGATCGTGACGGAATGGTAATACGCGCGAACAAAGTAGGGGGATTGAAATAGTATTTTGAGGAACATCGGCTATTCCCATTTAGGATTAATGTAGGCCGCCTGCAGCCTTGGAAAACCAACCTGGTAAGAACCACTGTTCCCACATGAGGGAAGAGTCCCCCTGGGACACGTTCACGGACAATTGCTGCCCTGCCTGCTGTCCGAGAATTTTTGCCGAACAGAGCGCGTATGGCAATGCCATAGGTCCGTCAACTCTTCTCGGAGAACGCGCGAAGGATACCGTTTACATGAAGAGTATGAACCTTCAGATACTCAAGGCGCTCTTGAAGTACGGATGTCGCTGCCAAAAGTTTTGTCTCGCGCTAAAATATACACTAGATCACATTGAGATAGTTTCAAAGTGAGCCTGGAGCCCGAGCACTGATTAGGTCTTATTTTAGTAAAGTATAACTAAACCCTTTAACAATCATCAGTGGTCTCATGCCTATAGTATGGGTGAGTCTCAGGCACAGACACTAAAAAGAGAAGATGTGGCCTTTTTAGTGGAATTTTAGTGCCTTGACAAGTCAAAACTTTTTGCACCGAGGTCCGTACGTACAGGGTCCGAGATAAAATCAATGAAAGCCAAGAGGTACATTTTCATCGCCGCGACATACCTATTTAGAATTAGCATTGGCGATGTCAATCGGTGTATGCTCCCTGTTCTTCGGAATAGCAGCCATTTTTTTTAGAATTTGATGATTCCTAACCACATGATAGATATGCCGAAACTGTGGGATGGTTGATGATGCGGATGCCGGATGATGGGTCCTTCGCTAGTGCAATGATCGCGCCAGCGTGGATATGCCCTAGTGTGACGTGCCATTCCATGAGTGTTCTTGTCAGGGGGTTGCGATCGCTAGGTTGATCGTTAGGTTTCCCCGCGATTGTCGACATTGCGTCCCCGTAATTGTAAGATTTGGCCATAAAATGGACGGCCTGGGACGGGTGATGGACGTCTATTTGAGATTCTCGTTCTATTATCTTGTAGACCGATTCTTTGGACGTGCGAACAGCGGTGAAGTTGGCACCGTTCGGGGCCCTTATTGTAAAATAGGAAGGGGTGGTATCTGATAGTTGGTATCTGAAGCCTTGATCTTCTAGCTTCGCAAAGGATAGAAGGTTGACTGTTAGATTGGGGATCCAGTGGACGTAACCCACTGAGATATCCCCCCCTTCTGATTCTAGAAGGATATCACCTATCTCCTCAACCCGTCCTACGCCACCGTCCGCGGTAGTAATTTCTAAATCACCTTCGAACGACTTTGCGCGCACCAACGAGTGCCTTTCACCCGTCATATTGAAGCTTGCGCAGGTGTCGAGATACCAAGGTTTGGATGTTGTAGCGGACGACGTAGATAAAGCAATTGCTGCGTTGGCATTAGGTTGCGATGCAAGGAGATCTGGCGCTCTGGTGCCAGTAGGTTTGTCGTCATCCTTGTCCTTCTTCTTATCCTTTCCCTTCTTTTTGGCACCTTCAGTGTTGTCAGTGCCCTTATTATCCTTATTCTCTTTCCTCCACCACTCGGGTGCTTTGTCAGGGTTCAGATGATAGCAATTAGCCTTTATATGCCCTGGGACCTTGCAGTATCCGCACTTTGCGGTTGCGGCGGAAGTTGTGTTGTCATTATCATTGGTGGCCGCGTTGGCCTTTGGAGCTTTAGGGCGTCCAGTACCCTCTGATTTACTCATCCGGTGAGCAATTTGTTTTGTGAGATCGTTGATATCTAGGTTGACAATCGGACCCTGACCCGTCCCGTAGAACGTATCGAGGCGTGATTTAACATAGGTCCTCTGATAATCTCGGAGGCCGATAATAAAGAAATCATGGAGGTAGTTCTCACCACGGTCCTCCGTTAGTTGTCGCATGCGAGCAGACAGGTATTGATATCGGCGTACGTACGCCAGGTAATCACCGTCCTTGACATGCAAGTGGGTAAATTCTTTAAGGATGTTAATCCTTTCTTCCCCTAGGGATATCGCGTATACTGCGCTTACCTTGTTCCATAGGGCCGCCGCGTTGTCGGGTTGAATGGATCCCATGGTCAAACGGACAGAACCTACTAGGGATTGCAACATGCGACGGAAGAGAAGTTTTGAACGTATCACCCAATATCGCTGATCGAGCGATGATAAACCTTCAGGTGGTTCCTGTTGGTTCTTATTAAGAATATCTGCACCACCGATCACTTCTGCATCCGACAAGAACGCCATCTTCCACGTCTGGTAGTTGGTGCCATCGAACGTGGTGACGGACTTTGTGTTCAACGAGGCCTGCGCTTCCTTCTGGTATTCGCGAGCCAGCATGTTCGGATCTTCTTCTGGTATAGGGTTCGGAGGTGGAGGAGGTGGCGGCGCGCGTGCTGATATCAGTCGCTCGCAGAGTGCAATGAGATCTGCTGCTGCCATGGTCACCATGCCGTTAGGATTCGGCGTAGGTATCGGCATAGGACTGGGCGTGCCATCCTCGGATTCCTCGCGTTCTGGCATCTTGCCAGTATCGCGTGCGGAGCCAGAGGTTGTCATATCTTCCTCTGCCATCGCGTATTCAGTTTGATCACCCTCCGCTTCTGAGCCGGATTCTTGCTCAGTAATAGGGGGGAAGGATTGGGGGACCCTTGATTGCGAACGTAGTGTCTTCTTACGTCCTGATATTGGGGTCGCAGGTAATCGAGAACCACTCATAATCAATCTGACTTAGGGAGGTTCTGAATGAAAATAAATAAATAAGTTTTTGATCCCTTCAAGATAGTAATGAAATCTCTGCAGCAGTCTCGACAGCAATTCCGTCAATTACACCACTTTTATAGGCAAAGAGCTCTCTTTTCAGGGGAATAATGTTTAACTCATCCAATATAACATCAGTCGCAGCGTATTCTAATCAAAACGTCTGTTTTTCTTAAAAATCTGCAATCCGGGCCATAACCTGTGGGATGGTTGATCTTCTCATTGTGCGATCGCTAGCTAACTATATAGGGGTAATCACGTGCGGTGGAGGGCCGCCTGGGCAACTAGTGCCCAACAGTTATGTGAGCTGATAACGTAATTCCCAAGCGAGCGAGCAGCCCAAGCGAGCGAGCAGCGAAACTAGCATATCTCAACTAACCAGAATTTAAATCAAATTATCTACTCCCACCAACCACTAATTAAATTAAATTAAATTACATGAAGTTGAGGACATCTTATTCTTGTATGCCCAACAGTATTGCAATTGCTGCAGCGTTGTGGCGCTCGTATGCGCGGTCTAGGCTCCGGGGCCGCAGGTACGGAATGTTGAATAACAGGCTGTTCAACAGGCTCAGCTGCAGGAACAATAAGATTCTGAGCTTCATTCCTAGTTAGACCCCCTGCACTTGGGATCCTGCGTGTAGACCTCTTGCGTTTTTGCTTCTCTTTCTCATTTGCATTGAAAATATCCTCATACTGCTTCTTCATAACCATGGCGCTGACCATCCCGTATTCGCAGGCCTTGATTATTTGGTCAAAGCCTTCCACTAACCCATGAGGTTGATCCTGATCCATAAGATTTCTGACCTTATTCACCTGCTTCTGCAATTGCCGGGGGTTACTAGGTGTTTGTAGGATCCAGGATGACGTTGAATTGCTTGACCTGCTGGCTGGGGGAGTAGGGGTTCGGAGTTGAATATTCAGCTGCTGAACAACGCCTTGAGGATCCAATGGAACTATTCCAGTGGCCCTGAACCCACTTTGAATGTTTGAAGCCTTGAAGGCTTCCCGACGTGCTGCAGGATAGGCATCTAGGAAATCTGCCTTCTTAATGATGTTGAATCCTAGCCGCATTCGCTGTTCAACTAGGGTTCCGTACGCGCGCTTTAAAGGTGCAAAAACACCCACATCTAGTGGCTGCAAAAGGTGTGAAGAATGTGGTGGCATGCAGAGAGGAATAATCTTATTCTCACTGCAGATTTGGTCAAATTCCGGAGTAAGATGACTGCCGTGCCCGTCCAGAATAAGAAGAATATGGGTTCCAACCCTGCGTGGATTTGCAGCTGGAATAAACAGCCGTGTAAGCCATTTGATTCCTATCTCATCTGTGGTCCAGCCATTAGGACTAACATCCAATCTCCAGCCTTCCGGCAGCCCGTCAAACCAGCCTTCCTGAATATTGTGACCTTTGAGGATAATATACGGCGGAGGGGCCCATCCTGACGCGTTGACTGACTCAATTGCAGTCACCCACTCACGATTCCCAGGCTGTATAAGAGTTGCTCGTCCGTAGTGCTCAGCACTAGTAATGACCTTGGTAGTTGCACAGAGCCCCATTGCAAACCCAGCTTCATCAAAGTTGTAAATATCTTCAAACACAATCCCATGCTCAGTCATTACCCTCTCTAGGGTCTTAAACCAATCCTCCACAATCCTGCGGTCTTCACACTTGGCCCGATCATGGTTATAGCGTCTTGAGAAGCGGCATTGGAGCTCTGGACGGCGTGCCACTAGATTTGACACCCAGTTCTTGCCAACGCGAGGAGGGTGGTTTGTATGGCTAGGCTTCCGTATGGCAAGAAGATGATTAGCCATATTCTCCACAAATGCAGGCCGGGGTGGTAGTCCTCGTAAAGCTAGGTCTAGGATCCATTGAACAAGCTTATCCTCTTCAGCAGGAGTTAATTTATGTGAATTTGCGCGTAAATTCACCCGTGAAGATCGACCACTGAGTCTATGACCAAGTGTAGAGCGTGGCACATTAAAGATGCGTGCAGCTTCAGAAATAGAGGATATTTCCTGCTTTTTAATAGCATTTATCGCGAGTTCAAGTCTTCCCTCTATCTCTATAGAGTTCCTAGCATCTTTAGAGCGAATTGGTGGCATAATTGCGCGTTGAAGTGGATGAGTAGGTAAATTAGTAGGTGGAAGAATTTGGCTGCTCGCTCGCTTGGGAATTACGTTACCCAAATAGGTTAGGTGGCATAGGTCAATTTAAGATTGCTTGTTGGGAGTTGCAAGCCCAGTCTAATTGGTCTGTTGGTTAATGCCTCCTGATGCTGTCAGGGAAATAGCCAGCAAGGCTGGGAAATGAACTAAGTTCAGATTTTCTTATCTGGGGGGCGGTCCGAAAGTTTACCAGTTACGGACCAAGGACGCTGCCGAAACAAAGACGATCACAGCTGGACTACCCGGAAAGGTTCGATGCTCTTGGCGTCGGTCTGCATGCGCGTATGGACGAACTGCGGTCCTAGTATATTTCCTCTACTGCGTACTTCCACAGTCGCGCTCTGCAGGTGTTCATAATGATAGTCACCAAGCTAAAATGTTAACTAACTACAAATATCTATTGATAACTCGATATTTCCATGTCAGCTCAGAAATTTACAGCCAAAGTAATTCTCCAATGGCCGTTCCAGCTGCTGTCAGTGCATCTGAAGTGGCATTATGAGCATCAGCAACAATACTGGAACCTCCAGGATCATGGAGGAAGTTGCACGACGCGGTACGGTATCGCAATGAAAAGCCCCGAGTGGTCAAAAGACAAAGGACATCAAGGTGCGTACTACGGACAGCACCAGGAGAGAGCATCATCCCACCCCCCAGCAGAGGTAACCTCGCCGTGAGCATCATTCCTATCGTCGGTGCCATCGGGTGCTTGCGAGGGGCGTGGTAGCGGCGGTGGGGGGGCCTTTGGTCTCCGTCCTCGGCCCATCGAGGACACCACAGCAACTGATGGTCTTGACAGCCAGCCTGTCAATCTTTCTCTATTTATCTGTTTCTTCTTTATTGTTTCCCTTTCTTTTCATTTTGAATTCCACTCTTCTCGGTGGTCCTAGCTAGTTATGAATATAGAATCCTCTAATTATTATATTTTATGATAGAATAATAAATAAAAAATAAAAGATCGCTGCAGAATTGGAATCTAACCTCGCGTTGACCTATCATTTGCATGGCCGGATATGACCGAAACAACGATTGCGTAGAACCTATCATCCCCTCGCCGCAACTCCTCCTCCACCGATCTGGATGTCGGGCCATGTCAGGAGCTTTCAGAAAAGATAGATCATCTGCGGGAGCAGCTGTTCATCCCGCAGCGTCCCCTTTGCCTCCTCGTCCACCGCCTCGCCGGAGAGCTGCCGTTCGATGTCGATCACGGCTTGCTCGTCATTGCCTTCCCTAGGGCCGCTGCTTTCCCTGATAGACCCGCCTTTGAGTTTCAGGGATGTGTGGTTTTGTTGATACTCACACGCAGAGGCACGTTGTGTACCTTGAGTGTATGAGCCTTGAAGTGTACGACACCGGAAGGAATGAAAACTATTCCTTGTCTTTTGCAGAGTCCGCATGGCTTCATGCCGGAGGAGTATGCTTGCAGCTCCTCCCTATGTACATTCTTCTCGATATGATCCCACAGCTTGTTGGATCTTTTCCAGATCCTGAATTGGGTGTCGTGGGGTAAACCTGGATCGGCCGCACAGAAGGGACACTGCAACGGGTTCAGCTTCTTCGAGGAAGGTCCTTCGTTATCCTCATCGCGGGCACGGCACGGGGGAGGGAACGCAGGCTTTGTGCTTTGCCCCATCGGCTGTTTCTTGTGCCTCCCTCGGCGCTGAGGCTCCTTACGGGCCTGCAGTCTCACACAGATCGCAATGCTCTCGCATCGCCTTGTGAACAGGTCTTCCGGTGTGAGCTCCACGCCGATCGTGCAGGCAAGCTGCACGAACTCTCTCCGTTCCGGAATTTGAAGTTCCGGTGGTGGCGGTGGAGCTGCACAAGCACCACCCGCTTGATCCCCGTTGATCTGTCGGTTAAACTCATCAGTGTCCGCGTTCCGGAAATGTCGCTTTCTGGAATTTGCAAGCAACTTTGTTCGAAGTCGCAATTTGGTGCGGTTGAGTTTGGATTCGACTTTCATCTTCTCCCAGTACAGGCGTGTCCCGTAGGATGCAGAAACGGTCAGATAGCCTGCTTCTCTGATCTTCTGTGTCAATTTCCGATTCTTCTCCGCCAATCGTTGAATCTTGGGGTCTGTTGTGATGCGATTTTTCTGTTCATCTGTGAGTTCTGTCGGGGCTGTGATATCGGCAACGAGACGCAAGGAGTGAGCTACCGCCTGGGCGGCTTCATCAGAGGGGAACCCCGTCACAAGAGCCCACACGTCAACCTGTACGACCTGGTTAATGTAGTACCTGACAGCGTTCGAGTCGTGATCGGCCACCTGATCTCTAACTGAGGACGGGACTTTGCCTACACACCAGTAACTGTAAGCAGAGGAACGGGGATCAGGGAATCTCAGAGTGGCGGTGTGCAATTCGGCTGCGGCGGAATATAGAAATAGGTTGAACGGTCTGATGAGGAGTAGGTGAGGAGAATGAAGGAGGGTAGACAATATACTGACCATTGAGGATGTTGATAACAGTGCGTCGGAAGTAGTACTGCGTGAGTGAAATGAGAAGACCCATCAGCTTACCAATCTCCCTGAGAATTCGGGCCCAGGTCGACGCTTTGAGGGGCATCGTGTCAGACGTTCGATAGCCGGTGTCAGTGCGTTCCGGTTGTCGGAAGATCGGTATGTCTAGCTTCTCCCGCTTGACCTTCAGCTCCATCCCCCCCTTGTCGGCGGAGATCTCATGCCAGTAGATGTCGTCGAGATTTCTGAACTCTGCCACGAAGATACGGTCGTACAGGGCCATAGACAGGAGTTGTCCTAGAAGATCAAACAGGGGTTCGGGATGGTGACCGATAGTGAATCTCTTGCTGCAAAGTAGTCAGTCAAAATGGGTCAGGGACAGTGGTGGACATGGGTCGTACACACGTGGCTTCCCGTCCTCTCCCTTGGTGTGGAGGATGGAAAGCTTTGCCAGTAACGTGTTGGGTTGGCCAGGCTTGCTGCCACGAACGATATGGAAGTCCACATGTCGCCATAGGACCACTCTCTGTTCCTCGGGGCCAGCATCGTACCCATCATCGGTGACGCTGCGAATATCCGACAGAGAAATGTCATCATCCGACTCATCTTCCTCTGTCCCATCCTGGTCAGCGGCGGCAGGATACTCCGCGTCCGAACCAGAATATTCAGCGTTAACATCCGTACCATCATGTCCTCCGCTGAAGATGGAGTCGCCCGTCGTGCTGCTGGAGTGGCATTCCGGATCGCGACCAGGCTCGCTCTCCTCCTCATCTGTGCCAAGGTCACTTTGGCGGGGGAAGCTGATATATTGAGAAGGGCGGCGACACGCTCTTACTGATCGATGTTTCCATTGCTCCTCTTCATTCAACTCCCGTTTCCGCTTTCTAGACACTGCGGATCTGTCATAGGTGCAGTTGGTGATCCACCCCTCTACCTTGGAGTGACTGTCCATCATATTTGCATCTCTCATCTTTTTGATTGGGGGGGCAAGAGTGTGTTCTGATTCAGCTGCGGAATCGACTCCCCATGGCTCCTGTTCAGACGCCATATTCTTTACTTCACCATTTTCCTTCTGCTTCTTGCGCTTGTTTGTATCAAACAGGGAGACCAGCCGTTGGCCGAACATGGACATGAGTATGCCTACTGATACCTGAAGTCGCTGCCTCTCATCGGCGTATACCCGTGGACATCGCACCCAGTGAGTGTGGAGGATGCGGTACACATCGCCCATGTCTCCCGTTGGTTTTTGTTTCGGTAAAACTCGTAACTTCCATTTTTTCTTGCCCAGCCAATTGATATACTGTTGCCGCTGTCAACCTCAAACCAGCAGAAATCATCAGTATCTGTTGGAGATCGTATACTTACATTCAACACGTCTTCTGCCATGAAGCTGTCGATTCCTCGTTTATTAAAATGTCGATAGAACATCTTAAGACGTCGCCAGTAGCTATGGAGGACAGAGAGAGCCTTTACTCTACCCTGATGAGTTCTATGCAGCCAGTCATAGAATGCCTTCACATCTGCGGCCTCCATAGTCTTCAGCCATCGTCCTGGGCTCGTGTTAAACTCTCTGGGGCAGAACCTGGCGGTTGTCAGCAATGATGAGAGGCAATATAGATACATAAAGCTGTGAGAACATAATCTGACCATAAAAGTTTGTTCCAAACTGTCCTCCCACCAACTTTCGTGTTGTCCGAGTATTGTCTTGGGGTAGGCCCTGCCTTCACATGGCCTTCACGCACTTTTTTAAAGTGGCCGGGTGGTAGACCTGTAGAGAACTCTGTTTGGCGACCAGCGCCTTGACGCTTTGAGCGTACGACCGTCATCACTTGCTATTGATATTAGGATAGGAACAACCAGCTGATGCATGGCATGGCACAGAAGGAAGCCTTCTCGGCTGTTGTGATCCTGCAAACAGCCGTGGCACTTCCAATAGAGGAGAAAGATTATTGAAGGTGTTCAAGTAGTGAGGAGAATATTTCCAGTGGGGAGGATTGAAGTAGATTGGCTAACTACCCAATCAACTGTGTAAACAGAAATTGAGACATCATGATCCAAAGGATCACCATGCGGCGAGGCCCGACGGTATTTAAAGAATGGCACAGCCATCATGATCAGGTTAGCCCCTTTATTTCCAAGCGTGAGAAGCTCCTGAAAGTGTGTACGTGAGCTGGGTGAATTGGGGAGCATTCGCGCGGCTTCGGGTGAGCACGCGGGCGAGCAGGCCATGGAATGAGATGAAAAAGCTCCAGCGAAGTCGCCTTAAAGCAGCATTTGAGCATTCTGTTCTAGGTATAGTGTTGACTAGCGTGGGTGCAGATTGGCGGTGCTGGAGCGGCCGAAAGTACCACGAAAACCTTCCACTTTCGGCCGTCAATGCCCTTAAAGGTGTATTCTATCTGTTACTTTTACTTTGACATTTATTTCATTTTGATTATTTTTGATTTTAACTTGTTTTGAAAAGTTTGATTTGTGAATGCTTTCTATTCTTTTAATAGCTGCTGTTTTTTATACTCTTTATTTCATTTCTTTTAAATTAAATATATTGATCTGTTGTCATTTTTTTGACATTCTTTCTTAAATTGAATAGTTTGAATAGTGGTTTGATTCGGAGCTGGAATTCTGCTATTGCATGATTAAAATGGACTTTATATATTAGCTTATCTTAAGTTGGATAATCCTCCAAGTATTTCAAGTAGATGTCATAGTCATGAACTCCATAATTCTATATTGAAAGAATAATAATAATAATGATAATCAAAGCAGCAAGGGCTTATGAGGCTCTAACATAGCGATCAACTAAGTATAAAAAGGGAAGGAGGAGGAGAAAGAGATAAAATAATCTTATTTCTAATCAAATAACAAAACAAGTTTCTGTGAATAATGACTGAAGCATAGAGGACAACATCTGTATATTCACTGAAGGCAGAAATATACATATCATTGATTGATTTATATCTGAACAATGTAGTGGCCGGAGCAACTCTGCAGCTCAAGAGATCATTATTATATTAATATTATTCTTCCATTATAGATGTATGCAGTCAGTGACTATGACATCTACATAAAATACTTCAGGATTTTTCAACTTAAGAATAAGCTAATATATAAAGTCAATTTAATACATGCAATAGCAGAATTCCAGCCCAGAATCAAACAACTATTCAACGCTCAAGAGATCAGATATAACTGAGTAAATGTCGAATGTTTGCAATACAATTTGAGTCAGACTCAGAGGAAAAAAAAAAAAAAAAAAAGAGATAAGAAGATCAACGAAAAAGATACTGTATTTAAAAAAAAAAAAAAAAAAACAGTCAGAGAATTAAATGGAGCAGTGAGTGGCAGATGTAAAAGAGAAGAATGCTCAAAATACACAGTCAGATGAGAGAAAATGCTTGCTGTTTGAATCTTAAATAAAATAGAAGCTTTTAGCATGTTGATGAAAGAGATAAAGAGTCAGACAGATGTTATGAAAAAAGCATTTTGAAAAATCTTTAAATAAAAAAATACTAGATTTGCATACAGAGTTGAGCAAAGTAAAAAACTCATTTACAATTTAATTGTAAATAAAAAAAAACAAATTTGACTGCATTTTTGCATTAAAAAAGAGTATCTAAATTTTTCAACACCACAATGCCCATGTGGCTACATTCAAGAAATATTAGAGCATGTCATAATGCATTGTGATCACTACAGCATCTACAGAGAGACATTAAATCATTATAAAAAAATTGATAAAAGATGGCTACTGAAAACCAAAAAAAGTATCAAACAATTAACAAGCTGATAATTTCAATAAAACATTCTACAGCAATTTACAGTAACTCAAACTCAAGAGAAGTACAGAGCATGAGACTGATGAGATATATAGTAATGCTTGAATCATGAATGATGAGAGAAGAAGCTGCAACAGATGTAAGTATGAAAGAGATGTGCACAGTAAATATGAAAGTGAGAAGTAGTAAAAGAGGGGAAGAGGGTTGTTTTCTTCATTTCTCAAAAACAGCACTGACCGATCCTTGGTAAAACTGCAGGGAGGGAACTAAAGTGAAAGCAATTAACTGAGAAGAGGTTTTTAATCCAGTGGTATTGATCACAAGGTTTTCCTTTCATGTAACATAGACTTCCCACATACTATATAGATTAGGTGGTGTAGGAATAAATAATAATAATAATATATGATCCGGTTTTTGAGGATTTTTCGTTCGGCAGGGTCATTGCATTCGCCCTCTACAAATTCCTCAAAGAAATAAGGGTTCCCCAGTGGAAGAAGAAGGTTCTTGAGCTGGAGATCTTCAATAATACATACGTTAATCCCACTATCTTTTCCTTATGAGGTGTAGAAATAACTTACCAGTATGAATTATTCTTGCCTCGGTATGAAGGAAGTGCAGACCAATGAGTATCTCGAGAATAAACATTTTTATCTCTTCAATCCTGAATGCTCTATCAGGGACATAATTGAGGAGGATATGCTCCATAGTCATTCCCAGAGCCTCATGGACAATGCAGGTATGCTTTTTTCCCTGAGGCCCTTGTATCTCGAAGGAAGAGAGGCACTTGCGGATAACTTCATGCCCCAAGGTGATTTTGTTTGGCAGTGGCAGCTTTTATACGCTCGTAAATTGCGATTTCGTTGCCCCTGAATAAGTCATTTACATATACTTTCAGTGCTACATACCCTGGGTCATCCGGCTCCCTGGTGGAAAGCGGGATCAGCATAACACTCATTGTCTTCAGTCCATTCTTTTATCGTCGTCGTAGTGGTTAGGTAGTCGCTTACACCAGATCGCGAGCGAGCCATACAGTAGATGTAACGCCAAAGCCTAATTTGCCCATTACCTGGTACCTTTGGTTGAAAACCTCTCCGACGTGCACTGGGTAGTATAGCTCTGCTTGGTACCCAGGAAGGGTTTCTTCCTGAAACAGTTCCGAATGGTCGATGACCTTGAATCCAGATGTTGGAAAAGAGAGTGGAGCCAAGCGCTTTGGTGGGACAGAAGACATTGTTCTGGTAACAATCGTTCCTTGTGGGAGAAGAAGATGACAGTTGCGAATCGACAAGCTGAGGTATGCACAGGAACGGCTTTTGGTAGCGAAAACTCGCCGTGTACAATTCCTGAGAGACGACATCCCAGGTGGATGATGACCTCTTCATGGGTTGCTTCGGATGGTGCTGTCCTTGACTTGAAAGGATAATGTCAGCCAAGGATGGTTAGCGTTAGCTTGGCGCTGCGATCGAGCCAGCGGCTAACTTGCGGCCGATCTCTAATGAGAGATACCCAAAGAAAAGTGGAAGTTCGGATTTTCTTTTCGCTGCGTCCCCCACAATACTATGATACTACGGAGTAGTATGGTACCCTTTCAACACCGAGCGGTTCCAATGTTGTGAATCTCATTGCAGATGACAGGGACCTCGATCATTCCTGTCAATAGAATTTTTTAAGGGCCACAGAACGCATTTGCGAAAATGCAAAGTGTTGGCAAATAGCCGCCGCCTGAAGATGGCCTCCGTTATGAGTATGTATCGAACAGACAACCTCGCTCTTCTACTCTTTCCACTAGTTATTTTCATAGTATTTGATTGGCAGGATCCTCTCAGTCATTCCATACGGCGGGACCTCAGGAGATGGGCCACCAAGCCCAGCGCTTTGTGAAACCTCTGATTATCAGTTCACTTCGTCTATATTGGGCATATGGCTACTTTTATTTTTAACCTGCCCCGATGCCTATACAATAATTTCTGTTTCTATCCAATGGGCGCCAAGAACAATTTAAAGGGATGTAATGTTTAATTATTTTTGATATAAAAGACTCCAGTTCTACCCTCCATAAATCTATTTCCTTCTAAACAGGAGCAATATCAGATTCTCTCATGTACTGCTGCTGATCCTTCAAGACTTTCGCCCTATTAATTCTGTTGTTGTATTATTCCGCGGCCCTTATATAGTCTAGGACAACAACCCTATCAGCCTTTGACCAAGATGAACCGTCCATCCGTTAAAGCATTCAGTACTTCTGTCTCTACTTTTATGAGGTTTACTGGGTCAGGCATTGCCTCTATCAGAATGAGTAATGGCTCTAATGGGGACTCATGGGAAAGAGTGGTGCAAAAAGTCACAAATGAAATAGAGAAAGCTGTCAGTACCCGTATAAAGTGATCCAGTTTGGATATTCCAGGGCTATGACTGACAAGTACAATTTACAGGAGCGTTGACTGCTGCCGGAACACGTATCGGATCTGTCCACATTCATCTAGATGGGACATTCAAATTCTTCGCATCCCGTGCCGGAAGGATAGGCGGGTATGCAGCCAACATCGTAAAGGCAGGAATTGAGGGATTCATTGGTGAAGTGGATGAAGAGGAAGCAACAAGCACAGAAAGCGCCAGTCAGAAGGCTAAATTGCCATGAAGCTGTTTGAGATTACTGCGAGACAAGCACTAATAACTATAGACTGGCTGTGTGACCATGCATGGGACTGGGACCAAATTTTTCCTCAGTCCAATTATCAGATATCTTAGTTCTAATTCTATATAGTAAATTAATTATTTTACACTGTTTATATTATAAATCTGGTGTTGCATCGATTTGATCTTTTAATCTTGATATTTTGTTATGAGGCTCACTGATATCCATAGATCTTAGGAGATCAGTGATTAGCTTTGAACAATAGAGATTGCTACCTTTCTATAACCCTTGTGCGTACTTCACACTACTCGCTAGTTATCTTTGTAATCTATCTCTTACACATATATACAATCCAGGACATACGAAAAATATTTGCGGCGTCAATTCTCTCGCTCTGCCTTTGCATGGTTAGATTGACATGATAGAAAATATGTGCAGCCTGTGGTCTGTACTGATCTCCACCACATAAACCAGCTACCACCATCCATCTTAAATTGGCTCGTCCGTAGTGGTCGGATTTCATTATTTTCAAATTCCCCAAGTGACTATAGAATGAGAAGTTGTAAATGGCGGGATGAGAGGAGATCTTAATGTGTGTATTATGCTTTCTTGTTAAACAGATGTAAGGAAATACAAAAACATATAAAGACACTACTAATACTGTGGGCTAGAACGTATTCAAAATAAACGATTCACAAAGGAACAAGGGGGATGATGGTCCGGAATAGTTCGAAACGCCAGACAGTGATATGTGCAATTCATGAGTAATCGCACTATCACCGTCTGCTATGATATCGTTTGCAAGGGCGCTGCAATAGCATCCCGCTTTTCGTCGCGTAATTCGTTTTCTCCTTTCCGCCGCCCCCCTTGATATATCCCTTAACATATGTATGCATTTCGCTTTTATCATCGAGAGGTTGCAGTCCGAATTTCATGGTATTACATAATGTACAGGTGCTGATGTCGAGAACGACGTGTTTCATTCAATATGGTATCATCATTGGTTAATCTTTGCGAGAATTCTATAGGGCGTGCATCACGTTAGAAAAGTGATTTTGTTGGACAGGAAGGTAGAATTATAACGTACTCAGAGTCCCTGAAGAGAGTGTACTCTTCTTCGCCGACTTTAACGGGGCTGCCTCCGAACTACAAAGGCGGAAAGGGGATCCGTTAGAGATTGAACAGCCACTTGTTTGCAATTGCTTTATAGTTGACGTTCTATGCGCCAGTTCTACACAATGGCAGATCGCGCAACCATCCTGCTCCCATGATCCGACCGATGGTGTAAGAGCTTGAGAAGAGTGCGGCATACCTGAGGAATGAGGACCCTGTCGCCAACATTTACGCTCACTGAGATTCTCTTGCCATTTTTGTCAAGAGCCCCAGGTCCTACAGCCAAGACTTGGGCCTCATTGAGTTCTTTCACAGAGCTCTCAGGGAGGAAGATGCCAGAAGCAGTCTTGGCTTCGGCCTTAATTCTCTGGACGAGGACGCGGTCCAGGAGGGGAGCGAGGCTTTTGACGCTGCGGAGAGCCTATTTGTTGTTTAATTCTGTCAGCAAAAGCCCAAAATAAAAAAGGCCCATGGCAATGCGAACATGGCTGTCTGTCGGAGGACGAATGGTGGACAGAAATACGGGGAAGATAACTTACCATTTCGAGACTTGTATAACAATGGGATGAAACTACAGCTAAAGATGCGTGCAGACGAAATGTGAGGATCAATTGGCAGGGAATGTGAGAGATGTACTGTGCAATGATGATGAAGGAGGATGAATGTGTTTTTTACGTTCAGCTTTTTTTCTCTGGTCTTGGCGTTAGTTCTGGAAATTTCTCACTACAGCAAAAGGTGTTGGCCAAATCTGGTATAGTTTCATGTACAGTACATGCAAACAACGCAAACATCCTCTTCAACTATCAGGGGTTATCCCCTCCTCTGGCCACTAGTACAGTGCCAGCTATACGGACTTATACAGCTCTGTACGCGCTAATCTGGCCGAAAAAGGCCTGCTGTTCGGTAGATTTTGTGTATGTCAAATATAGCCAATGTCCATTCCCCGCCAACTCCACCGGAAAAAGGGAACTGTAAATCGGGCATTTCCACAAAATGGACCTGTATCCAGGATTATGAGGCTCCAGGATCGCAATCTAGCAGCAAAAGAGCGCAACACTAAAGGCCCATCGACCCAAGATCAGAAGTCTACCGCACCTTCAAATTCTCTATCCAAGCTCCTGCCGCATGTGGAGAATGGAAACGAATACACTACCTCCTCAGCTCAGCTTCAGAGTCATGGGTTTCTCATTACATCAAATCCCAGCCAAGGACCAGCAGTAGATGCCAATCAGCGGGATAAAACGGGAAAATGGGGTTTACATTGTACTGTACCAGATCGGGTGATGGCCGCGCAAAATGGAGACCATTCAAGGAGCGGTCGAAGCATGGGATAGAAAATCTCTCAGCGTGGAGATATCGAAAATTTTGTTCTGCAAACCGGAGGCCTAAGGTAACTGAATGGACGGGAAACTGAGAAGAGGGCCTGCAAGAGGGTTCGCTCGTGCCGCCAAAATTCAAAATTCTCATGGGGCCAATGAGGGGAAGAGAATTTGCTAGGAATTTTGCCTATTATTCGTCCTATGTTTTTTTCTTCAATGTTTCTTTTACTTTTAGGTGGATTTGGGCGGAGGGGGCGCTCGCTATCTTAGATCTCTGATTCTTTTGATTTTCTGCACCTGAAAAAGCACCCCTATTTGCTGTTGTCAATGCCATCGCTAAAACAAGCAACCTGTTGGTCGACCTAACGCAAACAGCCCTTAAACTTTAATTATTACGCATAGCAATACGAAAATTCATTCAGCTCATTTATAGTAATATTTCACCTGTGAAAATGTCGTACGGTACAAGGAAGCTTGGGAAAACAGCTCAGTGAAAATGACTGGTTTTGAACAATTTCACAAACCTAGCTACTTGTGAAGAATGCAAACAAAGGACCTAAGAAGAGGTAACATTGCATTAACATTTTGAAGTAGCGTAAAGGACTTCGACATTGTATATTATATGTTCCCACCAATAAGTTCGTTTCTCTGGGGATCTTGCCTCTAAGTAAATTCATATTACCTCAACTGCCAGTCTTCGCTCCATACGCTCGAACACACGCTGCCCGAGAAGTGGGATGAAAATGCGTTTCCGTTCAAAAGGATTCATAGAAGCGAAGCGGAAGAGCGCATCTTTTGGATTCTGAGTTGCTTGAATCGAATGACTACCGGAATAGTGTAATCCATTGTCACCATCTGCATCATTATAAGGATGTAGTAGCACCATCTGGGCTGCAAAAGGAATTTAACCCACACTGCCGGAGGAATTCTCGCTTGGTGAGGTATCTTCCGGAAAAACGAATTTTGGCTGGCTTTCCAAGCTCATGGACAATATTGGAAGCGGACCACGGAGTCATAGTGTAATGTTTACTTGCAAGACTAACCAACCAGTCTGTTATGATACTAGCATCGTTAACGACGGGGAAAGCGTTTATGGTTGAAAAATGGTTAAGCGACTCGCAAAACTTTTTCAGTGATTCGATAGCTTGCACCGTTCGATCGTTCATTTCCATTTCCACATGCGGTCTCGTTAACCTCTCTTTGTTTAGGGTAACGATAGGGTTGCAAATGAAGACATATACTTCTTCATATAAAAGGCAAATCTCGGAAATACGTCGACGAACTGGGTAATTCAGTTCCTGGGCGATTCCCTGTCTGTTTGGCTGGTGGCCCGGCAGATATTTCTGAGTTATTTCCTGAGTCGTGGTAAGGAGAACGCCTACAGTAGGGGAAATTGATATATCTGCTTCCTGAATTTCGATGTTCTGTGGGCCATCCTGATGCTCTTGAGTTCGTGGCATCAATCGATGCTGATGGAAACTCTCAGTCCAAGTACCAGATGCATACCGTTTTGGCAGACTACTGTAATCACGGAAAATCATATTGCACACTGGGAATAGGGATTCAAGACTATGAATCATGGAACGATGTGTCTGGAGAAGCGAGGAAGATAAAACAAATGTCAGGGGATCTTGTGGCCGAGCCGTGTTGGGAGGGTCCACCAGTGGCACTAGTATGGGTTTAGCATTTGGCAGGGTTATCTGCTGAGGAACCTGCGTACCAGTCTTGGGACGCGGGTTGTCCTGTACCAAAACCGTTGAATCAGGTGGAGCCGAGTGGACGATGTGTGGAAAGCTATCCGAGTGAGAATCTGTAGGCCTGCGACCACGGACCTCCATAAAATTGGAAAGTGAGTCAAAAGGGGAAAACAAGGACGATAAACCTGAACCAACAAGTGAGGCCTCCGCAAATTTGACGTTCAGCTCAATATCCGTAGCTTTTAAGCTTCCGGTTTTGTTGTCGATTCCTTTGAACTTCTTCGCTGTATGGGAGTATCCTGACCCACTAGCTTTCGCTTTATCGTCTCCATAATGCTCAAGTGCCTTCCCTTGAAGCGATGAAACAAGCCCTACCTTTTCGTAAAGCTCTCGCGGCATAAGCTCTTCATTTCCTTCTAAAGTGGAAAGACGAAACTCATATGGATAAACGGATGTAAACATTTGCTCTTTATTTTCCGAGCTGTTTAGCTGGCAACCAATCCCACGGAGGAACTCACCCACGGCGTCCTCTGGATCTATATTTTCTCTGACCTCCAGTCTCCGTACTTCCAATGAAAATGGTTGCCACTTGAGATCCTTTTGATTATCTTCACCCATAGCATACCGGATGCCAGCTAAATCATTCCGTGTAATTTCCGAAATAAATGACAGACAAAGTCTTTTCAATTCAGTCTTCGGTAGGCCAGCGACTACAGGCCACGGTGGGATCTTGATCGGTGATCTAAGACAAGGCACATTGCATCGTATCGTTGGATTAATGCTTCTGATGCGGTCTGAATTTAGTTCATCTTCTGCTTTTCTCTTTGCTGCACTAACTACTTCCTCCAGATCTTCGGGGATGCTAATGGATTCAATATCCACCGCATCGTGTGAAGCAATTTCGGAGAAAACGCCGGTTCGAGCCATGGCATTTAAGATATCCTCATTACTTTCAGCAGCCCGCTTTTTAGTTGATATCGGCGGAGTGATAGGGGTTCCAATTTTCAAGTCTTGAGTTATGTTTTGAACAATGGGTAATGAAGTTAGGTCCTCGAAATCTTGCGATGTTTCATTAGATCCATCTGTTGGCAACCCCAGTCTTTGGGCCTGGCTGTTGGTCGTAAGGAAATCTGCCACGATCTGCTCGCAGTTTGTCGTAAGAGTATCTTCAACATGCTGAGCGTCCTGAAATTCGGCATCAGATAATATTTCCATTTCCAAACAGGGAGATGGCGGTTCAAATGGCCCCGGAGTGGGGTCCCTAGGTAACAATATGGGTGTCTGAGGGTCAATATCTTTCCTCTGGTTGCCAGTTAGATGTATATTCTATTCAAATTTGTGAAACATACGACTAACCTTGCGACAGAAGGTAATTCCTTCACTTATCCAGTCATCAACATCCCTCTTTCCGGGTGCGGCAATCTGACTCTTAATCTCCTGCATCAGCATCAAACCGTCTTTCACACCGCTCAGCCGCTCTGCCTGAGCTACATCCCACAACTGCTTTGGCTGGCTCCAGAAGTTGCTCGGGAACTTCAAGCTTTCATCATTCTCGTCGTCAAGCTGTTCCAACGGTACATCTATCTCCATGAAATCAAGTGAAATTCTCCGCCGAAACATTCGCATGTCAATTTCGTGATCGGTTCGCAGGAGGGGTGCTTCTAATTTCATATCTCGAACCTGGCCGAAGTTTGAGGGGCATCCACCTTCTCCGGGATGATTTCCCATCGACATTTCATCGAGGAACGATCTAGCAATGGATGACAGCACGTGTGCGCTTGCCCAGTTCGCATCAAGCTTTTCTCTTGTTCTGGTCCGTATTTCACTTTGTATGGTTTCTAAGTCGATGAAAGGAAAGTTTGGCGTGTCACAAAGAGACAAGTTTATGTCCTCAATCACTGGGGGGACCATGAGGAGTGGGTCTTGTATGCCGCTAGTAGCGATGTTATGGAACCGCGCATATTCAAGGACGGACGGTTCTAATGGTGAAGACATCGCTGACTTTGAACAATTCGAGTTGTCAAGAGCGAGCCGCTTTTCATGATTGGTATAGAACACTAGATCAGCCTAGGTTCATATCAATTGACTACACGGTTTCAAGCATCCCGCCATCATTGTTGTGTGAGATCTCCTAGAACATCATCCAGGGAGACAACCTTAGAAGACAGAGATATTGGAGCACGTGACCATATGTTCTCCCAGGCCTTCTCTCTCCAAGTACTAGGCATCGTTTATGAATGTATAAATCACTGGACAACGAGGTATACATTCCGGATGATAATTGATTCCAGAAGCAAGACGCCGGCTATAAATATCACATAAGAACTTGAATATAATATATAAGACAACGCAAAAGGAAAGCAAGAAAGAAGAAATACTAGTGTACAATCCTATTGAGTGAAACCAATAGGTCATACAACAAAAGCAGGTAATAGTACCCTAAAGATGGTAGTGAATGATAGAATCAAAGTAGAGAGAACCGAGTTATTTGAGTCAACAAGATCCCTCAAGTCATTGTTGGTTGCCTCGTGGGATATTTTTGGGCCAAATCTCCTTTCTGAGACTTTCCAGATGGATGAAGAAATTGGCCGTCCTGCAACAAGAACAGCGTGACGACGATGCAATGCGAAACCATGCGAAGCTGTGTGATTCTTTGGCCTCCAGTCGGATTCGAGCAGCCCATAAATAGTATAACTAACTTAGAATGAAAAAAGTGTTACTCACCGTTGAAGGATGATCCCGCAGTGCTTCCCGCCGGAATCGGGTTATATGGTTCCTGCGTACCACACCTTCGTTGAGGTCCTAGTCATACTAGTATTTAAACGAATGATTGCATCAGTTTCCATCCTAAGCAACCCAAACAATTTTGGAAATAAATTCAGGAATGAAATAAAAGTGAGTTAATGAGTAGTGCTGGTACTCATTCTTCCTCTGTTCGAGAGCAGCAAAACACAGGATCAAACCATCTCGAATCCAAGAGGTGAGAAATAGAGGGACAGGTTGACCTATTTCTGCGAATTTGGGACATTCCTTCAAGAACCTGAAGCGTTTGGAACCAGAAGCATTACAGTGCATGGTACTTAAATAGTTTAATTTTGGGGGAGAACATGGCGTTAAATGATTCGGCGTATTGATGTAGGAAGCCTGATATATGAACTTAAGGATTGAGTAGCTTTCCATGGATTCTACGGCAGCCTATAGTGACAAATATGTCAAATGGGTTTTTTATACTAGTGTTACAATGTACACACACCTATCATATTTCTTTTATTTGTAATTGAATAGAGCTTGTTGATTATTGGGAAGCAATGAATTGCTAGATATCATCTTCAATATATATCATCACAGTAATGAGATAGCACTACTGCTACCGAGTCTCTAACCTAGCAAGCTTCTTACTGGATATAAGATAAGGTCGGGGCTTATATAGTGTTGCTGAGCTTGTTCACTAAGTCAGAAGGTAGTGCCACTATCACAGAGTAAAATATAACATCAAAAGAAATATCTAGAATGACTAGCAATAGCTACAGTGATGATTTAAAATAAATAATAAAAATATCTAGTAGAGCTTACAGATAAAGGTGAAGACTTAAGATATACATCATAAAAAAGTATGTTTAAAATTATCTCATAGTCATATTATATAGTTAACTGAGTATAAATAAGAGTATTCTGAAAAAAGTAAAAAAATCAAGATTAATTATGATCAAAAAAATAAATTTTTTGATTCTAAAAATAATGAATGTGTTTAAATATATTTGAGTTAAAAACAAGTTTTTAATTGAATATTTCAAAGAATTGTAACATGGGCTTTTATTAAGAAAAAAATAAGAGAATCATATTTGCAAAAATGGCAAGATATCTGGTTTATGCAAAGAAAAAGTGTGCATTACTCCAGATTTGAAACAAAGCCAAAGTGGAAGACTTTGTTCAATAAAGTGTAAAAAGAAACTTTTTTGCTACAATAATACAGTTAAAGCTTTGAACATGGGATATCCTCAAATCATATTTAACAACATCTAACGATGATCTAAATAATCTATATTTAGATTGTCAATTATATGAAAATCCAAAGCATCTTTTGTTACTTTGTATAAAGTATTCAGAATTGAGATTGAAACTGAAAATGGAGCTTAAATTGAAACAATTAAATTTGAGTCTATTATTCAATATGAAAACTGAAAACAAGTTTTTATTTGAATATTTGAAAGAATCAAATGTTGTTACAAGAGTTTAAATAAATAGTCTGTTAAAAATATTAAGATCAAATTTTTCTATTTGGTTTATTTTAATGTCTGATTCTCTTTCATAATTGATAAAAAACAATGTGAATTCTGTTGTTGCATTTTTTAAATTGTTGTATGTTATCTATATCATCAATAATAATTCAATTTAATTGTTTTGTTGATAATTGATATAGCATTTAAGATACTGTTTAATTGTCTGATTGAAATGTTACTGGTGTGATGATGAGTTCAGACAGTATGATTTGATATTCATACAATTCAAATCTTATTCAAAATACTGTTTTTCACTTTTCTTTTAATTTGATTCATATATGAATATAAACTTCTTATAAATCTAAAGTGGTGAACCACATTGCTTCTGCAAATCTGTCTTGAATTTCTTCAATAAATAGTAGTGAGTAGCAATTTTTCACAGTTATTTTATTCAGTTGTCAGTAATCCACATATAATCACAAACTTCCATCTTTCTTCAGTATAGAGATAATGAGATATTCTGTCAATGATGTTGACAATTATATGAATCTTTTCTTTTAATTTTCATTAATATATTTTCAAAGTTTTTCAAGTTTTTTTTTCATTATCTGATATATCAGTGCAATGATCAGTTTCTGTCTTTCTTCTAGACGTATTTTATAATCTCATTTTTTATATTCCAATAAACTGTCTTATATAAATGTCTCTTAGAACATATTTTTAAATTTCTGAAATTCATCTGCTATAATAACTCTAATCTTTCTCACCTTTCAATTTCTTGATATGATCAGTTTTCATTTTTTGAAATTTTTGATCTGCTCTGTTATTTGAATTTCTTTTTTTATAACATTGTCTTTAATTCATTTTGTGCTATAAATGCTGAATTTTTAAGCTTCTGTGTGAGAGGTATATCCATATTTCATCAGCTTTATGATATCTTCTCTCTAGTTTATATTAAAATTGTACCTTCATAATTAGAGATGTCTCAAAACAATATCATATTCTTCTGTTTCAGTAATATCAAATCAAAGTGTCTCTTCATAATCTTTCATTTTTATAATTATCAGATTTGTTTTAATGTCAACTCATTTAAGACTTGTTTTTTTAAATCTTTCTAGCTGATAGATTTATCTTTTTCCTTTTTCTTTTATTTTGACTTTGACTATATATTCTCTATTCATAAATATTTCAATTGTTTTTGAATTTATCAATGTATGTATACTTTGCTCTGTTAAATTCATATGAATTGATATATGCCATCATTCTCTTATTGTAACTAATATCTGATCTTTCTCTCTTACTCAAGATGCTCTTTCTAAGTAAGTCTCTAGTTTTTTAACTGTTTTTTCTATTCAGGTATTTCTTAATAATTTTTATAAATCATATCTATATTTCAGTCTGAGTTCAGATTCTGTGTTTTTATTTTGTAAATAATTTCATTTCAGAAAGTTGATGCTGCTTTTTTGCATCTGAGATTGTAACAAACTTGAAAATCTTACATTATCATATGTTAGTGTATTCATCCTTTCTTAAAATATTATATTGATTTTGTTGATCTCCATTTATGACAATTTTTAGTTCATTCATATGTTATGTTTTTACATCAATCATGATAGCAATAGATCTATGTTATTTCATGATGTTTTTCATGATCATGAGCCATTTTCAAATCTTTTTATAACTTTTCTGATATAAAAATCAACTCATATAAAGTTCTTACTGAGTTATTTTTTCATGATGTTTGAAAAAAAAAGTCATTTTTTTTCTTTTTCATTCTGTATTCTTGACATCAGTCTTCTCAGCATAACAATCATGTCATTTTCATACATCACTTATTCAAAGTCTTTAATTTTATCTTGTATAGATTCTCTTGATCTTTTTCTTCAAATTTCTTTAGTTTTTATTCAATGTCTTCAAACTGCTTTTTAAAAAGTATGATAACCTTTTTTCTATCTAACTTTAACACTGTGTTTGTAAATACTGATATAAGATTATATTTATTGTCTGTATCACTTTCAGTGGTTACATCTTCTTCATCACTATCATATACAGATTGCATGATTTATAGATGTCTTTATTTTGAATAGTAATCATTGTTTTCTTTCTCATTGCAATGTATAGAACAATCATCTTCTATGCAAAATGTTTAATGAATGATATTATGATTCAGATACTTTGAATTTTCAACATCTTATGAACGAGATAATTTTTCATTTTCCTTATCTTCCATTTCACAATAAACATCGTTGTCAATTCCATATGAATAAAAGATTTCATGATACAGATGATTTGAGTTAGTTCATTGTTAATTGATGTCATTCTGTTGTGCTTGTATATGATATTCACAACCACAATCATATATCTGATATTCTTTATGTTAAGAGTGCTTCACATCAGTCATTTCTTCATTCATTCATATAGCATTGTGAGGGGTGATGACAGTGTGAAGAGTGAATAGTAGAAGATAGTATGTAGTGTAGTAGAAGATAATAGTAATAATAATTATAGTAGTAGTATAGTTGAAGTTGTAGTTATAGCTGTAGTTGTAGTTGTAGTTGTAGTTGTAGCTAATTGCTGAAGAGGAAAAGAAAGAGAAAGAAGATGTGCGAAATACATGCATCCATATATATATACATATATAAATAGTGGTAGCGAGAGTATAATGGAAAGTGGTAAGAATAGACGAAAATATAAACAAAGATAATATAATAATAGGGAAATAATAAACGAGTGCATTATAAGCATGATATTCACATTCACTGTGTAGTAGTTTATACATTCATGACTCATTTGTGTCTCAGAATTGTTGATGAGAACATTCACATTTTTCTCAAATTCATTGTTTATAATTTGTTTAAATCTATTTATTGCTCATTATATGTATGTCATTTTCTGAACTCACTCTTCTTTTCATTGCTATCTGTGAATCATTTCAATCTCAATTCTGACAATTTATATTCCACAATCTTCTTCATTTTCTTTATCAGCCTTCTTCATCATTCTTAGATATTTTATTTTTTGTGACTTCATTGTACAGGATATAATCTTTTATCTTATTTCTCAGAGCACTGTTTTATCATATATTCTTATTTCTCACAATTGAAATATAGCTTTTCACATCAACACTTTTATTGTTTATTGTTGTTCTTCTTTGACAGTGAGGTGATATTCAATTTCATTGAATAAGATTCATAATAATCATTTTATTTCTTGTGAGTTATTATTATGAATGTATAATAACTCTTTTTCTTTAATCTGTATTTATAAAATCAATTGTCAATTCTGACAGTTGTTTTTATCATTACTGATAACTCTTCAGATTTTTAAACTAATTTTTATATCTTATCTTTAACTTCTTTATATAATTCTTGATAAAATTATTCTGCTAAAGCTTCACTATCCCAGTTTAAATGTAAACTCAACTGTGAATATTTAGATGTATATTGTGTAGCTAATTCAATTTATTTGAGTTGATATAGCTTCTGAGCTGTGAGATACTTTTCCTCAATATTTTCAAATATTTGTTGCAATTGATTGATAAATCAGATATAGCTGCTGAATATTTTATTGATTTGTATATCACAATTTTCTTTAACTTCATAAAACCATAATCTATTATTATTATTCTTCCATTATAAATGTATGCAGTCAGTGACTATGACATCTATCTGAAATACTCCAAGATTTTTCAACTTAAGAATAAGCTAATATACAAAGTAAATTTAATACATGCAATAGCAGAATTCCAGCCCAGAATCAAACAACTATTCAAACTATTCAATTTAAGAAAGAATGTCAAAAGAATGACAACAGATCAATACATTCAAGTTTAAAACAAATGAAATAAAAAGTATAAAAAACAGCAGCTATTAAAAGCTACAGAATAAACCTCTGCAGTTTAAATTTTGAGTTATATACATATTTTAACATCTTATATAACCGGCCGCCGCCTCTGTCCTCTCAGGCCACCATTAGAGGTTATCATTCCCTCTAGAGCGCCGCCGCCCACCCGGGTTCTTTAACTAGCCTATCTAAGTGGGATCCTCACTAAGAATAACGCCAGAGCTACCCAGTTCTAGTTAAATCCTCCGATCTTCCGGCTGCCAATCTCAGCATTCCAGCCTACCAATTGGCCGTCACAGTCTTGCTTGCACTAACCATCTATTAGGGCGTCTAGGCCTCGTCTCATCTAGGTCCTCGCTAGACCCGGGGTGCCCTGATCGGGCAGTTTTTATTCCTTAATTCCCCGGAATTTAGGGGTGCCTAGATAGTAGTGGGTGAAGTGGCAGTGAACCCCTGGCCAGTTAAGCTTGACGATGATTCGCTATCCTGCTGGTGTCTCCACCCCCATCACACCTTATCTATCCAGTACTGATCTAACTTGAAGCGCTCGGGGGGTAGCCCCACAAAATCAGTGAGAATTTAACGCCCGGTTATAGCCGGCTGGTTACACCCGGTACTGTTTGATGATTTAACAGTGGAAATTGGTTAAAATGAGCCCTGCAGGATTCGAACCCGCGCCGCTTCTGAGACACCAAGTGGGTAGTTAACCGCTACGCCACCGGGTCTAAAACCACAATCTGATTCTGAGTTCAAATCAATCAAATACTGATTTTATTAAAAATATTGATGTTAATAGAATTTTATCTACTTCATCTGCTAACTTTAATGCATTTACAATGAGATAGATATTTATTTGATTAAAAAAAGCTCTCAATTTTTCACATTTTTCACTGAATGATATAGAAAAGTTGCATTTAAATTTTTAAGTATTAATTACTTGCTTTAACTTATTGCAACATTCAAATAACTTTTTCACATTATACTTTCCATCATCAACAATTGATTTTGTGTAATGTGACGGCGCCGAGGCGATTGCTACTCGGCAGCGGCACAGAGGAGGATGGTATATAATGGGAAGCCTTATGGGTGGGCTTGATTATCTCGCTTGAACCGCGAACTCGTAGAATACTATACAAATACTGAACTACCAGAGGTACTCGGCACACTATGAATATTGTATGAGGACAGTGGTAACTCTGGTATCTTATTGTCAAAAGATAAAAGACGAATCGCTGGCTCCTGGAATAGAGAGCCAGCATCTAGCTATTCTATATAGACAACGGGCAGCCATCCTCCCCTCACTCTATAAGCGAGGGTAGCCGAAGCAACTCCGCAGTGGCGCTGCATTGATCTGCCAGAAGGAATCCAGACCCCGTATAGAAACAGGATTCTCATATCTCATCAATCGGATCCTCTTCTATTGCATCCGAATGATGTCATAGGGTGGTTGGAAACCGGTTCGGACACCTGCGTGATGTCATGGGATAGATGGGATTATCCGAGGGGAAACGATGGGCCGTGTGGAGCCGTCACGGGGCCTTGGCACAACCAAGGGTGTGACATTTTGTTTTGAATATCATAGTTAACTTTTCTTTAAAGCTTAGGGATTTATATCTTTAAATTTAATTAATTGTATTAAGTTTAATTTCATTTCAATTAACAACTTGTTTTCTCAAATATTGTAAGAGATGGGCTACAAGAGTAATTGCAAGAGTAGTGTGAAGTACGCACAAAGGATATTAGAAAGGTAGCAATCTCTATTGTTCAAAGCTAATCGCTGATCTCCTAAAAACCACGGATATCAGCGAGCATTATATAGATAATATTGCCATCGCCACGTATCTATCGCCACGTATCTATTTCCTAATATAGATATCTCCGTTGCTCCTATTACAAATAGAGATCTTCATGATCTTGAATTAGAGATGATCAATATTGTTAATCTAACAAACATCTCATTGAATATAAGAGATAAGATCAAAGCTTATATAATATTACTGAGCTTGTTCACTAAATCAGAAGATAGTGCCACTATCATAGATTAAAATATAATATTAAAAGAAATATTTAAAATGATTAGCAATAGCTACAACAACAGTTTAAGATAAACAATAAAAATATTTAATAAAGCTTATAAATAAAGATGAAGATTTAAAATATGTATTATAAAAAAGTTATTAGATCACTAAAGCAAAACAGCTCAATCACCACCAGCGCCGTGGTGGTATAGAGGGTACGAATCACCCAATCCAATCCCCTCAACAAAAGTATATTTAAGATGAGTTTATAGTTGTACTATATAACTGAATATAAATAAAAGTATTTTAAAAAAAGTAAAGAAATTAAAATTGATCATGATAAAAAAAATAAAATTTCTTGATTCTAAGAGTAATGAGTGTGTTTAAATACATTTGAATTTTTATACAAAATATTCTGCTCACTCTGCTCACTTGCTCACTTTGCTCACTAATTGTCATGATAAACACAATGATTAGAGTAAGCAGTTATGTGATCTCATATTAATATCAGTTATGTTTTGTTTCATTCCTGTATTCTTTCAGTTTTTATTCCATAAGCCTCAGTCCGTGCCGCAGGTTTATAACAACTACAATCACTAGATTATTCATAATGAGAAGTCAACATAACCATTTGTTAAATGGTTGTGCTCATAGTGATATATATATCCATGGGTGTGGTGGTGTGGCTCAGCCCAAGTGGGTAGGGCTAATCACGTGCGGTGGAGGGCGGCCTGGGCAACGGGTGCCCAACAAATCCATCACTGATACACTGCAACCGCCAGCCGCAGCATAGTGGGGAACCACATCACTAAATATCATCACTAGATATCATCATTAGATATAAGTGATATCATAATACATATATATATATATACTGTAGTTTCCATGCTATGCTGTGTGGTTGCAGTGTATAAATGATGGATTGGATGATCATATCTGCTATGACTCAGCTCACAGTAGATCCATGGATATATATAAATATATATATACATATCATCATAAGCACAATCATCCAACAAATATTATGTTGACTTTTTGCTATGAATAATCTAGTTATCATAGTACTAGCTTATTATATTTAGTGATGATATTTATGATGATATCTAGCAATGATATATATCTATGAATGTGGGTGATGTGGCTCAGTTCAGAACAGGTGTGGCCACAACTGATCATCTATACACTGCAACCAGCAGCCACAGTATAGTGTGGAAATCATAGTATATATATATTGACAATGATATCTATCAATTGTATCTAATGATGATATCTAGTGATGATATCTAGTGATGATATCTAGTGATGATATCTAGTGATGATATCTAGCAATGATATCTAGTGATGATATCTACAATGATGTAAATTCACCGTTTTAATATGTACAGTACTTAGAGAATCCAAGGTGATTTGCTTTCTAGTATAAATTTCTATCAGTGTATGTAAATGGAATTAGGTAATTACAGTGGAAAACATCAAAAAAACCCATTTGACACATTTTGTCACTATACAGAATAGGCTGCTGTGGATTCCGAAGATAAGTTAGCGTGGGGCATTGCCACTAGGGTGCTAGCTCCATCTTTGTTATCCTATCACCTCATGTTTCCAACATTCAACTCGAGGTTAGGAGCGAAGAAGAAAAGAGCAAGGCTTCGGCCTTACCATGAAGGTGGTTCAACATGGCAAGGTGAACATTCCATGGGCCCTTTGATATTGCGCCCAAAAAGAAGAAGAAGAATAATAAAAACCCGTCCTTCGATAATTCCCCAAAAGGAATCGATTAATAAAATTAACTAAGACCGAATCGATCGTAAATGACTTGTGCAGGGTGCAAACAAATGCCACGATGAATGTATGAATTCTGTATACTCTAAAATACATGTGGTGCAGAATCAGCAACATCCGAAAGGCAAAATTAAGCAAGAATGAAACTCAACGCTGCTGGCCGTGGGCGGCGAAACCACCAGTTTCGGGAGCACAAAAGATCGTGTGTCGGAATACATTGCAACAGAGGTAGTAAGTAGTATTATTTCAGTAAAACAGCAGCAGCAGCAGCAGCAGCAACAAAATATAAAAGAGTTTATTCTGGCATATATGCAATGCAACGAACAATAACCTTCTACACCTCTTAAAGGGCCATTACATGGAGCTCGGAATGAAAAACAAACAGAACATGTTCCTTAAGGAACCCATAATCTCACAAAGCCAACAACCTCCCGTCGGCATGTAACGCAGCTTCCAAAATTATTCATCGCAAGACTAACCCTGCAATCTTCGCACACACAAAGGCACCGGCACGGCCATACGATAATTGACCTGGGCGCAGCCTGACAGATAACGCATTGGGGCCCATCGGCACCAAGACCTGATGCACCGGTTTTCCAAGACTCCGGTTCCGGTTGTCGGTGGTGCGGTTCTTGAAAATAGGTATCGGCTGAGTTCTCGTGGCCCAACCGGAGTGATAGTATGAGATTTTCAAGAATTTCTTCTTCTTCCTTGGAAGTCGGCCTTCTCTTCTCGTTCGACCCGATTGAGGTTGAGCTACTGCCCAGGGCGCGGAATTTGTTATATCGCGATGATGTAAGAACACGTGCGCGGTCTCGTTCCATTTTGCTTCTAAATCGGCTGCGGGTCATGACTTTGCCTTTATCGGCTGCCATCAGATGCGAGGCTAGTATTTGAGCTTCGTGCCTGGCGTCGCTATCCCTTGGGTCGAGGAGGCGGGCGAGAGAACCCATGTCTAGGAGAGATTCCTCAGATTCAGTGCTTGGCGTTAAGCTATAATTTAACTGGGTGTCTCGTTCGTTCCTCGTGGTGCTCGGACAACCATCTGATTCATATGCCTCCCACTCCGGTTCGGTATTTGACGACATTGATGAAACAACGCTTGTGGTATCTTCCCGATCATCTCGAGAGGGTTCGAAGTCTCCACTTTCGTCTCGCTCGCCCCACGATCCCCCGATCTTCCACCAAATATAGAGTTTCCTGTCAAAACGGCTTTCCTCTGTTTCACCCCACTGGGAAACATTCGCCAGCTCCCTCTTCCTCATTTCTTTTTCAACGTCGAATTCGAAGTCTTCCGGAAGTTTCAACTCCCCTTCATCGGTTAAAATCCAAAAGTCAATCAAGTGGCGGTTGGGGGGTGTTCCTGTAATTTCTCGCTCGCGGCCAGCATCACCCAGCTTTGTCAACCATCTAGGTCTCCTCGTAATACCCATGAAATCCAGGATCCTGAGGCACCCGAAAGCCGCCCAACGTACTAAAAGAATGAAAATCCCTCGGAAAAAGGTAAAACCGTTATAGCATCGGCTTGCCCCTTGAAACGCCCCAACCCCACCAAAAGCTATTCGTTTCTCTATTGAACGTGCTCCCTTCCTTTGCTTTTCAATTTTCTTTTCCCGGGAGTACCCACTCTCCCATTCAGTATCCCCCTTAGGAATATCGAAGTTAAAGGCTTCATCGGAGCCATCCGAAAATGCCGCCAACTGGGGAGCGCTGGAATGGGTTCTGTTAGCGTTATTGCTTCTCAAAGCCTCGATTTCCGAAAGCCTATCCTCCTCCAGCCAGGTCATTGGTCTAGCCACTACGCTTCTCCCTTCGCTTAAGAAAACGGCGTCACTAGCTGCTGCTAAGGAGGCATACCCTATCCTAACTAACGCAGCATAGAAGTCTTCCCTTGGGTTGAGGTGCACATTTTGAATTTGTGACGCTCCTTGCATATTGGCATGGGCAAGTGAGAATCTTTCCCGCAGAGATGTCGGACGTGGCAGAGTAGAAGGCAGCGAAAATGCAGTTAACGTCAATGCCAGTCCATAAATTGCCAGGCAAGTCAAAATCCCAGCAAATATGAGCAAGTGAGGCACGAACCCCACAATACATACAGTGGGGAACTTGAGAACCAGGTCGTTACCCAGGGGAATACTATCAAAAAATCCTGAAAATACAGATGCCATGAAACAAAGACCCCAAAATGTTGTATGGATAAGTCGGGTTTGGCTCTGACGGCCAAAAACATCGAGGATATTAGAAGATAAACAGTTGCAACATGATATCAGAGCGATCAACAGAAGCTCTGGAAAGACATTAAATCTGTCCAGGACTTGGCTCCGCGAAAGAAGCGGCGTAGTGGACAGGAAACTCGTGCTGTTGCTTGAGGAAGCTTGCCCGGTAGATTTGGACGCGCCAAACAGACCTAGGCCGATAGACTGGCTTATCATAGTTTCTGCTTCTGCGAATGCTAGAGAGTGTTCAAATATAGACATCCCGGCCTCTGTGGCAACTCCACGTCCTTGCAAGGCACACGATAGTGTTTCAACAAACTGGTTGAGACATAAACGAAGGAACACGGGCCACAAAAGCGAAAACGAGCCATAAGGAACGTCGTTGGTTCCGGAAAGTCGTTTCATATGGACAGCATCGCAGGAACCTTCATCATCTTGCCAGTTTAAAAGAAATGATGAAAAGGAATGCAAGAAACCATCCTGACCTCCGTAGTCGAAGTTGGAAAGTTTTCCGGGTTTCCCATATCGTATTTGCGGGTATTTTGGAGACGTTTGACAACGGATAGCCTGTAGTAGTGCAATGATTTGCCCAACGAATAGAACTATAGGAACAATTCTCAGAGCTAATCGAACGTGCCACCTTAGAGAAAGATGTCGCCTCGTGGAGCCGTAAATAGTTACCCGGTTCAGGATAAGCGCCTGTTCAATGCAGCACATTCGTCAGTCAATCCAGATAACCAAACGGGCCTCTTCAGAAACAATGCCTCATCCGGATATATCAATCAATGTGGTACTCACCACGGCAAAGCACGCGAGGGACCATCGGCTGGTCAAGTAGTTGAAGAATCCACCAAATTTCCTCATGGTATGGAGCCAATGACTGAGACTAAAACCTGATGGAACCGCCGCATCTGCCGCCACTGCCGCCGCGTCCGCTCCGGCTGCAACAGTTGCAGCCCCTGCCGCACCCGCCGCATCCCGCCCAAGACCCGCTCCACCACCGAAAAGCCCCGACAGCGCCATCCATCAGAGTGGCCACCGCAGTTTCCAGCCCCAGAAAATGCAGAACACTCCGGGGAGCAGTGACGAACACGAAGACCTCCGCCTGGTAAATGAAGCGAAGAGGATAGAGTAAAATATCTTGGGATGCCGGGGATAAGAACGCTAGTTTTGACAGCGTGGAATTAACGACACTGAGGTTCAGGGGAAGGGAAGGGGGTGGTGGCAGAGAAGCCAACGGTATGGACGACTCGGCTGCAGTTGTAACCATGGATGCGGTGATATCCGACATTGCATTCATGTCTGTTGGAAGCGCCATGGCGTGAACTTACAACGAGGCCCAACAATGATGTCCTGTCTATCTTCAGTCAATTATTCTTTCTTTCTTGTGTTTCGGTCCTTTCCTTTTATCCGCCCTTCTTCTTGTATGTGCAATGTGAGATTTATCTGTCAAAACTACCGTGTTTGATTCAGGAACAGCAATTCTCAAAATCAGCGGGGCCACTGCTTCATCAAGACACCAGGAGGAACAAAACGTAAATGATTGAAGGCGAATCAATCAGAAGCGTGAAGATTCCATTTTCTATATCGACGTGCAGGTCGCTTCAACGAACAGCCAGCATCACAGGTCAGCAAGGATCACGATGAAGACATCAAACAGGAGAATGGAGGATTGGAGACAGATAGATCGGTATATCTGTCCGGTGTTTGCAGTGTTTGAAGCGCCGGTGGTTTTTTCGCGTATAGATCATGTGACTTGGAGCTTGACCCCCGGGTTTGAAAATAAATTACTACTAACCAACGTGCACTTTGTTTTTTCCAGAGTTGAGCAGCGAGCTAACAGTAACTTCATACACTGGGGGAATTGGTAGCAGGCTACTAGTACTCATCGTGGAGCAGATTTTGCGACTGATTTAGTTCAAGGCTGATAATTCCATAATACTGTCTATTCGCGGAGCAGTGGGCACCGTGAGCGGAGCATCTGAGCTTACTGACATGAAGTAATTGTTATAGTTGATCCGAGCATTTGAGGCGACTATAGAAAGATGCATCCGCTAATACACTATGTTCATTATTCATTTTATCCAGTGTTTTTTATTTTTGGTGATTTTATCCTTATATATAAATTTTGCTTTTAATAGTTAATTTTGTCTATATTCTCTGTTAATCTAATTAAGAGGCTGTTTTACTTTATTAGATATATTTTTTTATCTCTTTTTACATCACCTCCTGTTCCGCCATTTGTTTTTCATCATGCAGATATGTCATGGAATTTTTCCGGGGATGCACTGGACTAAGTATTGGTTGGTTTAAGCAAGTGATTTTGTTTCAAAAACGTCGCGTGAGGGATCACAAGGGCTGCGCGATGCATTCTTTCTTGTGTGCAACATCTTTCGTTCATAAGATGGATATACCCCTTTTATTGCCCATTACAACCTAAACATCTCCGCCCGACTTCTAATCCCATCAAAGATACACGTATTATCCAGAGGCACATACTGTCTCGTCAACACTTTCAGCGCCTCCTGTGCCACCATACCACCAGTCAGGGAGGAGATGGTATGCAGCTCACCAACGCCCGCACGCTGCGTCTCCTGCACAGCATTTGCGAGGTGCAACTTGGCATCGTCATCGAGAGAACGGCCATCAGTCTGCACAAGGGCTAGAAGTTTGTCTTGCGCGGCAGACCAGTAATCAGGTTGGTCGAGGAAAGACGGAAACGAAGAGTGTGATGGTTCAACTTGTGTTTCTGCGGCTGATTCTCGGTAATCGGTGACGAGAGTATCGACAATTTGAAAGGTGAGGAAAATATGAATAAGGGAGTCCGGGATTTCGAGGCTATTGCGGATGGTTTTGAGGGTAGCGGGGTCCGTATGCAAGTCCAGGATGGGGATATCGCTGCCGCGGATGACCTTTACGCTAGAGGCATGCTTGCAAAAAGTCTCGATTTCCTTCTCTGAAATCGGAGGTTGTAGTGATTGTACCCGAAGCTGGGTCTCAAGAGCTCGAACGCCAACGACAACTTCCGCAAGATCTTTCCGTGCTTTTGACTTGTAGATGTTCTGCAGAAATATGTAATCTGCAGATTGGGCTTTCATATCCGGGAGTGAGCCGGGGAGCGGGAGGACACCATGGGTAGTATAGAAGGATTTAATGGCGGACGCAATTACCCAGAAATTTTCAGAGGTCGAGTCGAGGTTGTTACACTCCTCCATCTCAAATAGTTCCCTGACGTTGCTTTTCAGCGACCACGGATTTACACTTTTTAATACAGCAGCTACTGCTTCGTCAAAGTTTTCCTCCCCCCCTGTAGCATTATTCGTCCGCGCCCCATTTCGAATCATCTCTCGGAACGCTGATTTTTCTTTAAAACTTAGCGGTGGGTTTCCGTCGTGTGTCGCCTTCCACTTCTCGAGGAAGTGAAGCAGTAGCAATAGATATGGCACATGGCCATGTTCGTGGTCATCGAGGCTATCTAAATCTGCTATCTTTGCCGTGGCTGCTACTAATTCAGGAAAAGGGTTGGCCAAGCGCAGATCCTCGACGGAGTTTGGATCTGGGTGTGTTTCGACGATAGGATATACCGAGGGAAGTTGGAGCGAAAATGCAGAGTAGAATCCGACCGAGTGGGTATATATTAGAGGAATCGAGAATTGTTTAGCGGCAGATGAAATGATCTTAAGCAAAGAATGTCTCATTGGCCCTGTAATTATTATGATTGCATACGGCTGGAGAAAGTTTTCCCCGTTTAGAAGTTCCTCAATGGGCTGTATCAAATGTCAGTGATATTTCAGTTGGATCACCACCAATCTGCCGCTCAGAGAATCACACCTCATTCAAAAAATCTCCCTTGACATCGGGGTTCAGCTCCTGGAGATGTTTGCATGTTTCCTGTGCTCTTGGTTTCCCCAGACCCGACTCATCTAGGAAAAAGTTTACCCCTAGGTCCGACTCGGTAATTATGGCCGGGTCAACGATCGTGAAGCCGCCAATGCCAGGCAGCACGAGGTTCTTCAGTGTCTCGACGCCAACAACACCAGAAACAGCCGGGTTCCTGTTATCTAGAGGGCCATCTGAGTTGATCAAAAGAATTTTGGAGCGTTCAAGCGCTTGTTGGCCACTGGCAGCCCATAATCGAAGCTGGCGGTCGTATTTACGCTCCTTTGACGTTGGCCCCGCAAAGGCTGTAGGGAAAGATTCAGTCATCAGGAAACCGAAATACCTGCGTTAGATATATCCCACCGGCCACTAGTATTGCCAAACCGCTGATTTTTTAAAGAATAACAAGTTACTGGTACCTACCTATATATATTTGTCTGATACCTGGGCGCGTGCAACCATCATATCTCAAAAGCTTATCGGGATCGGGACCGAGTGGACGGGGAACATAGTCGGCCCGGAACACCATTGATCCAACCACCAATCTGGCTCTATCTCAAGAGGCTTCGATGACACAACCACCAAGACTCTGGTGTCAATTGAATCCAGTAATAATATTCTGTCCCTGATGATGTGCGCACTCTGAAGAGTAGTAATGCCATTGACCATAGAGACGTCTCGGATGTACCCTGCTTTGTCACTGTGCTGTGGCTCAAAACTGTAGCCTCCCCACCATGACCAACTCACGCCTCCAACCAGCTTCATGAATCCCATACTAAAACCAAACATCACCCGCGTCCTGTAAGTATCCTGTCTCAAGTTCCTGGCAAATTAGAAGAGTAAAATCGAACATACGTTATGTCTGACAGCTTCCTAACAGGCTGCCCCCATCGCCTGCTCCGTTCGCCTCCGCAGTTCTCCACAATTCCATCCATTCCTTGCGGATACCTGGGAAAGCAGACAGTTTTCGACCTGCTGCCGTAATTGCCCCTCTAAATTATCTTATATCTAGCCCAAACCGCGTGTCCCCCCATTCACCATCATCCCGCCTCCCGACTTCCATATTCCCGACCCGCCCCCTCTACCTCAGTACTAGTCAATTTCCTCATCGTTCCCCACAGCCTTTATATTCCACACAGTCCTACAACATGTCCACGATCGAGGACGCAAAGCGGAACGCTTCTAAACTAGCTGTAGCAAAACACTATCCACCGAATCCCAAATTCGTCGGAATTGGCAGCGGGACCACCATTGTCTATGTGGTCGAGGCCATCAAAGCGCTGGGTGTAGACACCACAGCCACTGGCTTCGTGCCTACAGGGTACCAGTCAAACCAACTTGTTGTCAATGCTGGCTTGACCTCTATTTCACTCGACGCTCTTCCCGAGGGTGCTGTGTTGGACGTTGCGTTCGATGGTGCGGATGAGGTGGACGATGATCTCAATTGCATAAAAGGTGGTGGGGCATGCCTGTTCCAGGAGAAACTGGTTGCGCTGCAGGCTAAGGAGTTCGTTTGCGTAGCTGGTAGGTGGGATTTCTTTTGAACTGAAATCCCTCTGGCTTTCTTAAGCCTTTTTTTTTTTTTTTTTTTTTCCAATGTTGCCCCGCATATTAGAATACTTTTTTTTTCAAATAGCCACCAACCTATATCGCCGACATTCTTCTGGCTATGAGTAAAGAATAGCGAATGGTGCCTTATTTCACAACTCACGATCCCCCCTCGATAGACTCTCGAAAACTCCAGCGCCGGCTCCTGACAAACTGGCCCTCGATCCCAATTGAAGTAGCCCCCCTAGCCGTCCGCCGCGTTATATCAGAGCTCCAAAAACTCGGCAGCCCCCTACCCAAACTCCGTAACGCACCAATTAAGGAAGGTGAACATACCCAACCCGTAAAAACTGACCAAGACTTCTTCCTCGTCGACGCACCTTTTCCCAAACTCCTCCTGCCGTCCGACGTTGCGCAGGGTGAGGATGGGTCGGGCAAAAACGGCGTCTGGGAAGTCACGGCGCTGGCGGAGAGGATCAAATTGATCCCTGGTGTGCTGGAGGTTGGTCTCTTCTGCGGGCCGACGGGCCCGCAAGCACAGGCTGCTGGCGGCATTGGCGGGCAGAAGCCTACCGCTGCGTATTTCGGCATGCCTGATGGCTCGGTTTCGGTGCGCAAGGCGAATTAGATTAAGATGTGAGGCTTGTTGATACATTGAATTCATAGACGTACTCTGCAACCTCGTGTGTTTGTTATAAACGGTATTGTATGTATATTGGGCTAGAAGACAATTATTATGTTGCGTAGGTTACAGAAACGATTGCAGAGCAATTGAATAAGCGAAGAAGAAGTAATAAGAAATGGAAAGCCGTAGCTTCCTCACCACTCTCTCGATCAGATCAACAATCCCTTTTCATCCTTGGCGTGGGCATTTGAAGGTCGTTAGATAAAAAAATTACAATATTATCGATTGAATTGGAAATTTTCTTTAAAAAAAGAATTAAAAGACTCATTTCGTTCCCTTCCCCTTCGCCTCACTCTCTCCCAACTCCCTAATAAACACCTTCACCACCCCTTCAGAAGCGTCCTCCTGCTCCCTCTCCTTCCCCTCCTCAAACCCGGAACAAACCCCAATGGCCAAATACCTCCCATCGCTGCTAAAGGCCAACGCCGCCACACTCGCCGGAAAGCGCTGGTACTGTCGAATCCGCCTCTTCGCCACGCCATCCCACAGCGCCACAACCCCGTCCCCACCACCAGAGGCAAAGGTGCCATGGACCGGGTGAAACGCCAGTGCGTTGACGGGGTACACGACATCGACACCGGGCTCATCCGGTGTCTGCTGCCTGTGGCATTTGAATGCGTACTTGCGGTCCTGCGAGGAGTCGGAGGGATCGAACCATTCGACCGCGACGCGGCCTTCGATGCTGGAGGAGGCATAGCCGGCGTCGTTGGGCATGCAGGCTACGGCGCGCGTCATGAATTTGAGACTTGATTCGCGGCGCTGCCAGGGTTCGATTGATTGAGTGTGGGTCTCGGGGCCAGCGTTGCTGGATTGGCTGAGGAAAGTTGATAGGGCGTGCAGGTCGTAGATGTACACGGTGCGCGACGCCATGGCGACGACGAGCTTCGGTTGGAGAGAGAGAGACGGAGAAGGGCTTTGCGGGGAGGGGGATTATGGCGGGGGATATTGTAGGGAGGGATTCGGCTTGGTCTGATGGGTTGGCGCGGGTTAGCGGTGCGGTGGATATGTATGGTCGAGTCCCCAGGAGGCGGAAATTAGGAGGTTGTGCTCTTTGCTGTAGACGACAGATTTCACTCCACTTCTATGTGTGCTGAGGACTGTTTGTGTGGCGGTGGGAACATCGATTCTGTATAGTCATGATTTCAGTTGGCGCCTCTGTTACGTGACTCCCGAAGGATGAGGATGAAAGATAGTATATATATTTAGTTGCCACTTACCTCCTGACATCCCAATCCAATCCTGCCGTATATAGCACATTTTCGTCCTCCCCAAAGCAAACATCTAGCACAGGTGCTCGGTGTTTGAATTTGTGTAATAGTTTTCCTTCGCCCACAGCTCCGTTCTCATCGCGCAGATCGTATACATATACATATCTATCCCATGACGACACTACTAAACGCGTGGAATTTGGATACGGAGAAAACTTGACGGAGGAGATGGCATCCGCTGGCGGGGAGGTCAGGGCGAACTGCGCTGGGGTCAGAGTCAGCAAATGCGCCGTGTTTATTGAGTTATTTACTCATTTTTCCATCGCACAATACTTACTTGAAGTCATTGGTCCCAGTAATAAAAAGAATATCAGAATTTAAATAAGAATTTCGATCAGCCGTGGAATACGGAGGTGTTGTGATATCTTCGTGATATTTGTTTGGTTACAGCATTCTTTTTCTGCCGCTGCCAACTAAGGCGGTCAGCAAGAGGTCAGAGTAGCTAAAGGTTCCGGTCTTCAGCTACACCTATTCCCCCACCCATAGCTATATACCAAAATCTGAATAAAAATTAAAAATCAAGAATATATATTTTCCTTTTGATTTTATATATACCTAATTTTCTCTGCTGGTCCCTTAATTTTGACGTGCAGGATGAGAACAGTAGGACTATCAACTCCATGCATTCTTCCTTGAGCTGCGTGCATGCACCATAACTTGGAAGCAAAATATGCCTCAGGCTCAATTATTAGAGACGAGGCAGTCTTAGCGTACTCTTTCCGCCAGTGATCTCAGAGTTCTCTATTGGCTTGAAGATGCCAATTCGGGTCAATTACTAGTGTTGCTCAGACAAGAGTGAGCAACTCAAACAAACGACGCTTAAGTTTCCTTATCAATCGATCTGGATGTCATTTTCTGTCATTCCACACCGCTCTAACTACATCATCGGACTCAACCGCACGCCCGGGAACCCCTTCGTGAAGGAACAGACCAGCCTTCTGCGAACAAGCCATGCCCTTTGCACAGCTGGTAATAGGGCCCCCGGGCTCCGGGAAATCCACCTACTGCGATGGCATGTACCAATTCATGTCCGCGATCGGCCGAAAGTGCTCCGTTGTCAACCTTGACCCCGCCAATGATAGAACCTCCTACAACCCCGCGCTCGATGTGCGCCAGCTCGTGACGCTGGAAGAAATCATGGCGGACGACGCACTGGGACCCAACGGTGGGATGCTATATGCCCTTCAGGAGGTAGAGGCAAATTTTGACTGGCTAAGGGAGGGCTTGAAGAGACTGGGAGGTAGGTGTTGTTTGGAAGTGGTTTAAGTTGGAAAATGGAGCTAAATTTTTATTCACGTTCTATATGAATTGCAGATGACTATGTTCTATTCGATTGCCCGGGGCAGGTCGAGCTCTTCACACACCACTCGTCATTACGAAATATCTTCTTCCAAATCCAAACACTTGGGTACAGAGTCTGTTTTCATCCGTTCCTCAACAACAAAAAACACGCCCCTGAACAAGTTCCTTATCTGTTATATAACTGAACCGTCCATCCTCAACAGCTCGTCGTAGTCCACCTTATCGATTCCTATTACCTCACCGTCCCGTCATTGTATATCTCTGCCCTCCTCCTCGCCCTCCGCGCCATGCTCCAAATGGATCTCCCACACATCAACGTCCTCACAAAAATCGACAACCTTTCCAACTACCCCCCTCTCCCCTTCAATTTAGATTTCTACACAGAAGTCCAAGATCTCTCTTATCTCATGCCGCACTTAAACGAGGAATCCCCCCGCCTTGCCAACTCGAAATTCAGTGCGCTGAACAAGGTCATCATCGAGCTTGTGCAGGATTTCGGACTGGTGGGGTTTGAGACACTCGCAGTCGAGGATAAGAAGAGCATGATGGGTTTGTTACATGTTATTGATCGGGCGGGTGGGTATGCGTTTGGCTCCGCGGAGGGCGCAAATGATACTGTCTGGCAAGTGGCCGTTAGAGAAGGTCTGGACAAACTGGATGTAAGAGACGTGCAGGAGAGATGGCTGGATGCAAAAGATGAGTGGGATGAGAAGGAGAGAAGAGAGTTGGAAGAAGGAGCTAAGGCGCGGGAGGAAGCAGGGAGGAATGCGCGCGATGCTGGAGGTGGTGAAGGCGATGTTGATATGGACGATTTCGACCTGGCCGGTCCCAGCAAATAGCGCCATAATGTTCGTAAAAACTTGGAACGTAAAATAGTGGCCCATTCCATGGATGTATAATAAATAAAATAATAAGGTGGAGGGAAAGGATAGTGAGAAAGAAAGAAAAATTGTACTCACTCGTTTACCCTGGAAAATAGCAAAGCCACTCATGTAATAAAATATATCGAGCAAAAAGAAGTAGCCCTCCTCCTCCATTTCAGTCGCCATCACTCCCTTCCCCATCCTCATCTTCCTCGTCATCCAGCCCCATCTCTACATCCACATCTCCACCTCCAATCTCCCATCCAAACATCCCATCCAGCACCCCACCACCAACGTCCTCCTTCTCCCCTCTCATCCGCATCCGAACAACCTCCCTCCTCGCCCTCGCAATAGCCTCTTGTTCCGCCTTCTTCATCGTCCCTGAAACCCTCACGACACGAAACACACAATCACTTTGCATCACGCCAGGCTTGCCGCTATTGGATGATGAAGGTGGTATGCGAGACATGTACGTTAACGCGCACCAGACAAGTCTGTAGCTCGCGCGAGGACAGCGGATTATAGCCGTGGATGTTGCGGGGGAAAGGTATTTCACTAGACGTACGCACACACATAGGGATTTTTCGTAGATTAGCCTTTCGCAATTGGTTTACCATTTCTCCTTTTAAGTCTCTTAATTTCTTTCTTCGTCCTCTTGGTTCTCACAGCGAGGATCCCAAGCCAGAGCAAGACGATGTATATATATAACGGAAAACACACGTACCACTAACACCCCCCGCGCTGTTGCCGCCCAGCCTGCCCATGCCCCAGTCACCAAACATCTCCGCGACATGTTCGCGCACGGCACGTGCAAGGGACTGTGGGGTAAGTGTGTCGGTGGTCGGGCGGTGGATGAGGAGGTGGATGTCTTTCGCATTGTTGGGAATGGAATGTGTGTGTTTCGACTTTGCTGGTGTCGTAGCGTCGACTGAGGCCGGGGGGTACAGGATGTCTACCAGGAGATAACGATGTTTAAGGCGGACCATTTCTTTCTGGTTTCTTCTTTATATCTTGTTTCGTTGTCCCTTTTTCCTCCTGTCTTTTGGCTTTTTGTTTTTGGACATGTATCATCTCAAAATCACTCGCGCGGCGCGAAGAAAATGAACAAGGCGAGGGGTCATTTAGCGCGTAAATAATTGTGAAACTTCACGGTAAAAAATTGTGGACTTGAGCTGTAGGTAATTGGGGAATTCTCCTTTAACCTAGTGGTAAAAAACCCAATTTTATAGTAATGTTGGACAGGTGTTGAAATCTTCTTGTATTGGAATTTCTATATTCTCTGTATTCAGATATATATGTCTACCCTTAATTTAGTATTCATATCTGTCAAACGCTAGAGGTAACACTAAGCTCCAGAGCCTCAAGCTCTTTCAGTGAGTACTCATATCATTCATCATCTTATTCTTTCATTCTATATTCCTTTGATCTCGTGCTCAAGAACCTTCTACTTCACCTTAAAAACAATTAACCCATGAGGAGTTAGATGAGTTTGAAGGTTTCATCAAAGCTAACTGTCAAATACCCTACAATAAGCTCATTCCTATGCTTCATCTTCAAATTCATGAGAAATGTCCGATACTGCACGGAACATTGTGACCCCATGCACCCAATGACATGAATGGTGATGAATTGATCCATCGTGATCCACATGGCCGTTGGACAGTCCTCACAGGTGTATGCCAGCCCTGGTGATAGGTGAGGGTTAGAGAACGTCCGTGTAGAAGAACCTTGCGACATATTCAGCGCTTGAGCAAGCGTAGTAGACCTGCGGAAAAATGGAAGTTGCTGCGTGATAACCACTCTTCCCTTTTTGCATTCATATATGGCCATGATGTGGAAAATATGCCACTTGATAATAAGTGGCTGGCTGGTATCAGCAACGAAGTAGAAACGGCCAAAGAAGAGGAGAGAGGTAAAGAGGCAATCAAAGCTGAGAAACTAAATCCCTTAATCTTTTTTCTTCCCTCTTTTTCTAATAAAAAGCTATGCTAATATATGTATGTCGTATGTAAGTACTAATTAGTGGTTGACCATCCCTCCACCAAAGAAACCCCCTACGTCTCAAGACCCTCTAAACTCTGCTCCCATTAAACCAACCAAATTGCCAAAGTATCAACAAAAATTCAGTTTGCATGCAAACAAAAAAGTAACCAAGGCAGCAAGAAACCCCCATTTACAAACTAACCTCAACCCGTCCCTCGGCTCCCGGCGCCCCCTTCTGAAAAGAAGGCAACAAATAGGTAATATCATCCCACGGATGCCTGTACAGGCCCGTGCGCAACCGCTTCTGATCCAGGAAATGCGCAATTAACCCAATGCTCCTACCCAACACAAACAAGCCGTTCAATACGCCCATCGACAGGTAATCTTCAGCCTCCTCTGGTGAGAATGCGCCGCAATTCCGCAGCAGGTCGACGAAGCAGACGGCGACGCATCCATCGACATTGAGAATTAGATTGTCCTTTTTGGACGTCGTGACGGTCTCGACGGCGATGGCGTAGTCGAGGAGTTTGTGGCTGGGAAAGTTTTTGTGGACGAATTCTTTTACGAGTTCGACGCGGAGGTCTGGGTTAGCGCGGGATTTTACTTTGTGGCCGATTCCGGGGACTAGACGTTTTTTTAAATGTTAGTGATGACAGAAACAATTAAAACATGGGGTAGGAGAGGAAAAATGTGACAGGGGGGGAGGTGAGTCTCACTTAGTTTATTCTCCTTGCGCATGGTATCGACAAAGTCACGAGGACTGAGACCCTTGTCAAATGCCTTTGTGAACTCCTCCGCGGCACCGTCAAGCGCACCACCGAACCGCGAGCCGATAGTCAGTAGGCCAGACACCAAAGCGCTAATAAGATCCTTGCCTGCTCTTGTCGTGATGATCGTGTTCATAGCGCCAGACACGGCAGGGCCGTGGTCGGCTGTCAGCATGAGGACCATCTCCAAAAACTTGCTGGCGTAGTTGGGGAGGCGGCGACGGAACCAAAGGAGCGACATGACTCCACCGATGCCGATGTCTTCTCGGAACACGTCTGAGATGGGCATGCCAGCGTAAAGCAACTCCTGGCCACGGTCGTCGGAGATCGTGGAGATGAAGGCAGCGGGTTTACGGATGAGACCAAGCTCCTGAGCCCATGCGTAGTCGATGGGGATTTTTGGAGGGACAGGCTCTGATTGGGGTACAATGGTACCCTGCTTGACGAGTTTCTTGTAAACTTCCGCAAGCGTTTGGGGAAGCTCTTCGAAGGTCTCTGGGACGTGGATACCGGCTTCACGCATGCACTTGTTCTTCATGACTGCGGTTTCGAGTTCAGAGTTGGCGGAGGCACCAGCATGGCCGAATTGAACTTCTGTCTTGAACAAACTTGCGCAGGTCCCAATGGCCCATGCGACGACTGGCTTGGTGATGGTGCCGTCCCGCACGGCCTCGATGACACGGTACTCTTCCACACCACCGACTTCACCAAGAAGCACGAGTATTTTGCATTCTGGGTCTGCCTGGTATCGCAGGAGATGATCGATGAATGTGGTTCCTGGATATCTGTCACCTCCAATGGCGACACCCTCGTAGACACCATCCGTGGTTTGGGAGATGATGTTGTTGAGCTCGTTGGACATGCCTCCAGATTTGGACACATAGCCGACGGAGCCCTTGCGGTAGAGTTTAGAAGCGACAATGTTGTCCATCATGCCGCCAGTGTTGCCAATCTTGAACGCACCGGGTTTGATGCCTCCAACAGTCGCAGGGCCAATGATCGTAATTCCTTTTTCCTTCGCGGCGACCATGATTTCTCGGGCGCGCTATTTACCAAATTAGCTTGATATATTCAGTATAACATTCGACGGAAAAATTGGTGCAGTACTCTTTCGGGGACACCCTCGGCGATGATGGCAATAGACTTGATCTGGGGGTACTGCATCAATTCCATGGTGGAGCTGTATACACTTCGGGACGAGGCAAAGTTGACAACGGTATCGACGTCTGGATGTTTGGCAATGGCCTTCCCGACGGCTTGATAGACGGGGAGTAACGTCTCGCTCGTTCCCCAGTACCTGATATAATCAGTCAATTTAAAGCCAAAGATTCATATGATATCATGAGTAGGTTCCCGTTCATACATCTTACTAACGAATTGGCCGCCAAAAGTGTAGATAATGCCAGCTACGGAGGGGGTGGTGCGCTTGCAGATGAAGTCAAAGTCAAGCATTCCCTGCACAGCACGGGGCTGCATGCCACTACACAGTATTAGCACATGATAAGAATGGCAATAGCAGCACCAGGCATGGGAATGGGACGTACTATACAAAGCATCGTGTCTTGTTGTGGAAGAGGCTGTGTTCCAAGGGGGTGAAGGGTCTGCTGGGAGCTGCGAAGCGACGGATATTGTCGTTGGCAGAGAGGTTGCCGTTGGAAGTGCTGGCCAGGGGTGCAGCAGAAGGCATGGCTGATGCGGTATCACACTCGTCAGCACAGTTATTATAGAGGTAGAGTGCGATGCATGGAGGGACATGGTAGAGGGGATTGTGGACGTGGAGGCAGCTCCTTATGGACATTTACCTCTGAATTAACTGTTTGCGGGGCACAGGCCACACCTTGGAGGGAAATGCGGAGGGGGGTGATGGAGGCAGCGAACACAGGAGAACTATAGACAGACAGACAGCACTTGCACACTGGATATCGAGCAGAGGGGTGTGAGGAGTGTCAGGATAGAAAAAGGATCAAGAATCTGAGCTAGAGACAGTCCCTGCCACCGTGATCGTTCGCTGTTGTCGTCGTTGACGTCGTTGTCGTCGTTTGTCGTTGTCGAGGTCGAAAGTTGTTGAGGCATTTGTCTGCGCTGAAGCAAGCGGATTTTCCGTTTTCGGAGCTCGAGGGTGCGCTAGCCGGGGCGGGTTAGTGCTGCCCCAATGGATGGGGATATGGGCCAGGCCATTGGGACCAGGTACCCTGCCACCCAGGATTTGGTATGGAGGTACCCGTCGACTGTTGGCCCGCCCATAGGTAGCAAGCAGTTAAAACAACAGCTGGAGAATAAATACTAGCACATCACACGAATTGTACTGTTTCAATGGTTTGAAATTGGCTCTTGGATAGATAATAAATAGGCTATTTCTTGCTGATAAATTTCCCAACGCCTTTGTCTGCAACTGCAATAATCCCAGTTTTGCGGTTGAGGCCAAAGGTAAACTAGCATAGTCTAGTTCCCGCACCAGGGATAGAATATTACCATAATATCCTCCCCCATAGTTACTCGTGTAGCTGCGTTAGTTTGCATTGTTGTACTGATCTTGGTCTTGTTGTTTTCTTTTTTTTCTTTTTTTTTTCTTCTTGGTTTGTTTGTTCCTTGTCCCAACAACCCCGAGAAGCTCGCAATTCACAAACAACGCCAGTCTCGATCCGCCTTAGTCAATCCCAGCTCAATCCAAACTTACAACTCCTCTCCACCCATCAGATCCTCAACCTTTGTGTGATATCTTCCCTTTCACGTTCTGTTTCGCTTCACAATACTATTCCTCCATCGCTTCAGTTTCCTCATACCCCGCCATATTATAACCCTACTGCGATGTCGGCCAAGTCAATCCTCGAGGCTGATGGCAAGGCCATTCTCAACTACCACCTCACCAGAAGCAAAGTCATTAAGCCCTCCCCTCTGTCGCCTCCTCAAACTCACAACCCTCCTCCAAAGCTCGCCTCCCTCTACTTCCCGGAAGACTCCTCCGTCGAAGCTGTCCTCGACCAGGCTGAGAGCACCTATCCCTGGCTTCTCGCAAACGACGTCCGCCTCGTCGCGAAACCAGACCAATTGATCAAACGGCGGGGGAAGAGTGGGCTTTTGGCTCTGAATAAGACATGGCCGGAGGCCAGAGCTTGGATTGCTGAGCGTGCTGGCAAAGAACAGAAAGTAGAGACTGTCACTGGTGTTCTCAGACAGTTCCTCGTGGAGCCATTTGTACCCCATTCCCAAGAAACAGAATATTATATCAACATTAACTCTGTGCGAGAGGTAAGCAACATGTGTATCATGTATCCACTTTCAAATTAAATGAGACAAAAGAGAACAGGGGAACAAGTTAATTAGCTAACTAACTACAGGGTGACTGGATACTATTCACCCACGAAGGAGGCGTGGACGTGGGGGACGTCGACGCCAAAGCTGAGAAACTACTCATCCCCGTCGACCTCAAGAACTATCCCTCCAACGACGAAATCGCCGCAACCCTCCTAAGCAAAATCCCCCAGGGCCTTCACAATGTGCTGGTCGACTTCATCACCCGCCTCTACGCTGTCTACGTCGACTGCCAATTCACCTACCTCGAAATAAACCCCCTCGTCGTCATCCCCAATGCCACAAAGACCTCCGCTGCAGTCCATTTCCTCGACCTTGCCGCAAAATTAGACCAAACCGCTGAATTCGAATGCGGCACCAAATGGGCCATGGCCCGCTCCCCCGCTGCGCTTGGCACCCCAAATGCACCCAGGACAGACGGAAAAGTAACCATCGACGCTGGCCCGCCCATGGAATTCCCCGCCCCCTTCGGTCGCGAACTTAGCAAGGAAGAAAAATTCATCGCGGACATGGACGCAAAGACAGGCGCCTCGCTCAAACTCACCGTCCTCAACGCCAATGGCCGCATCTGGACCCTCGTCGCCGGCGGAGGTGCCTCCGTCGTCTACGCCGATGCGATCGCCTCCGCCGGCTTTGTGGCGGATCTGGCCAACTACGGCGAATACTCCGGGGCCCCCACCGAGACGCAGACGTTCAACTACGCGCGCACGATCCTGGACTTGATGCTGCGCGCCCCCATGCATCCGCAGGGCAAAGTGCTGTTTATTGGCGGTGGCATTGCGAACTTCACCAACGTCGCGTCGACGTTCAAGGGCGTTATTCGCGCGCTGAGGGAGGTGGCGTCCATCCTTGTGGAGCATAAAGTGCAGATCTGGGTGAGGCGGGCCGGCCCCAATTATCAGGAGGGCCTGAAGAACATCAAGGCCGTTGGCGAGGAGTTGGGTCTTGATATGCATGTTTACGGGCCGGAGATGCATGTTAGCGGCATTGTGCCGTTGGCGCTGTTGGGGAAGAAGACGGACGTTAAGGAATTTGGGACGGCGTAATGGTGGTGGTGGTGTCTGTGTGTGGCTTTTGTGTGTTTTTCTTCGACCTTGGTCTCCCCACCCTCTAAATCTACTTTTCTAGAAAATTTAATGCTTTTCGTGTGGTTTCCCGGCGCAGGGATGATTTGTTGATTGATTAATATATAAATAGATGAATGGATGGATGGATGGATGAGGCTGGATGCAAGGGAATCGGAGCTTAACTTCACCGGACATGAAATGAGATGGACAAGGACAAAATAATACGTACATGAGCAAAAATAAATATACACAACACAGAACATATTAGCGCGCGCGGCATGGGAATGAAAACCTTCTAAGAATCGCTTGTTTGCCGTTGGTGATATCTCCGTTGCCTATCACCCTCCTTCAATTGGAAAAGCAGCCTCCACAAGGGGTATTATATTCTCTTTCACCTAATTCAGGGGGAATAAGAACCAGCAGTAGTTTTGGTCTCTTCATCGGCTCAATCACACGCCCAGCCCTTCGCAACTCCTCATGGAACTGCCTGGCCTAGTGGATTTACCAGGATCACCCAGGTAGAACCAACGTGAATGGGGATAAACAATTATGCCCTCGGCCATTTGGATTGTTTTCGCGGTGCATGATGAACGGAAACATCAGAAGCGGGAGAGAAATAATCTCACTCTCCGAGCACAACCAACTCTGAGCGAATGTTTAGCCTTTACCAGTCTCTGGCATGCAACTAGAGAAAAGCCATTGAGACAGGTAGGCTGGCAGGCTTGGGGAAGATAGATATCCAAGCTTCGGAATAGTTTCCAATCCTGATAGACACTTCGCGCTTCGCAAACTTCCCACCACTGCATGCATGCTGAAGGAAATGAGCGGCGACTGGATAACCCCTGAAGAGCTATGTATCTGATAGTTACTGGGTTGTATCTATGATAAGGGGTTGACTGGTTGGTGATATAGTTATTATGGGGTCGACACCCCACTTCTCACCGAGCTTTTACTGTAGGTTGTCAAGCCCCTGAACAAGTTATTTATTTAACCTCCGCCGTAAAAAGCTTCTGCGAATAAAGTCAACTCTCCCACGCGAGGACTGGAGCTTGGAACTCGGCCTGCTCGTCCATACTTTTACCATTTGCAATTCCGAACCGCGCAGGGGCATCCTGTTTGAATATCATACACCAATGCTGTGGAGCAGAATATCGTCCGGTGAGGTGTCTGAACTGTTCTCTGGTGTTTGGCATGCATTGACCTTTTCGCACGTATATGTGTGGTAACCTTACCTTCTGCAGTTCTGCTCTCGAAATCTCAAATCTTCAGCCATTGTTTGAGATTGTGCTCAACGGGGATCTTTGGCGAAGCATATAGTTTTGTCTCCCATCTTGTGAGTTACCATGTCTGTTGGCAGTTTCCATAGGTCTCTCATTCAGTATAACTATGCTCAGCTGCTGATTACATCCACTACCGACTGATGCTGCGAAGCATGACGTCATTGATGCCAGAAGTTGTTCATGGATGTTTTCATCTCAAGTTCAATTATGTGTTCATCAATCCCAGAGTGGCTCCTCTTCGTAGTATTCATGCTGATACTTATCACTGAGGAAAAAGCCATCTATTAACTCTGCGCCTATAGGTTCTACCAGGCAAAGGATCGTTGTGCGATTCTTTGTAGTTGAAGTCAGCCCACCAGCCAGCGTTAAGTGTATGCAACTGAGCAACTGCAAACAGCCTCAGGAGAGGGGAGAAGGATAATCGGGCACAGAACCCTGGGAATCGAAGCACAACCTTTGATACAATTCTGGTATTCCATTCGCGACTTGTCTGAGGCGCGCTTCACACATTCGGCGTATGTGAGCAAGTTTCCACACAGCAGAACGACACAGTCGCCCCATCATGGATTTGATCTGGCTTTCAGGCAAAACAGCCGACCATGTTAACGCCGCCCACATTCGGCGCATTGTGTGACCAGAGGAACCGTGATTTCCAAGTTGCTTTGAGGCGATCAAAGGAATCCTATAAAGATCAAGAGCTCCTGAAATAATGAAAATGGTTTCTTCCATGGTTTACAAATCATTCTACCCATCTCTTCAGAACTGGTGACTTCTCCATCTTCGCAGGTTATCACGATGAACGCATTCATTTCTTTGACAAGTTTTGCTCTTGCTTTATTTCCCCCGTTCTCATCTGCAGTTTTGCCGAATCAAAGTTCGAACCTCGACTTTTCCCCGTTCCGCCTTTTCGCCATTAGCCCTCGAGGTTTCATACCTAAAATCCAGGGGCAAGCTTCAGATTTCGAGCAATGCTGTGGTGATTGGGCCGGCTCAAGGTGCTAGGGATTTTACAGCTGTGAGAGCTCCTCCATCTCCTCCATAATTTCCTTTTCCCTATCCTTGTCCTACGAATGCGACGCCCAGGGAGGGGCGGCGGGAGGGGCGTTGATATTCTAACAGAGGAGGAGAAAGTATATCTACCCACTCCCGGAGGGCGAAATGAAGATCAGTGGTGGCGAAGATGGGCGCTTCTTCTTGGACCCCGGTAGCCATCATCCTACACTAGGGTACCATACCCTCAAATTTGGCCGTACGAGCAGCGCCCAGAGCAGGTCCCATGGCTTTTCTATTACGAATACCGGTTGTGGTCCGCATTGTGGTGGGCCGCAACTCATCTATGATGCGGCGGACAAGGGCGATGGCACCCAAGGGAATTGGCTTGCGTATCCTCTCGACGGAGCCAATGGCAAGAGCGGATACTCGATTCATTGGGTTCCTGGAGTTCCATTTCCGGAGGGCCATAAGCTCATTTACTTGATGTGTGAGCCTGCTCCACAATGAAATTCTTCTTAGATCCTGTTCGCCGACATGTGAATTTCGACGATTTTGTGGAATGTGGTACTCCATTGAAAGGAAAAGGGGGTGGATAATTGTAAATTTTTATAGGTATAGTGAAAACATGGCATTACATATAATAACACTGCTCTTTGCTGTGCTTTTATATCAAGGTATAGAGATATCAGTATCATAGAGTCCTCATACTCTAATATCTCTTGCTAGTATATATAAAAATTCATTGTTTTGAAGAAAACGTGAGAACGTTGATAGAAAATTTGGGGCTAATGAGTCTAATTTAATTATCATGTGACACTATAACTACTAGGTACTGACTACTCCGTACTATGTGTTAAACTACTTTGGATAGTATATATTGATTAGAAGTCACAAAAGTTTCAAACTTCTTGCGTAGCACTGTACTTTGCCAAGTTTGCTATTGATCAATTCATCGAGAAACTTGTATCGTAGATCTATATATACACCTTTTTGTAACTATGCGAAGCCTTGCTATTGGACTACCTTTGTAGATCGAAAACCTTATCGAAAATCTTATCAAACTAGACTTTTAACTTTAGACAAAAAGGGAGCAGGAATTACACACTCATCACACTCATCACCTTCAATCTCAACTTGAAAGATCATCTCCAGTTTGTGTTTAGCCTCACCACGATCATGGTCTGTAATCATACCGTCATTGAGTAAAAACTCTAACACATTGAAGACCCAATGCTGGCAGCCCCCAATGGTAGGATTCATTATCAACCGCCTGGGAACTAACTACCACATGATAGCCTTCAATATTGGTGATATCTGCCATGAAGATATCTCAACATTGGCGATCAGTATTTTCTGGACGGCTGGAGAGTTCTTGATACTGAAATTGATCTGGGTTTCCAACAACTTGAAACACCAAGTGGGAGTCCCCTTCTTCAAGGCATAGAGCTTAATGATACGTTCCTAGTGTCTGCCGGGGTTTATATACAGTGATATAAAGAATTGCCATTCTATATAATTCTCGAGTGGAAGCTCATAGTCTACTATTATAATATAAATCTTATTACTCATGAGTATTATTTATATGGGATAGTATAGATATTGAATATAATAAATAGAGATGATAGGCTTATGAATGTACAGTATATAGACTACCAGTGATATGATAGCTATCGATGATATGATAGTAGTATCTATTACATGGCATAGTATCTGCAGATGACATGTCATGCAATGTTTTTACCCTACCTATAAAAATTTATGTGCAATTATTCACCCCCGAGGAAAATGATCATTCGTATCCAAGTCTTTTTGTGTTTCCTCATACTTCAAATTTTGGATTCTCCTTTATATTGATTTACTTCTTTCGGAAGAACAGCGTCGTACACGAGAGCGATGGGCACCGTGCAAAAGAGGGGATTTTTACCGTTACCCATGTTTCCTTGGTCTCCAAGTATCAATGCCGTCAAGGATCGTTTGAGACCCTCTTCCTTAATATCTATACTCACCATACGGAGTATGCAGTGAACACCATCGTACTGTACAGATGTACATACAAAGGGCTTGGCTCAAACGGTTATCCCATCGTCAAGCAACCAATGGTTTCAATTGATGTCATTTCATACAAAGCATACCTTGTCGAAGGCAACAATAAAGTTTCCATAACTGTGGAACGCGCGTACATATTCCCCCCTCTATGGCTGCGAATATTGAAAGATGCTGCATGTATCGATACATCTCTGGCGCCATTGCTAGATGTCCCGACGTCTAACTAAGCCCGTACATCTATAATCTGCGGTAATCTGTGCCTCTTATAGGTTTGACATTTTTACCCCTACTCAACCAAAAAAAAAAAAAAAAAAAAAAAAAAAAAAAAAAAAAAAAAAAAAAAAAAAATTGGACCAATTCTCGAACGCCCGAGGTGACTGCCGAAGATATCGGGTTGTGGCCGTGCTCTGGCAACGGGCTGTGTGGTGGGTAATAACGCATGGAGTTAACTCCGTAATTTCGCACAGAAAGGTAGTGATGCTTTTGCGACGGGAATCTGAACAACAAACGCGAGAGATGAAAGGTGACACTTCTTTGACTGGATTGACTTTCTCATCGCGCGCTCGATCCCCTACGTATGAAGTTAATATAGGCAGGAAAGGAGTCTTCGCTGATGTAGGCTAAATAGGCATCAGACGTATAATGAATTCGCCGGCGCAATAGAAATATCTATTTCAATCAGTGCTAACTAGAGCTCTGCTCTCCTCCTCTTTAGGATCTACATGCTTCTAATCTAATATCATATCTAGTTAGCTCAAGTGGTAGATTTGGTGGAGCTTGACTATTCAGAACAACGATAGAATAATAAGCTTAGTTGATAAGTTATATGTCAAATAGCGAAGCATACAGCGTAGCCTCGGTTAACTAGGGGTTATAACACACTCACCAATCAACGGTCAACGTCCCAGCTGAGGTATTAGCAAGGCGACCCCCTTATAATGGTGAGCTACTGGGAAAGAACCAAAGAAAAAATCCATTGGACAAAAGTGAAATCCCCCGAAGCTTGACAATCTCCGGAGAACGAATTGGATTGTGGGGGAGATATCATTCGCCGTCCCCACCAGGCCTTCAACGACGCCAGCAAGAATTGAACTGCGCATTGTGATTACAGGGTGGTATGGGGCCCGGGAACAACCTTGCCACTGTGAACCTGTCAGCAACAGCCAGAGAAGTTTCAGATCTCTCCATTGTTCCTTGATTTTGATGGTTCCGCTCGGAGGCGGTTCAACTTTGCTGGGAATAGGAATAAGAGGTAATAATGGTCATATCGGCTAATTGTTTTTCAAAGAGTGCGTACCGTTGCCGGGAATCTTACGAAAAACCGGGGATTCATGGCTGAGAAGAGGAGGTGCTGATTTTCTTATTTTATAATCTGACAGCTGAAAGACAACAACCCAGCATCATCATATCATCCTCGTCAACGACAGCCACCTGATGAACTGATTACCGCAGCCTGCCCGGAAAGAAATAAAATAAGTGGCACTAAGAATCATTATTAATGTCATCGTTATTCTTTCCATTGCGCTTGTTTCTTACCCGCCTCTAGTGCACCCTGCGCTATTGACGCAGAATTGGCTCCAATGGAACGGGCAAATAAAATGGGCGAGGTACTCGGAGTGCATATGTACAGGTACGGTACAAATATTTCCAGAACCAAGAAATAAGGCGTAAAAATAAGTAGAAGGAATGTAGAGAAAGTATACAAGTCGCAACTGGGGGTGTGATACGATGGATTTTGGCCACAAGTGGATTAGAAAAGCAAAAGGTGGTAAAAACCTTGGATATTAAGTTGCTTTTTGCACCAATGGGAACCGAGGAGAAAAAAAAAAAAAGGGTGGTATATATATTAGGCCAAAATGGATTTTTCTCTGCCTGAAAGCAATTGTTGATGTGTAGAGCGTAATACGAGCAAAATATCTTTATACATACTCGGACAACAGTCCAGTGGGGGAGAAGGGGGGAATTAGAGCAGTTTTAAGGCTAAAAAAAAACAAAAAACAAAAAAAAAAAAAACGTAGCTAAACTGCGGCCAGTACAACGATGATAGATTAAACCCGGCGATAGAACAGAAATCCAACATTCCCATCCCTCCGGTAGTTATCGATGATGTGCCTGGGATCCCAAGTTATAATTTACAGGTAAGCAGCAAGGGCAAGGAGGGCGGCAGCAATGCCTCCAATGTTGGCATTGAGGTTGGAGCCAGCGCCCGGAGCAGGTGGGACAGTGCCCGTGCCCGTAGGGGTAGGGATGGTGTAAGAACCGGTACCGGTGGGTTTTGGAGTCTGGCCTTCAGTCACGCTTGGGGTTGTAACTGGGGCAGATTCGGTTGGATATGGGGTGAGGGTTCCGGTGGCAGACTCGGTGGGGGCACCTGTTGGCTGCGCAGAGGTGCCAGTGGCGGAGCCAGTGCCAACGGGAGGAAGTACGATGGGGACACCAGCTGCGGAGCATTGGGAGACGACGAGGTTGGAGACGGCTAAACAGGAACATTAGATGAAAGAATATCCAGTCGGGTCAGAAGGAATAGATTTTTATGTTTATTTTATTCTTTAATTCTTTCCCCTCAACTTACAGGCTTGGTCTTGCGGTGGACAGGCGGCCTCAACGCAAGGGGTGATCTTTGCTGGAAGGGTTGGCACCTTGCAGTGGCAGGCGAAGTCGGTTACGCTTGAGCAACCATCGCTACCGAGGGCTTCGGCGAAGCATTGAAACTATTAACCCGGTCAGTTTCTGGATGCTTTTCCAGTGTTCAGAATTGAATTCGACATACGGCGCACTGAGGAATGTCAGGGAGCTGAGCATTGGCGAGGCTGGCCGCAACAAGGGCGATGAGAGCGTGAGAGAACTGCATCTTGGAAAATATATTAAAAGGTCTATATAGACAAAAGCGAAAATCCTTTGTTTGTTGGAATATGCTATAATATAAAACGACCGGCTTGATTGAAGCAGAAAAAGAGTGTTCGAGAATGAAAAGATTTTTTTTTTAAAAAAAAAAAAAAAAAAAGACTGAAAAAGAGGACGCGGAATGCCTCTTATAATACTTGGGCATTGGCGGGTTCTGTCTCTGAGCGCTTGGCTTAGTCACATGCAACGGACTCGGCTATGTTGCCAACCCAGCCAAGATATCAAACAACGATGACCATGCTACGCACCGGTAGCCCGTCCCTGCCCCACAGCTAAGGGTGACAACAAAACTGGGAATTTGGAAATTTGGAACGCGGCCTGTGACCGGGAGGAGCAGAGAATGTCAGCCTGTGGAGCTGCCGCTGGCCGTGGCGAATCATTGTTTGACGCCAATCGATATTTTGGTGCCCCCTTCTGGTGATCACCAATGGAGCTTGGTTTCTCTTGTCAGTTTTCTCGATGTTGGCGTGAATTGCGCTCAAGGGGTCCTTGAACTGATAGTACCGGATTCTGTCAGTTCCCAAAATACACCTTGATGCTTGCATTCAAATACAGTACAACGCAGACGCATGGATTCCAAAAAAAAAAAAAAAAAAAAAAAAGGAACGACTGAGCACGGCCAACGGCAATACCTCCCAACTAACCTTCCGCAGCTGCATCTTATTCCATTCGGGGTTCAGTGAGAATTTGATATGTAATTTGCAAAAGAAAAGGAGCTTCTCTCCGAAGAGTTTCATCAGGATTTCGGTGTCCAATTTCCCCCCAGAGTCTGGCAGGGGGCATCCCCCAGCAAAAAATGATTGGCGCTCCAAGGACCAACGGTTCGTACTCCTTTTGATTCGTCAAGTTTTGCCAAAGATCCTTGACAATCTCTCCGTTGATCAATGATCGTTCTGGCTGAAGCTTATTAGCTTCGGAAGAGCCTACCACAAATGCAAGTGCTTCAGGGTCGCTCAGAGTTAAAACCACGGGGCGTTGCAGCTTGCAGGTCCCAATCTCCATTCGCGGAGAACTTCGCCACATATTCATTGCCTTGATTTCCTCTGTAGCTAGGAGTATATCTTTCGAATAAGTCGAACCACCGGCTGGTGAATTACGAGGAGAGCAACGAGGATGAAGAATCGCACTTTTCGCTCCCGGTGAACAAAAATGTAAATATGATGTACTGTGCATGTACAGTACATTACAAGTGACAGTGCATGGACAGACCAAGAATTTCAATCGAGCTGATCATTTTTCAATACATCAATAACTTCCCAGCTCTGGGGAATGTTTTATATTTTGTCTGCACACGCAACGGGTGGCTGCATTATTGGACCACTGAATGAGGAAGTGGTTTCGTTGGCTCAGTCCACCGCTGGCCTGGATCCCCTCTGGCCGTGCTGTCCAACCCCGCAGCTCGAAAAGCATTACGACAGCAACGCCAACATACGGGGCTTGGGCTATTTTAGTTACATTTGGCCTGGGCCTATGAATCTTCGTGTGATATCAACAGTAATGTGTTGATATACCTCAGAGGGTAGCAAAAGAACAAAAGGCGAAATTTGCCAGCACGGCCATGAATCAGTCATAGGGGACAAACACAGCTACAGAAGGGTTTAAGCACTTCCGTGGCCAAGAAGGAGAAAAACGACCAATGCCATATCAAAATCTGTTGAATATGACAATACAGTGGATGGAAATATTATTTGGGGTGACACGGTTGTAGTCTCAGACGGCGGCTGAGGCGATAATACTTTTGGCAGCCTGGCAGAATCTTCTCTGGAACGGCATCAGGATCAATCACTGGACTGAGACGGCTTTATCGAAGTCCACATCTAAATCTCACCTAGGAGCCGAGTTTTCGCAGCAAGTTCCACAAAATCGGATAGGCTCATGCCTGGTTTATTTTCTTGAATATATCTTTACTCCCATATTGGGCCCGACGGAGCCCGTGCCTATATATTTCATCATCGCTATGGATTGCTGGAGAAAGATAAATGTGTCAAACTCCGAAGGATGCGATTTTACTTCCATTTTCACGCCCTGCTAAAGTACGTCGCTCGAGCGTCTTCCTATCTCGCGACGACGATTTCCAAACTCAGGTCGAGCTTTAAGGTCTCGCGCGAGGGTTATCGACGAGGCTCTCTTCTCTCAAGACTACCTGTAGAAAATCTGTACTTGCGTATCAACGTAGAGCGAATTTTAGTCCCGAAGTTGAAAATGCATTTTGAATATCTTGTGGGGAGGGGGGGGGGGGGTGATTCACCGGAGTGCTGTCCACTTCTCGCCTCTTCATTCCCCTGGTATCCCCGTGGGGAAGTCTTCATTTAGCATGTCCACATGGCAAGAAGTTCAGCGAGCTCGAAGTTCATTCATCGCTTCACGG